TCTAAGCAGTTAGCAAGCACTTGTCAAGTAGTTAGAAAGTAGTTAGAAACTCACGGTATCAAACTCAGGCAACTTGAGGTGCCCGGCTTCGACTTCACGCAAGTACCACACGTACCAGGACTATTTCATTCGAAATTTATCAGTTTTTCATCAAAAAATCACTTTGGAATCACTTTCTTATCATACAAATGATAATAAGCAATAAATAAGACCTTAATAAGCAGTTATACTTACATTTTCGCTCAGTTGAGCCATGGTTGCGGATGTGGGGAAGAAGAGGGAAATGATTGGTGGTGGGAGGTGTGGTGTGTAAGTGTACTGAAAAAGGTGATGTGGAATGAAATTTTCTGTTTGTGTAGGTAACAGGGTCGCTTGGAAGTCACATGATCAAACTGCTTATTAAGCAGTTTTCGTTCCACGCGACCCGAAAAAGCAGCACAGCTGATCTGCAACCACTTCGCTAGCTAGACTAGCTACATGACCTCGCCGGCCTGAAGGCGGTGGGTGAAGGCACTATCACTTGAAAAGTCGAATACAACAAAACAGAAAAATATAAAAATATAAATAGATAAATAAACAAGTATTTTTAAAAAATAACATAACAGCTAATTTATAGAAATAATATTTTAGACTGTTAAAACAATAACATGCTATTAGGTATAGTAGTATATAGAAGATATGAATATAATAAGATTAATATAATTTATTGTTGAAAAAATAAGGAGAAAAGACGGCAAGACCGAAGAATACCTGTAGACAGTATGAGAAACGGAAGCCGGACACACGGCAGAACTTCGGCAAGCACGAAAATGCCACAAAAATAGTTATAAAAGCTAGATTATTTCTTTTAATTTTTATAGATACTATAAAAATATCTATATATTAGATCTTAGATATTAGCTATGTAATAATTAAGCAAGCAAGCTGTAATTTCTTATCTGAAAGTAGATATCTTGCAAATCAAAAAGATTAGTAATAATATCTTAAGATAATATATTGGCATCTTTGGACTCGCAAGAGTTATTTGTTTATCACGCTATTTCACTCCTTAGCCCTTATACGCTGCACCTGATCATACTTTGGAAGCTAGTCAACCGCTTAGTAAGTATTATTGAACTCAGCGTCTGATGCCTACACGAAGAGTAGAAAAAAGAGGGCAGATACAAGTACTGGCTCAGAATCCACACTTGGGCCGAGTAAGCACTTGTCAAGGCCGGTCTTCTTTGGCGCGATTTTAGAGGTCAGCTTACTTCGGGACTACCGGCTCTGAAGGGTCAGATAAAGTCTTGGCATTTAGACCCTGTCCCTCTCCGCCGGGCCCCGTGCGTAGTAATCCACCGTACCATCGAGAGGCAGTTTCCAAACTCGTACTAGTACCTAGTTAGCGTAGTAGGCAGTTAAGTGACATAAAGCCATCCCTCCTCTCGTCCCTTGTTGCTATTTCGTCCTAAGCTGTCTCAACGCCACGACACGATGAAATCAATTCTCCTACAAACCCTGTCTCTTTGTACTTGCACCGCTGCACTCGCAACTCTTGCCAAGACCGACCCTACACAGTATACGATGGCCCAACTGGACAACCAAGTCCCGGGCCACAATGATGCCACCTACGACACCGTGCCTGAAAATGAACAGATATTCAAGATCGAGTTCCTTGAGATCGCTCCGACTCCTATTATCGCGTGAGGCCCACCCTTCACCCCCCCGCCCCCCTTTGTTTCTCTTCTCGTTATTCCTTAATACTAATAGCCGGATAAAGTGACCGTGTCTTCTTCGTCTACCTCCGCGGTTGTTTACCCGAGTCTAAGAAGAAGGAGCTGGCACTTCCCGACGAGGCTCTTATTAATGCAACCCTAAAAATAAGCGCCTCTGTTGTCTACCCGGATGGTAGCCACGATAACGAAGACTCTATTATGGGACCATTAAAGACTACACCCTTTAATAATCTAGCTCATCTTACTATTCGTGATACCTATGGGGTTCAGGTTGACTATATGCCCAGTAGCGACTGCAGTGAGATTTTACTAGATTTCCAATTTCTTACAATGTTTTTAAGAACTGGAATGTGGACTTTTAAGGTAGATGCGCGAGCTGGAGATACAAACAATACGTGCCTGTTTGCCATGAAATTGACACAATGGTTAGAGGGGAGGCTAAACTAGGATATTTGGAAGCTGCGAGAAGACCTTTTAATTAAACATGTCAGAGATTGGATGTGTTAGTCGCAGAATTTATTCTATAGAGGTTGGATAGTGCATTCGATTCCAATCTTCCCCAAGTAGCTCTGTGGCCCGGTGGCTGTCAATTAGGGTCTTCCTCTATTGGACGTGACATCGCGTGTAATTGCTAAACATGTACTGTGAGCTGAAATAGTCCTTGGCAAGGGCGACGATGACAGGTTTTCATCGATCTAGTCCAGCACTACTAAGAGGACGTTCCCACCAAAAGTCTTCCGGAGATTCTAAAATGGTAGGTATTAATTTATCTATGTCTTTGAAGTGGATCTCTAGTAGGATTATTGATTAACGGTGTCTGACTTCCTTTCTAGATAAAATCCCTTACACACCAGGACTGCTTGAACCGTTACATTCAACCTTAGTCCAATCTATAGCCTGTATACTAATCGTAGAATCCGATATCGGGCGCCTTCAAGTATGTCGAGATGAATTTACGTTATGCTTAGACATTTATAAGACACGTTGAGTTCTAGGAGTATAGTGGATAAAATTCTTAATATATGTGGAGGAATTCTACTATAAATTATTGTACTGTTGCCCTGTACTGTTCCCGTAGTCTACAAGTATCTGATCTTTTCTTTCTATCCGCATTGATCAGAACACCATGCGTCTGAGATACTCTCTTCACCTTTGGGGACTGTTTGCCGTTCCCGGTGTCTTGGCCCAAGACATCGATTACTCGGCTGCCGCGCAGTCGATATCTGCTGAATTGGCCGGTCCCTCGTTCGTGCCCTACATACGACCCACCCAAAAGATCCTGGAATTCATCGCCGTTGGTGATTCATACACCGCAGGTACCGGTTGCAATGGAATAGATGAAAAACTAGGTGGCGATGCCATTCGTGGGCAACGTGCGTACCCCAGGCAAATGGCTCAGGATATAGATAATTGGGCCTTTATCAACAACGACGACGTTCTACCGCGTTTTAGCTTCCACGCCTATACTGGCGACAAGGTAGAAGAATTAGTGGCCTATCAGCTGAAGCAGGGAGACTACCAAGAAGGCGACGATCAGCCACGCAACCAGCCCTTTGGAAAACCGCAAATTGCTCTGATGACTATTGGAGGCAACGACGCGATGCTCTCTACGTGAGCATCCCTCCTCTCCCTCCCTATGGCACACTGTACACTATATGTTTACTTACTGACTTCGCTGGAGAACAGTATATTGAACGATTGCATATACAAAGCCTATAAGGCAGGCGACTGCCAGAGCACTCTCGATAAACTTCAAGACGAACTTGACAGCGGGAGCTTTAAGGATAAAGTCAACTTGGCCCTATACCAAGTAGCACATGCAGGAAGGCAGGCCGGTGGTTCCGAGCCTCGTGAAAGCTTTCAGGTGTTTGTTCTCGAGTATGTTACCTTCTTCGGCATGGGTCCCGAATGTAACGATTATACCTGGTCAATCTGGCCAGGTTGGTGGAGTGAGCAGCCTAAACTCACTCTGGAGCTCCGCCAGCAGCTGAATGACAAGGTCCGCCAGGTCAACGCGGCCATCAAAGCGGCAGCTGAAGATCTCAAGGCAATGGGCGTCATATATGTGGAAGGAATCCAGGACGCTTACAATGGCCATCGCTACTGTGAATCAGGGGCCTCCCGGGACATGACGGAATACAGTGTGTGGTTCTGGTCGCCAAACAACCACATCAACACCCCGTCTGAAGGCCCTGGCGACCCCAGCAACGCTGCGTCAACGGACCGCGTCGACCTTGCGCAGGGCCTGCTTGATTTCATGTTCCCCGGCCAGGGCAAGGTGGTTCCTACAGCAGAGTCTGTCAACAGCACGCCACCGTGGGAATGGGAGGGCGCTGAGAAGTACCCGGACTGGCAGTCACTGCTGGATGCCCTCCACGACGCTGCCGGTGACGATGCCAACGCCCAGAATCTAGTGCCGCTCCAGTACATGCGCACGTTTCATCCCAAGGCAACGGCGTATGCTACGCACGCCGAGGAGCTCTTTGCCGCCATTGCGAACAACAGAGGGGCGGCTGGAGCGGCTGGTGATGGAGGCCAGCAGATTGCTATTGCCTCATACATCAACCCTCTCGCAGACCCAGCTTCGTGGCAACGACTCCTCGCATACGACACCAAGAAGGTCACTGTAATGGTTGCAAATGTCCTGAACGGTCCGGACTATGTGATCGATGACTCCTGGAAATCGGTGATCGACCAAGCCGCTAGCCAGGGTAAAAGGATCCTTGGCTATGTTCGCACGGGCTATCTGGGCGTAAGTCAACAACAGTTCACGACCCGACTAGGCTCGCATGACCTCGCAGACTGGGCTTCACAAATTGAACAAGATATCGACAAGTGGTATGAGCTATACGGTACCAGTCTCGGCGGTATATTCTTCGATGAAGGCTGGCCAGAATGCGGCCCCAATAATATCTACGCAGATCTATACGCATACATCAATAATTATACAAAGCGAAAACACCCTGGCGCATACACAGTCCTCAATCCTGGCTCCCCAATTGCTCAATGCTTTGAAGACACTATGGATACGCTGTTGACATTTGAGAGCAGCTATGAGACTTATACGAACTCGTTTGTACCTAATGATTGGACGCCAAAGGATCCGCGAAAGATATGGCACATCATCTACAAGGTACCACAGAGTCAGATTACAAGGGTTGCTGCCCTTGCTTCGAGCCGCAATGCAGGTTTGCTAGAAATTACCAATGATGATCAACCCAATCCCTACGATAATCTACCCGACGAGGCTTACATGCAAGCAGTCATCGGGGCTGTTCCGGGTGGTACGCCTCTAATTGATGACCCTGCCGAAGCCACCAACTCCTACGTTGCTGGCCTTCCGAGCGACGTGATTGTCTCTTCTTCCGACTATAGCTCCGTTACCCTCATCTGGTCATCAGTTCCAGATGCTCTTGGCTACGCGGTGTACAAGAACGGTGCACAGATTCTAGAAGTGCCACCTTCATTGACCCAGGCTACGGTTGGCATGCTCGAGCCAGGAACCTCTGGCATCACCTTCGAGGTACGGTCAATCTTATCGTCGAACAGTGGAGGTAGCCCCCGGACAATCACAGCGAGCACGAAAAGCCTCCCGGAGGAGGGTGCCATCGCCAATGTGGGCTTCGAACAAAATGGTCAGACCGTGACCTACACAGCCGATGTCTTAGTTCCATACGCGTTCGTGCGACTTTTCATTGGCATCAACCAACCCAGTCATGGCGGAGTTCACGGGTGGCCAATTCAGGTGCCAGGCGTGGACGCCCAAGGTGTCGCGTGGCATGAGGTTGTCAACTACCTTGTTGAAGGGAACGACTTTTACTCCGGCCTTTACAAGTACAGTGGCGCTTGGGACGACACTAGCAAAGTCAATGCGGATTGGACGTGGACCTCTATCGGTGAAGCGACTCAGTCTCAGGATGGTTACACGTATACTTGGAGTGTACCGCTCGCTGGCACTGATGCTGTAGCCAGCGAGTATGTGATACAGGGTCAAGGGTATGCCCCAATCAAGAATATATTCAAAGGGACCCTTTATTCCTACAGGGAATTGTGAAAGACCCGGAAGGAAGTTATCTCAATGCATGAAGTCGCTAATGGAATTGCAACAGTAATGGAACTAGTCTAGTTCTACCATTTGACCATGGATAATGGAAGAGTACCTACTTGGAAGCGAGACCGGCGGGCGGTGGATCCGGGTAGCTTGTCTATTGGCTGATGCCGACTGTCTTTTGTTCTTTCTTTCTTTCTTTTTCTTAACTTCAATCAATATTTTTTATTTCGATATCTTACACTGCAGTATTCGATAACAGTTATATGGTCTGTCTGGACGAATCCGACATCCTATATCGATATTGTGCGCTTTTAATTCGGTAGGGAAATGATATCCTCGAGTCGGATAAGCAGGCAGGCAGTAAGGCGTCAGTCAGGTTTACCCGCGTCCGTGGAAAGTCCCCGTGGGACAGAAGTACGATGGCTTCCGTAACTTAAATCTTTTTTTTTGGCAATTCAACTAGTTTTTTTTTTATTTTTTCCTGACAGTCGGTCAGTCTGTATGGGCAGGTTGATCGCCATTGGTTGGGTGTCCATAGCAGTGAATTCAAATTGTATCGACCTCAAGAGTTTAGGTAGGTAGGTACTAGGTACGGAGCAGCGAGGATGTGAACAGTCTTCGGGGGTTATAATGGTGAAGGCCGAAAGGATTGGTCATATAATTAATTAACTTCACTCACAGACAGAACTAGGGTGTTTTTCTAGGCAGAAAGAATCAAGACCCAACTGACTGACCACCCCCATTAATATATCGACTAACTGACTGTTACAGGGCCTCCCCTAGAAGACTCAATCTTAACATCCCGAATCGATTAGTAAATAAGTTTATCTTATAGAGCAGTACTATTGAAGTAAAAGAAATTAAATCTTTTATATTTAATTATTTTTATTTAATAAATTGCAACAGTTCTCGACTTGACTTTATAGTAGTAGTGGTGAAATAATAATTAGAAAGAAACTAGTAATCAGAGACTGAGAAAGTAGGTTTTCTTTTAATTTCGATGCTTTATTAAAAATAACATCCGGATTTAAAGATTTTTTTTTCTTCTCTCTCTTCTTCTTTCTCAATTACTCTTTTAGTCTTACTCTTATTCTTATTCTTATTTTTTTATTTTCTCTCTCTTCTCTTCTCCTCTTCTTCTTCTTCTTCTCTTATCTCTCTTTCTTTCTTCTTTTCTTCCCGCCCGCGTGTCTTTTTTTTCTCTTCTACGACTGTCATTTCTTTCTAAGTCGTGAAAATCGTGTCGCCTGCTGGTTCTTATAGAGATATTATTTTTTTTTTAATTTTTTTTTCTTTCCTTTTTTTAACCTGTCTGTAGTTCTTTTTTATATTCTCTTTCTTTTTATTATTTATTATTTTCTACTGTTTGCTCTATTGGCGTGAGAGGCAGTAACCGATCTAATAATATTTTAAGTAATAACTACTATATTAGCTTTTACTTCTAAACTGGATTATTATATTATTATCTATATTGTAACTATCTGTAATAAGCATGGCGTTTATATTATTAAAAATTCCGCCGAGGTGATTTAAGTTAGGGTGGATCTTATTAAATATTAAAATCTGTAAGGAGATATATATAAATCTTATTTGATTTTATCTAATCTTATTTAAGTCTTTCTTATTTAATTCCAGTCTTTTTATTATTATATCTTTTTTTTTAGATTCTTCTTTTCTGATAATTCTTATTCGATTACTGTATTACTGTATCTTTTTTTAACCAATCCAATCCTATCCCCTCTAAAGAATTTGCGGCCGTTGCCCGAACGGATAGAATTAGTCTTTAATTTAACTATTATATTTACTAATTCGGTGTTTTTATTAATTATACTATAAAAGTATATTTATTAAGCCTGTTAATACTTTTATTATATTTTTCTATAGTAAGTTTATTTAATTAACTTCAGTCTTGCCTACTAATTTCTTTTTTCTGTCAGCTTTAATTCCTTTTTCTTTTCTTCTTTTATTTTTTCAGATATATTAGTTTATTAATTTAATAGCTGATATTTCTTAATAGTAAGTCTAATAATTTTAATATAGAAGTATATTTATTCTGTAGGTATATTCCGCAATGCTATCAGCCGCTTCGATATTTTTATCTAAAAACATCTTATTAATAAAAATTTTAAATTTGTTTTTATAATATTAGACTTGTAGGATTTTTATATTCAGCTGTCTTACAAGACCTATAATAAGACTGTTGTATTTTTTATATATTTTTAATATTTGCAGATATTTAATCTTCAGACTAAATATTAATAATAGTAGATTTATTATTTAAAGTCTCTGTTCTTTGGTTCTAACTCTTTTTTTAATATCTATACTGTTTTTAAAGTCGAATCTATACAGTTCTCTGCTTTTATTAAATATAATCTCCTATTTTATTTGCAGGCTTTGGCCCCCGTATTGCTGCGGAGAGCTATAAAAAAAGCTATTATATTAGTCTGAGTATTTTATAGTTTAATTTAAAAGTCTTAGCCTCTGTATAAATATCCTGAGATTTTGATTTATCTTATAAATGTCAGGGCTAATATCCGGGTATTTTTAACTAAATATAGTAAGGTATTCTATCTAAGCAGTCTACTTTATAATATTATATAATCGAAGCTGGAGAGTTAGTTTATTTAATTTAATAAATATTTTATTATTTTTTAGATTTTTTATACTTCTGACTAGTATAAGCCTACCGGCACTGGATTTATAGTTTTTTTATTTTATAAAAAGATAAGAATAGAAATTATATATATATTATACTGTTTTTTTAATTATTATTTCTTAGGCTGCTGAAAATCTGTATATAAATAGTCGTGCTTTTAATAAAAAAGTTATTAAAATCTCTTCTTCTTTCAGCTGTATTTTTAACTGTACTGCTGAAATCCTAATATTCTTCTTCTTTTTAAAAAACTGCCTCTATTCTAATAACTGGATCTGCTTTTTATACAGTTTTTTTAACTTTCAGTACTGTACTGTCTGTTTCTGCTACTCTTTCCCTGCTATTACCGCCTAACATGTTTGATCCTTGGGGCTGTGGCGGATGGGATCTGAGGGTGGAGTGGATGTGTAATGAGAAGTATGCTTGATGTTGAGGTGCAATTCTCTGGGGATAGCGTTTGACTGGGTAGCTCCGATCTCAATCTCTTGCTGGTGAGGAGAGGAGAAGATCATGAACAGTTCCCACAAGCCAGCCTGCAAAAGCATCTTTGTCCCTCCCAGGTAAACACCAGAACCGCCAAAGCAGATCCCACCGGGCGATGCGCCGCCGATAGCACAAACCGCGCATCCGCCGCCCCGAACAGCGCCGTCCAGTCCTCCAGCGCGCGCTCCCGGGCGTTCTGAAACGCCAACATATACATATCGTGATCCCTGTTCATCCGACCTTTATTGTCAGCGTCGACCCTGCAGTCCAGACAGCTCAAACACAAAAAGGAAACAAAGGACGGCAGTTAAGGCAAGAGCAGGTTTAAGATAAGCAGAAAAAAGCAGGGGTATAATAAGCAAAGAAAACCGACCTCGTCTCCCTCTCAACCAGATAATGCACCTCATGGCGTCCCGGCACCACCCGGTCATTCACCACGACCTTCGCTCCCGACTCGAGGGCGGGGATCAACGCGCGGAGAATCTGCAGCGCATACTTATCAGACCAGTCGTGGAGGACCAACCGGAGAAAGTACACGTCGGCGCCCTTGACCGGCTGTTCGTGGAAGAAGTCGTGAGCCTGAAATTCGATCCGGGATTCGACCATGTCGTTGGCGTTGGATGCTGTCTGCGCTTGGGCTGTAGATAGGGCCTGGGATACCACTTGCGCTGCATCCTGAACGATACATTGCACGGGGCGGTGGCGGCGACGGACGGCGAGATTTTCGCGCGGATCGGTTTCGTGCTCGCATTGGCCTAAGCATGACTCCTGAGTCCCATGGCCGTGTCTATCCGCTTCAGACAGACTCAGATAGTGCGCCAGCAAGGCCCGTGAGATATGGCCTAGGCCACCTCCTACATCTACGATAGTGAAAGGCTTGCTGTGAGGGGTGGTGGGATCGCATGTGTCGTCGGGGTCACCTATCGCTGAAATTTCACGGACAGGGGGCAGCAGCGTACTGGTGCTTTCCCATGGGAAGACCTCGGCGAGATACCGGGGCGAAAATCCTGGTTCCTGGGCATGCCAGATCATGGCCTGTGCGAAGAGGCTTGCACGGTCGGGCATCCCGGCTAAGGCTCGGAAGATGGGCTCGGAGGTTCGGGTCTGGATATTCCAACCCTGTAGTTTCGGGAATTTGGACAATGGAGTCAGCAGACAGGGAACCAGCGTGGGGTGAGGTGATCAAGGGCCAAAAGGGGACTTGCGTACACAATGTTCAGGCTCTTCGGAGTCTGGATACTGGAGGATGGCGTTCGCAGTCTTAAACCTCATAAGCCTCTCTCCTTTGATCTCCAAGCCCAAGTAAGAACGCTCACCTGCATAGTAGCTGGCAACAGCTCCTCGCACCCGAGACGAATCTAATCTCGTATGCCTGGATTCTCGGCCAGGAGACGCGATGTCGCCGTATGCACGAACCGGTCCGGCTCCGACTCGTAGTACACATGGTAGGTGGCACTGTGCGCCAGCAGACGCCGGACCAGAGCCTCGCGGAGACGGAGCTTCCGCGCCAACGCCGTCACGGTGGTGCCTTCGGATGGAACAGACTTTGCGATGCCCAGAAAAATGATGGCGTGGCCGCTGAGAGATGGGTTTCGCTGTTTGGGGGTTCGTTAGTTCTCAGTTTGCGTACAGTCTATACGATGCAATGTAGATGTGTTCTGGAATACGCATCTGGACGAAATATCCTTATTTTCTTCTTGTAGTTCTTCCATAGAAGTAATTGTGGATATATATATGTGTGTGTGTGTGTGTTTGGGGAGTAGAAACCCACCAGTTCCGGCGTGAGCAGAAAAGCAGGCTCCGTGAGCACCGCGCGCAACTCGTCGACCTGCTGGAGAAGCCGGAGTCGAAGGGTGCCTGCGGCTGTTGGGACCCCAGCCCACGCGTTGGTCTAAAGGGAGAGGGGAAGCCCATGCTCGAAGGAGGGCTCTGAGTCTCCGATCCTCTGAAGCTCGTTGACCAAGTCGGTGGAGACGCGCTCTTGGAGGGTGAGAGGATCCATGGTGCTCGAGCGGACTGCAGACGAGGGTCGGTATGGATTTGGGGGGCGGCCTTGCAATCGCAGGGATGAGTACACACAGAGATAACAGATCAGACCTGGCGTACTTGAGTTATTGAGAGTCCATATTAGCGGACTGTGGGTGGATTGGGGATGGATGGCTAGCCAAAATATTACTGCCTTGACTCGATGACCCCATGCAAACTGATTAGCTGCATTAAATGGGCACGGCGCCGACTCCAGAAACCCCTGCTGATGGCCATCTGTCGATTCTCAAGCAAACAACGCGGCATACCCGGTTGAAGTCAGCAGGGTCTGCGATGCAAACAGGGAGAGGAGAGAAAGAGGAGACTCTGCATAGATTCACAAACAGGGTTATGGGAGGCAAACATCGGAAGGAAATTGGGGGTTCCGGTTGGACTGCACCGATTTATGACAAGGCAATCACGTCAGCTGTCAATTCACCATGCATATTCACATGCAGGCCAGACGACTGTCTCATATGTCTTGAAAGCTGGTCTACTGGCGAGAGTAGCTTTTCTTCCCGATCAAGCCTTAAAGGCTTGACAGGTGCTCTGCAGAAGGATGGGATTGACAAGCTCGCGGCACGAGCCGACTAGTGATAGTCTGATAGTTGTAACGTATGCATACTGATTCTACCGGAGTCTCCGCCATTGTTGCTAGTCACTAGGTGATACTTTACAGTACGTAGCCACTTGCCCAAAAGAAGAAACCAAAAGAAAAAGAACATTTGCATTCGAATTTCATATGCTTACCAATTTTCCATTCTTCTCTGAAACCCCAACCCAGACCCTCACTTGTACCCGTCCGACACCGCGGAGCCGTTCACTCCACCATTGCTGTTCCATCTCCCTGGCTTCTGCGCATTAGTCACCAGCTCTACGCTAATAATATCACTGTATGGTCCTGGGACTTTGAGCCTCCTGGAAAAGCTATACGTGTTACGTGGAGGTGCTGATAGGGTCCGACGCCGTAGTGCTCGCGAGCATGCCCGAATTATCGGAGGAGCGGCGGGCAGACACGCGGCGATCAGCACAAAGTCATTCTCAATGCTGTTCCACAGGGCAATCTGAAGGACTCGATCTGATACGTAATCAGCTTTGACGAGAGCATACCTTGTGAAACAGAAACGGCAACACTCACCGAGCTGGACGATTGGATCACTGACTCCAAGGAGAGTCGTGTTGGAATATAGCTTGATGAAGGCAAAGATGCAGGACCTGGCTCTCGCTTAGCTTCATTGCTCCAAATATCTCCCTGCCAGCAGCAGAACAAAGGAGAGTGACTCACGCAACGCCAATACTCAGGAGCCCCATTCCGCTAACGCGCTTCCAGGTCGGCATTTGCAGTTTCCAGATGATGAAACCAGGCCAGACGGAGAACATAATGTCTATCAAGGCGGACACGGCTATGGAATGGGGAAAGAAAGTGATAATCAGTTCATGATGCCACACTATCACACCAAATTTAAGGACAGAGATTCAAACCTACAGCCCACGGCGCAAGCGTAGTCCAACGAGACTTTCCGGTTCCAGCACTTCACATGGGGGTATTTCCATGGATCAAATTGTCCAGCAACTGGGCTGCATTGCACAAAACATAAGATGAAGCCTACACGATGCTAGGACTAGAGCAGGTGGCGCGGTTCCAACTCACGCTGAAAAAGGCCCTGGCGGCGCGGGGTTTGTAAGGTTGCTTGTGGCTAGGACACCAAGCCCTGAACTCTGCACTGCACGTATCAAACGACTGTCATTGTTTGCTACTCGTTTGCTTGCTGTGTGACTACGTTGAGCCTTGCAGCATCTCTAGTTTGACTTTGTGCACGACCTAAATCTAGTCTGTATTGGGCTAAAGCAAAGCTAGGAACTTAAGAGACAAGAAACGGTTGGAAAAAAGGCCAGGAAAGGCACGGGACTTCTGAAATGTGTACAGGCGGTTTTGTCCCGCTTCCTTGGGCCTCTTGCTTTCATACAATCCTTACTAACCCTATTTTTTCAAAAATAGCAAGCACTTTTCTCTGCGTTCCACAATATCGCTCTTCTTTGCCAGCAATTCATCAACTGCCAGACTTAATCCATCATGACTTTTGTAAAACCCCTTTACAATCCACACTGTTCAGATGACAACCGTCGGGCTCATACTTTATCAGGCTAGCTGGATCGTATACTGTCGATTTTCTCCCTCTGCGCTCCATTCACAGGTCTTTGTTGGCCTGTGTCAGCCGGAACTATCACACTGACTCGGGACGGCTGGAGCACACTCAACGCGTCCTTCACAAGAGACATAAAAGATATGCTATCCACCGACTATGTCTTTGGCGAGTGTCTGAAGATTAGTTCAAAGCCACATGATTCGAATGGTACCTGGGGAGGCGGCCTGCTCCGACCCACAAGCTCTCAATGTCATATAGCACGAAACTAGATTGAATCAAAGCTAGTGATGAAGGAATACAACATCAAGACCCTATCTTACCATAAGCTAATCCTAGAGGAGGGTTGATGCAAACCATGTCGAGTGAGCTCTACAGCATCAGGGCGGCGCTGAATGAAGCTGGATAGCTGGGACATTTGGCCGCCCGCGATGAGAGAAGTGAAGTCCACGCTGATTGGCGGCGATCTTGGATCAGGGCTACTCGATGAGGGGGGTTCTCGGATCCGAGCTTGAATATGATATGCTAATGGACAAGGACAACCAGTCAAACCGCAAGATGCCGGAGATCAGCAAGCCGTGCTTCGGGTTGGTGGGGTTGCGATGAAGCGCATTATACCAGAGGGCCAAAACTTCAAGATGTCGACTACTATACTGTGTGGCGGGAACTGATCAGCACTTGCCACTTTTGGCAAGCCCACAGCCATCTAGTTGGTCCTTTGGGAGGGTGTTCTCCATCACGTGAGCTATTCCTAGCCCTTGTTTGAAACAATTCTGCAGCCAATTCACCTGCAAGAGGTGGGCAGGTGACTTCTATTACACCTTACCTGCCACTATTCTCTACTCAATGCTGTGCTCTCGACAAATCTATGACATGGTTGGGATGAATGTAACTAGAAGCCGATAATGGTCAAAGCTCACACCGCCCCCATGCAAGATGAGGTAAAATATCAAGTGCTATTCTCCATGAAGTGAGTGAATTTGATAGATAGGAATGAGCATTGAAGAAGTTTAAGATATTTCCAGTTCCATTATTTAGCCCAAAGACACTTCTACTGCCATTGCTCTTGAATACCCCAATTAATGCTTTCTCAAAGTCCCAGTGGTATCTGCACCCTCAAAGACCTCGCTGCACCATGAAATTCTCAGCTGCCTTGCTCAGCGTGCTAGTGCCCCTCACCTCCGCCCTAACCATCTCCCCAGCCACCACGGGCGTCAATGACCCCGCCATCAAATGCGGCAACCTAGACGTCATGGTCGTTTCTGCAGCGGATTTCCTTTAAGGTGTTCTTCCCAGCGACGTCCGCAAGTGCAGAGAGCATCCACTCGGCCGCAATAGGTACCATGAGAGTGCATCGCTGGAACCGCTAAAAGTGGTGAAGATTCGGGCCTTGGAAGGCAATACGGCTTCAGTGGAAGCACGCCCAGAACCTAAGCTGCTCAACACTTCCGAGCCACAGACCTGCTACAAGAATGCGCCGTACGGGTGCTCGAAGGGATATTGCTGGAAAGTCTGCGGGAGCAATTGCGAGTGGTCTGGACGGCCAAAAGCGAGGGGGCCGGGGCTTCGTATACTTGCAATCGGTATCAGTATTGTGGCACTGGGATGATGTATGCGTGTGGGAGACATTGTCTGAGTTGTGGGTGTGGTTGTTGAGGTTTCTGCACCATGCACCAGGTGAGTAAAGGCTAGTGAGCATGGCTAGATATGTCTTGTGCAGTGGATAGTCAGGTGCTCATAAACCTACCTAAGATCATATTCCATGCTAGAATATTTTCCACTTACATTTTTCTGACTGAGGTAGCTGGAATCACGATCACTATCATATAGACTTCCCTCAAACAGCAAGATTACATTGTTGAATGCTTTACAGTAATGTCATACTTATATGAACTAAAGTGGTTTCCGCCCCCACCAAATCTCACCTTCACTTTCTCTCTTCTCCTTTTACACTTTGTCAATTTGTTTTGCTCTTGTTGCTCACTAGATCTATTCTACTCCCGATTCTCTCTTTCTCTCTCTCTATCATCATGTACGCATCCAGTGAGATACACCTCCCCTTTTTCCGTCTCCCGGTAGAACTGCGATTGCAGATCTATGCTCTGTCGTTGAACCGCACCGTGCCCCCGCACAGCCTTCTCCGCGTCTGCCGTCAAGTGCGGGAGGAAGCACTCTCCGTTGTGCTGCGCAAAAGACGCTTCTTCGAGAGACTAGACCATCTCATAACATGGGTCCAGCAGAGCCCGGCGCATCTGCTACCTCTGGTCCGGTCGATTCACGTCAATTGCATCGTGGGCAGCCCGTTGTTCGCGGCGCCGGCACCGAAGCCATCAACATTGTGGCAAGAGATGTACCAAAGCATCGTCTCAACGGCCTCAACCCGCTTACCCTCCCCCGTGGGTCCTCTACCCGCATCTGTGGTCGCAGAAGCACTGGCCGCGCTGAGCGGGGTCCGCGACTTTGGGATCTTCGTCATGCAGAACGTCGCGCGCTCCAGCTCCCCCCAATTCCTCGCCGACCAGCGTCTGCTCCTGACCACTCTCGGGACCCGCATGCCGCAGATCCAGAAACTGGAGTTGGACATCGACTTCGTTCCCCTGGACTTTCTGCGTTGGTTCGCCGCCGAGCTGCATCACCTGACAATCTCAGGCTACGCCGCGCCCTCGGACAACAACAACGACGATGACAAGGAAACAAACAGCATCGCCACATTCCGGGACCTCAGACACCTTCAAAGCTTGACGCTGCTGAACGAGATGAACACGTTGCGGGACCGCGTGGTCGACAAGGATGTGTCCCGCCTCGCTCCGCTTGTCGCCGTGACGCCGGAAGTGGTGCGGGAGATGCATCCGCTGCAGGGGTTCGCGATCACGAGCTTGCACGATCAACAATTCGAGTCCCACTTCCTGACGGCAGCAATGATCCGCGCGCTACTGCATACGCATGCGGATACCTTACTGAAACTTGAGATCTGGAGCGACGGCCAGGTGACGGATGAGGTGGCCGTCGAGTTGACGCGATTGTTGCCGCGGTTGGCCCAGTTGAGAACTTTGAGGCTGCATTTCCGGTATTCTCAGGCTCTAGGCCGTAATCTCGAAGAGTTTGTGCTGCCCACTGTCGAAAGTGCTGATCTGCAGTGCGAGAAGTGCTAGTCAAGCGTTCTCCCATCGGTCTATACATACGAAACAAGGTTGAAGCACCAACGATCAAACAAATACACGGTATGCTGCCATTCAGCGTCTCTTCCGCTGTCAACTATAGATACATGATAATTACTACATCTAGACATCTTCACGAATGTCTTCTTTCTCTCTCTAGTTCTCTATACAGCTTCCTTCATTCCCCTAGTCTCATTCTTTCCCAACCCTAGCACCAGACACCTACCTCAGAGTAGGATACTCCGCCTTAGCCAAAGTCTTCACCTGGGAATACCCCGTGCCAGGCGGCACGGACCCGTACACCGCATCGCCCTTGGTCCACATCACCTCCTGCTTGTTGGTAGTGGGATCGACCTTGATGATCTGCTGCACCTTGGAGTTCCGGGTCAGGGCGGGATACTCATACACATTCCACACGTTGGTCACGGGGTTGGTGCCGTCGTTGGCCTCGGGCGTGAAGAAGTAGACTGTGCCGGTGCAGCTCTCACCCATCGCCTGGGACAGCAGGGACGCCCAGACGGTCTGCGCGTTGATCTGCTGCGCCGGGTTGGCCGGATCCGGCAGCGTCTCGACCAGGTTGGCCGACAGCATCGCGCTGTGGTAGTACGGCTCCAGCACGTTGCCCCAGACGATGCTCATCTGGCTGGCCGCGCTGGCGGGCTTGTTCTGCGTCCACCAGTCCTGCGCCAGGGTCTGGCCCGTTGCGCCGCCGAGCCCGAGGTAGAAGAGGCAGGTGTTGCTGTCCAGCGGGTAGGTGCTCTGGCTGCTGATTGCTTGGTTAAGGGTGTCCATGCTGAAAGTGTAGGTGTTTGTCTTGGGGGGGTTGGTGGCCGGTTTGCTGGTTTTGCTGGAAGCGCAGCCTCTCTTGGCGAGAGCGTTCTCTGGGTGGACGGGGATGAGGTCGGAGGTGGTTACGGGGAGGGCGTGGGTGAGCTGGAGGAGGAAGAGGAGGGTGGCGAGCGCTAGGGCTAGCAGGCGGGTGGACTGGTGAGTGAGGGAACGCATCGTGGGGATGATGCTCGAAGGATGGGATCAATGAGTGTGGTGGCAGTTGGCAGTACTGCTTGTCTATGCGAGGGACCAAAACGAGGGACTGGGTTGTGATTGCAAACAGCAAATGAGTGTATGAGTGAGGAAAGGATCTTAGGCTTGCTACTGGGGGATGTAATTGCTTCGTCCCTTGAACGGCTTTATAGCACCTGCATCTCGGGTATCTCGGGGCTGATCACTCTTCAGAAGCCATGAATCACAACAGCCCCTTAGATGCGATAAATCACCACCCCGGGGCGGCTGAGTTGGGGCCATATTCATCCTCTGTTCCAGTCGCTACGACTAGATTTACAAGACAAGGAACAGGATTCTCAATCAGAGGGGTTGATTCCCTTTCTGGGCACGTTTCTCGGTGTTCCTGGGGCAGCCAGGGTAACCCAAGTCGAGAACGGCTGGTGCATGGGATGAAGCGAGAGATGCCGTTTCAGCTAGGCCCCTCGACATCACGCCATGCAGAGGAGTCGCGCTGTCGTTTGATTTCAGGTTGGGGCGATCCTTCGGGCCTTATAATCACGGAAACGCGTGTGGGATTCTAAACTTGGCTCTTAGTGGTGGGGGCCAAGCCATATACAAAGATTCGATGTCTTCCCGTGCTGACAGGACCGAGAGCCCCCATGCAGGTACGATTAAGAGCCTCAAGCAGTTGAATGCCTCGCTTCGACTCCTTTTCCTTGGGGGCCATAGATCCCGTAGCCGGAGGTGAGCATGAATCAGGATGGGAGAGCATCCCCGGCCGAGGATTCCCAGAATAGCGGGAGAGATATAAGAGCCCCCCCCGCTCAATGTTCTTGGTCGACTCAGCAGCATCTCGCCTATAGTCACTCGTTCCAGTCATTCATTAGCTTCTTGAAAATTTTTCATCATGAGATTCCTCTTTGTGCTCCTACTGGTGGTTCAGCTGGCCTCCGCCCTGTTCGGAATTGGAGGGAAGTCCAGTAAGAAGACAACCACCAAGCAAGTGGCTGCCACCACAACCAAAGCGACGACGACCACTACCCATGCCCCGACAACTACAACTACAACCAAGGCCACCACTACCACCACCACCACTACTTCAACTACAACTTCAACTACCACCTCAGCTCCATCTTCCACCACAACCACAACCACAACCACAACCACAACCACAACCACAACCAAGCCCACCACTTCTTCAACTACGACCTCGTCCACCACCTCAACCACCACCATTCTCCCCACAACCTCCACAACCACCACCCACCCTACTCCCAGCACCAGCAGCACCAGCACCAGCACCACAGCCCTAACATCAACAACCACAACCCACCCCGACCCCTCCACGGCCCTAACCTCAACAACCAAACCCACCACCTCCACGGCCATAACCTCAACAACCAAACCCACCACCTCCACCGCAATAAAATCCACAACCACCGACCCCAACCCCTCCACCAGCGTCGTCACCACCCACACCACGAACACAAACTCACACTCGGCCTCCTCCGCCATCGTCCAGCCCGGCACAACAACCACAACACACACCGTCGCCCCCTCCGAGAGTGCAACACACACCCTCACCTCCTCTTCTAAATCCACCATCACGCCAGCGACCACGATCACCTTCTCCTCCGCCCACCTCTCCATCACCTCTTCCTCGGCCATCCCCTCCTCCTCTGCCGTCTCCGTCGACTCCGCCCTCTACGCGTACTACTCGTCGTTGATCTCGCTTGCGTCCGTCTACGACGAGGCCAGCGCCTGCGAGTACGTCGCCTCGTCGACGGGTGTGGCTGTCGCTGCTGCGTCGAGTACGGCGTGATCGGGGTTAGAGCGGGGGGGGATTTGCTAGATGGCCTCGTCGGTGTGAAGACAAGGGGTTGTCGTTTCTCTTTTGTTCCTTTCTTGACATTTTTCTTTGTTTCTTAAAGGGTAGGAGGAGAGTGGGAGGTTTTTACGATACGAGCCGTTGGGGGTTGTGTAGAAGAGACAGGGGGAAGGGGAAGGGAAGGGGGGTATGTATTCTAGAATGTATTGAGATTGAGTTGCGCTGTGTCTCTCCCGGCGGGAATCATCTTTATGAATAGATTCATGTTTTTGGTAATCTATATAACAGTAATCCAATGTACATCTTCAGTTGTTGTTGTTATTATTGTGATTTTTGTTGTTGTCTCTAGGTCGATTATGTTCGGTGTCTGTTCATTTCTCTTCTCCTGGTATTCAGGCTATTATACTGGACACACTGTCTTGGACCGGTAATTTGTGATAATTGATAACTTTCACGATGGATTTATTTTCTACACAGGTATTGAGGTGCTACCAAACCACGCCAAATAGGTGGGGGTGTAGTGGCGGGGTAGGGGCGGAGGGGGAGAGTGTCAGCGACACCGCGGGCAAAGGGTTGGGCTAGACTAGGGCTGGAGCTCAATCCGACGGGGCCGGTCCGTAGTCCGCAGGCGGGTGTGTGCATCTGCAGACTGCGAATGGGATGATCTACTTACTACCTTGCGGTAAGAGCAAAGCGGGTTTGTTACCCGTATGAGGTAGGGTTAAGGAGTTGATTGTAAGAAAATACGTAGGTAAGGTCTTCTCCGAATCAAACTCTCTAATTTGAAGAGTAGGGCGTAATTTGAGAGAAGGCCTCGGTTCTATGATGCTCTTTACTTCAAGGGGAACAGAGTCGAGGTCATCGCATGAGAACAAAAAGCCGTGCATGTGAAACAGTAGGTCGAGGTTGGGGGCCATAATCTTTTGTTGTGGTGGTAAAAATGTATTGGTAGAAACTTCTTGAAGTTGAGTCTAAACGAAAGAAAAAGCAGTTTTAAAAATGTCTCTGGCGGGGTCTCTCAGGGCGATGCGATGCGCGCGGAAGGATGCCCACCTTAAACAACAGCACACCCCTTAAGACAGAGAGAGGGGATCGCACGATCACAGCGGAAAGGCCTCCGTGAACACTTCTGGCCATCGGTCCGAGCCATCCGTGCGCCCGTAGGCCTGCAGCGCGCGGGTGATCTCGTGGGGGTGCCAGGAGATGTCGGCGGTGTTGATGTCCTGTCGCTTCAGCGGTGGTCGCGGGTCTAGGCGCGCTAGTTGCCCGAGCATGCGGTTTGGTATGTGCATGTTAAAAAGAGGTCCGCCGAAGTGCCGAAAGTCCTCAAGCCGGGGCGCATGCGGCAGGATGCAACTAATCACCAAGTCATTCACCATCGCCGCGGCGTCCTTCGCGCCGGGCATGTAGACAGCCAGCTGCGTGAGGTGGCCCCAGTGAGCGGAGAACTTGTCGCGGAGCCCCGCGAGGTTGAATGGATTCCGAGGAACGATCGAGTAATCCTCACTCCAGCCTGGGCACTTCCCGTTGGAATACAGCGCGCACAGGGTTAAGGCCTGAAGCTTGAGCGCTTGTGGGACTGGATTGTCATGCAGGATCCGGCCCAGCGTGATCAGACAGAATTCGGGAAGACCCTTGGGGTGGAAGAGGTAGGGTGAGAATTCGAAGATCAGCTGCCGCGCACATTGCAGCGCTCGGTACTGCCCGGGCAGAGCGCGAGGCGCAAGGGCCTCTGCGCCGTCTGGGCGGATGCATACGCGTCCTGGATCTTCCGGGTCGACATGGATGGAGAACGGGCGCAGGCGGCTACATTGCCAGGGTGAGGTGGTCTTGGCTTTGAGTGCCTTGGACACGCACCGCAAAGCACTGAGAGAATAGTCGTCCAGGAACTCGGTGATGAGCCAGAAGAGCTCGAGTGGGAGATTGTCCAGAGTATGGGAAGCCTTGAAGTGTATGATCCGCCTGTCGAGAGTACGAGGAGCCATAATGTGTGGGATCCGACTGTAGGTGGTGGCCTTGCTCGAGTAATCAGTGCGTCTCGTAGGGCTATTTCTATCCACGCGGACGTCCTCAACTCGTAATTTTCGCAGAAGATCTCCATCCATCATGACATTTAGCTGAGAACCCTCGCTGGATAGATTGTGATTTCCGAGAATTGTTACTGTTTGATGGGATTGTCCTTTTCGGTATGAGTAAAGGGCTGTAAAGAGGCGGCTAGCGACAGCGGGAGCATACTCGTGAGAGGATACTGGCATGTATAGCTAGATTCGTTGAGCACAGCTGAGATCTGTGTATTGTTTGCATCGCGAGCGCGAAGCCGGCTGCGCATATCAGTAGCGCGGAAGTGATCTCGACTAGAGCACAACTCACGAATAGAAGTATTCGTATCCTAATTCGGGCGCAATCCGTGTACCGGAGAGCGTCAGTTTCTACCCTCCGCCCCTGTGAACCGTAACCGCTTCTCTCCCCGGCGGACTCTCCACAGATTGGTTGATCGGAGAAGGTCATGGCAATCACGAACCGTCCAACCCCATACAGACAGAAAGGCCTCGGTGACTTCCCATCCCATGGGGTCCCACGGATCCGTCCACACCAGAATCCCCGTCGCCTCCAAATCACGACCACACATATCGTGACATAGCTGATCCTCATCGATGCAGTCCTGCGCCAGAATTAGAGCATCGCGCAGGTGGGGGAAAGGAAACAGATCCAGCCATGGATGGTGCGGCACGCGGCGCTGAATGGCCGTTGGCTCCAATGCTGGCGGGAGCTGCCTCTGTGGGTAGGATTGACTCGACGGGGAGGCAGGCCCCTGTATTGTAAATGCCGATTGGGCCTCCTCATGCGTGTCTTCCTCACCGTAGCCTAGAACTGTGAGGTTGGTATGCATCGCTCGCAGCATATTGAGCCGGGTCACTCCCAGGCGCAGGCTTTCAACCGGAGAGCCACAAGCCGCAGACGCCAGAGCCATGGCTGCCGTCTCCAATTGCTGCAGCTTTTGCGCAGTGTTTCGGGCGTCTGGACCGAGAATGTGTAGGTCCTGTGTTATGCCCAGGAGTAATTGCACGAGGTCAGCCGGTCGAACGGCCAGGGTTGGCGGTTGTTCAGCAGCGCAACTACCTGACTGAGATTCTCGAATACGACGCCCTACCTGTTTGGTAAGTCGAGACAATCACAGCAGGACTCATGCCCCCGAATCAGGGAGTACTTACGTCGCGCGCGCTGGTTGAGTCGATTCTGTAATCTGCGTCTTAGCGATGGCTCCAGTATGCCAAGCCAGCTATCCGGAGGCATGGTGCCGGTAGCCAATGCTTGGCTTTGTGATCCTTCGGACATTATAATTCGATTCTAGTCAAAGCAAGAAAAACAAATATCCGGAGTCAGAAAGAATTCACTTTTGGGTTTGGTGGTTGTTTGGTGGGAAGATCCGAGCCCAGGATTTGATGTCCGAAGCTGAAGAGTTGGGTGGTGCCTGAGGCAGTTCGGCGATATCGGTGATACGCACTGTTAATACCGGAGTGAAAGTTGATCAATCCTTGCAAATCTCTCAATTCCTTGAATCATCATGGAGAATGTTGCCGGGTCAAACTAATGATCGGCCTTCAAAACAAAGTTCCCAAGGAACGAAGCTTGCTAACGAAAGATCCAGGGATCCACGAATATCCCGGGCCACCTTCTCCGCCCAATTATCCATCCACCACTGCCCGCGCAGGCGATGCATCAACGCACAGAAAAGGGCCAGAATTACCATCGCAAATGGCTCCCTCTCGCCCAGGAGGTCCAAGAACTCTGGTGGAAGGGCAAAGATCCACCAAAACAGGGCTGTGATGATCCCGTCCTCACTCTCTTTGGAGGTGCTCTCGAATGCCGTCCGGAGTTGACCGAGGACTGGTCCATACACTTTGCTGGGGTGATGCGAATTGCCCTCCCTTAACCGCCCGTTCAGCAGGGAAAGCTCCCGAAGGGCCGCATCCAGAAAAGATGGCAACGTGAACACCCGAGTATGGGTGCTCGATTGCCCGACCGGGGCGGCCGTGGCGAGGATCGCTAGGTCGCTTGCTTGCACCCACTCGGAGACTGCGACTAAGATCTTCAGCGAGGCACGGCTCATATGGAAGATCTGGAGTAAGTCATCGTACGGGGTCGAGGGCTGCCCTGCTCCTACTCCTCCTCCCCCTCCTCCTCCTCCTCCGCCGCCGCTGTCACTGAGTAGAGGCAGCGCAAAGGTGAAGATGATGATGATGTTGGAGAGGGCGTAGGCTGCGCTGGCGTTGGCCTCGCTGAGAGCCTCGATGTTGCGGACGCCGGAGATGGATTTGTGGTGATGCCACTGCGCAATGTCGAGGTAGTCCTTGCGCTGGGGATGGGTGTGGAGGAATGCCAGGTGCAGTGCGGAGAGGGCGAGGATGCCGTGCATCAGCGCGGGATCGTGGACCGCCCTTCGGGGGATGACGGATTTCCAGATCCATTCCACGGCGTGGTTTCGAGAAAGGGTCGCATAAGTGTGCGTGCACCATTGCACCATTAGTTCTAGTTCTTGGGGGTTGAGGGAGGGCCCAGCCTTGCAGGGGAGTGGTGGTTGTGTGGGGATCGTAGTGGTCTTCTCCGGCAAGGTAGTGGCTGTGGCTGTGCTCGCTGTTCCGCTATTGGGAGGGGCGGAGGAAGAGGCTGTGAACATTGCTCGATAACTACAGGGTAAGTCTTTGGATTTGCATCGCAAGCAGATCGGTTGGTGCTCATCGCACTACAGCAGTGAGTGGTATATTAGCTCTGTAGACTTTGGGAATGTCGGTTGTTGTGGTGACTATCGTACTGTAGCTTACCTTCACTCGTCGCTGCTTGCATTGCAGACAGCCATGCCGGGATTTACTATGGGCACGACGCGATGGCATATGGAATGAGCTCAAGTCGGAAGACAGAATAAAATATCAGGATGTCAATGAGATTCAAAGCTATGATAGAGGAGAATGTAGAACCGTAGGCAATAAATAGGTTTGATAGGAGGTGGGGCAGTTGCGGGAAATTGGGGTGAGAGATGGAAATGATGGGGTCGGGTTGTCGGGGGTACCGGCTTTATTAAATACTGTCGCAGAAAATGGTTCCACGGCGGTTTCCAGTACTTCCTGCCATGCCATGCCCGCAAACCTTCCTGTCTAGCCCTTGTATGTGTAGCCATCCAAGCTCGCATTGAGCAAAGAAGAGAGGAACTTGAGTGAAATTTAGAGACGTAGGCCCGTCAGATCGTGACCTGTTCGCCTCGCTCGCTCGATTAGCCGCATAGTCTAACATTCAGTAAGGGTTTTATCCGACCGTTCATGGATGAGACGCTGGTCTCAAGGTAGCTTCGAGATTTTCGAGTGCCCGCAGTCGTATTGATCGCATATACTGTTGCTGTTCGGCTGATGCTTCATACACCGATTTGCCCTCCGGCGGGGAATAAAAGGAGGCGAGACCTGCTCCAAGAGCCGTGACGGCTAAACAGCAGACAATCACGATCACGATAATAGCCAGGTTGGTGAGAGCCATTGGGAGGAGTTGACGAAGGCTGGTGCGAGCGATTTTTGAGTGCCATGCTACTCGACAGGGCTCGGCTCTACTTTTATACCTACTTTGAAGATATATGCTCATGCTGAACCAGTGCTCTACGGACTGCACTTCCACAATTGAAACTCACTTTTTCTTCATCTCATCTATCAACCTGAGCGTGCTAAAATTGGCTGGTATCAGAAATATCAGAAACTTGCGTACACTACACCAGATACGGTATTCTAACCGTGGACAACTCCACATGTTTCAGAAAGCAGCTGTAAAATCTCCGATCGGCAGTCGATAAACGAGAACTGGAAACTTTAAACTTCGACTGCCGTACACCTTGCCTAATCAGGTATGGTGTACCTACACCCCGAATCATTTCCATACAAAGATCATTGTCGAGCCAAGAATTCATACTCCAACATTGAGTCGATACCTCAACGATACTTCATCAACCACTATATAAGCACTATGTCGTTGCTCAAAAATTCTCAAAATGCAGTTCTCACAGCCTTCAACTTCATTCTCGCATATCCCCTTCCATTTTCTCCAAAATGTCCGATTCATTTGTTCTGTACCGCTATGACCCGTCCTATGCGGCAGCCATTATCTTCACCATCGGCTTCCTAGTCACAGGACTGGGACATACCTGGCAGGCCACTCGGTCAGGGAGTCGCTTCATGACCCCATTTATCATCGGCATTGCCTGTAAGCCTCCTTCCCTTCCTGCAACACCGGAAAGTCCGAGCAAGCCTCGACCCTAACAACCAGATAGTCGAAACCCTAGGCTACGCTCTCCGCGCCGTCAGCGCAAAGCAGACCCCGAACTGGTCCGTCGCCCCCTACGCAGGCCAAAGCCTCCTTCTCCTCCTGGGTCCCTCTCTCCTTGCAGCATCAATCTACATGATCCTGGGTCGCATCATCCGCCTGGTCGACGGGGACACCCGCGCGCCCATCCGCCCCACCAAACTCACTAAGATCTTCGTTACCGGCGACGTTCTTTCTTTTCTGTTCCAAAGCGGCGGCGGCGGCATTCTCGCCCAAGCCAAGACCCCCAGCAAAGTCAAGCTGGGCGAGCGGATGATCATCATCGGGCTGTTCGTGCAAATCGTCTTCTTCGGGGTCTTCATGGGGGTGTCCGGCGCCTTTCATCGGAAGATTCGCGAACGCCCGACGGAGAAGTCGATGGGGCTGGCGGTGCGTTGGGAACGACTTTTGATGGTTCTGTATGCGGTCAGTGCACTGATCATGGTCCGGTCGATCTACCGCGTGGCGGAGTATATACAGGGGAGTCAAGGGAGTTTGCAGGGTCATGAGGTGTTTATTTATGTGTTTGATGCGACGTTGATGTTGTTGGGGTGTTTGGCGTTGAATGTCTGTCATCCGAGTCAGGTGCTGCGGGAGAAGGGGTTCTATGAAGAGCCCTTGGTGTGAGGGAACTGCGTGATTCGCCCCTACGAAGTGAAATCTCCGACTGTTAGCATTGATTACTGGATGCGACTGTAGTTCTATGGTTAAGCCTCACAATCGAAGAATCATATACATATTGTCAGCGAGGGCGCAGTCCTAAGTGGACTCAAAATAACGTTCACCCGACGGAGAGGGTAGGGCTAGGAGGCTTCTGACTCCCACTAACCTTTCTGAACTACAGTCTTCAAGGTAGCTAAATCTCTTCAATCACCTAGTGGTCTTGAGAAGTCCGATTTAAGTTGAGGCTAACTCCAAACCTGTAGCTAGGCGATTGGCCGAGGGGAAAATGTAGCCGTCAGTGAACTTGTTGGTTCCCATGGAGAGAACTGCGAACTGAATCAAATGCACTCACTGGCCTTCCAAGAAAAGAACTCTGTCTCATTGTCGAGAGAGATATTTCTAGATCCTAGCAAAGAGACCATGATGGTATACTTCATGCATTGCATGAGTAAGGGGCCTGCTGAGGTATTGGTGGTTGTGTCACACCTGGATGCCTGACTAGATGTTGAATGTGTCTGATGAGATAAGCACAATTAAGTTACTCATCTCATACTTTAATTTAAAGAAAAAGTACGGGTGCTAACTGAGGACGATTAGGGGATGGGACTCCGCAGTCTCAGCATAAAAAGCCGATCGATTGCATTAAATAGCTAGATGTCAACATGGTCACATCCCCAGGCCCTAGGGCGCGGGGTTGGCTTGTCGCATTCGACAGTGGCAGAAATTAGTAATATGACAACTATCCGACTGTTCGCCGATCATTCGCTCTAAAGAGCTGCTGTGCGTAGAGTAGAGAGACATACAATCTATGGCGACGATTCATGGTCGAGGATTGGTACAGCGATTACTAAACCTTTGCTTGCCAACCTCTTCGTAGCTTGACTCTCTGCTGAGCACCCTGCGCAGGGCGGGGGTAGTTCCTGGTTGTACCCCAGGTAGTCATCGTATTCACTCATGTCCTCATCACGAAGGAATGCCACCTGGCCGACCATCATAGATTGATGCTGCTCCAGGTTTTAAATCCCGAGAGCTGCCGGTAGCTTGATCCCTGTCATGGCCCGGTGAGAGAGTCGAAAATTTCGAAAACTCGAAACTACCTTCGGCAAGATGAGCTATTTAGGCACGTACTGGGATAAGAGTATGAATTTCAGCCGCTGTAAGCGCGCTTCAAGCCTGAAGAAGGCTAACTATAAACAGCTTTGCAAATCCCCATCCCCGTTCTTACGCACATTTCTCCTCCCGCTCTCTCAACATCACCGGGCATTCTCCGAGAGCAAGCATCTGATGGCCATCATTCATTCGCAAAGCCAACTCAACCCGTCAATTGAGGATACACTAAGTAAACAGGCCACTCATTCTGCATTGCGTCGCGTGGAAGAGAGACCGCATTTCCAAACCCATGAAAACATTCACAGTTTCCCACAGAATGATGACGCTCGCAACACTGCCGGTAGCCTAAGCTCCGGACTCGACGTGGAAGGGGCAGAGCATCGGGTTATGCAGGGTACACCCACCGACTTGTCTAGTCTTGCCAATGAAATGGTCTTTGTTTTCCTGTGCTCCATGGGCCTCTTACTCTTTGGGGTATTCCTCGGAGACGTTCTCGTGAATCAGCTCATCTTTCCCCGCTTGTTGCGTGTCACCGAAGGTGGTACACCTTTGCTGGTGGGTTCGTTTTTGTTAGCAAATGAAGTGGCTGTGATCATCGCCGGGTCGGTGGCCGACCTCTCGGACCCGAAACCGCCTATGACACTCGCCTTCAACTGGCTATTCATCTGGAATCTGGTCTTGGTGTTCAGCATTCACCCAGCACGCGCGGTGCGAGCCATGCAGGGAGTGGCCGTGGGGGTACTCCAGGCCTCCCCCATGAGCCTGGGCCGACTGTACGCGCCCGGGGTCCGCAAGAATCGGATCATCTCCTTGATGACGGCGATGGCTCCCATCGGGTTCTTGATCGGATGCCTCAAGGGTGGTGCGCTGGCGGCCCATCTGCCCTAGATCTTCGCCGCCAATGCCATCCCCTGTGGCCTCTGCGTCATGGCGTCGATTAGGTGCATTCCCTCATTCCCTCATTCACACCCCCGAGCAATAAATCGATCCTCAAAGACTTCGATGCCCTGGGGGCACTCTGCGCTGCAGCAGGCTGCGGACTCGTGGTCTTCGACCTGAACCAAGGCGCCCCCAGCGGCTGGCAGCCATATAGGTATTCCACCATCATCGCCGGGATGCTCTGTTTTGGGCTGTTCTATCTGGCCGAGCAGCGGGCCGCACGCCCGTTGACCAACACCCGTCTCTGGACAACTCCAGGGTTCACCCCATTGACAATCTCCTACTTCCTAGGCTATGGCGTCTATATCGGCGGCTGGATGTTATACGCCGTGTGTTTTTTTTTCTTTTTTTTCCACTCAGGAGAAAGCCCCCATCACGGTCGCACCATACCTAATCGCCAATCTGGTGTCTGGGATCGCAGCTATCTGGGTGGTCTCGCGTACGCTGTACATCGTTCCCGGTCACTGGCTGCTTGCTGTTGGGATGATCGCCTTTACTATGGCTACTGGGCGCTGGCTATGCCGGGAATCATTCTTGTTATATTCGGGCCTGATCTGACTTTTGCTGCTGCCTCTACTTTTATCACCTCGAGCGTGCCGAAATCATTTCAAGGCGCCCGCGGGCAGTCTGTTGGTGACCAACCAGAATCTGTCTGCGGCCATTGGGACCGCTCTTGCGGATGCCGTTGGGCAGCGCGTGAATCACGGCGCTGGGTTAATGCCCCAAGATATAGCACGAATTGCCCATCTGCAGCCGGAACGGAAGATGGATACCAGGGTAAGCTAAAGCATAAAGTAAGTTTTGCAAATTTTCGTGCTCACAGCTGCGATAGCTTGCACCATCCCCCCTCCTACAGCCACGAGTCATGCCCGAGTGATGCAGGCGTGAGGGTGAATCTTCAGCCCTAACCGGGTTTGGCTTTCTGGGACTAGCGGCCAGATCCTTCAGGGTTTCCCCCTCATCTTTTGCATGGTCTCGCCACCATGGAAAAGTCCCATTGGTGAGCTCGGATAGTCTAGACTGTTTTTATTCTACTGTAGATGCATGTGTTTGCAGTCTGCGCCAATGAGGCTCACCACCGGTGTGCATGCCATGCTCAGGGTTCCATATTCTTCAGCCTCCATGATCTTGCGAGCGGAAGGGAGGGGAAGTGGGCAAACAGGAACTAGCAGCATGCATGCTTCTTAAAGGCAGGAACAGTACCCCCACCACCTTACCATCATCTTTCTACCTCAAATTCAGTCGCTCCCTCCTCAGTTCAGTTGTACCCTCCTCACCACCTTCAACCCATAATCCAACTACTTCCACCACCTACCTCCACCATGAAACTCCCCACCCACCTCCTCCTCCCCCTCCTCCCCCTAACCACCGCAACCCCCCACCTCCCACCCCGCGACACTACCCCCTTCACCACGGGCCTAACCACCATCATCGCCGCCGCCACCGCCCTCGACGCCCAAATCCTGACCTACCCGGGCGGCGACGACATCTCCAACATCACCGCAGGCGCTGCGACGCTCATCAACGCCCTCCTGGCCGAGACCAAAACCATCCAACCGGACTTCCTGAACGCCACCGAGGCCACCGCCCTCCTACCACCCCTCGAGACCCTTGCCGCGCAGTTTTCCGTGGTGGTGGCCGGCTACATCGGCATCCACGCCGCGATCGCCGCCACCGCCGCCTCCAGCGATGGCGGCTGGTACATCTACTCCCAGCTGCAGGAGGAGCACACCGCCGCCCTGAGCTACACCGGCAGCGTGGTGGCGCGGATCCCGGCGGGTGCGATCAAAGATGCGGCGGCGGCGTGGGCGGGGAATATCACGGATGCGTTGCTGGATGGAAGGGATGCGTATAAGGATATTGCGGTGAGGCCGACGGGGTATTGATTGTGGTGGTTAGGGTGGTTATTGGGGGAATGGGGAATTTGGGACGGGAAGGGCCGGAAGAGGTGCTTTGGTGGTTCTGGTGAGAAGATGGGGCGTGGGATGGGTGAGTGGATTTTATTGCTTTTGCTGATTGGGAGTATGTTATGAACCTCCGCGGAGTAGAAGGAGTATCCGAGGTGGATGAAAAGATCGGAGTGCGGCGAGAGGTACCATTTGTCGGTCGATGTCTGTTCAGCCTCTATATTTTCTTATTCAGATGTGTAACCTCGATAACAGCAATACCAAAACAACCTCTATAATCACAAACGGTCTTAGCATCAGAGGGTGACTGCCCTGGACAGGCTGAAGCGGGTACAGCCGCAGAACCAGTGGGAACTACCTTATTCTATTCATCCCCACTCGGGGTGGACACCACAGGGCATGGTTCTACTCCGATTGGATTGACTTAGAACAATTGACAGTCATCTCTGTCTGCGCCAAGCAGACGCATGGCATGGTTGACAAGGAGTCAGATCTTTGGAGAGTTGGGGTTATTGTGTCGATGTTTATACTTCCCTGCACTCTATATGCTGACTACTCACCCTCCCTCCGAGTCGGAATGCGGGTGGAAATGATTCCGTGCTTCTAGGCGCTGCGATGCACCCGCCCTTTCATCAGGTGCAGTGACCAAAGACAAAGCCGACGACTGCATAGAAGCCGTGCCAACCACCACTATCCCCGATCTTGCAAAGGCTATCACCGAAAAGGAGCACGTTGACCTCACCGTATCTGGGATGACCTGTACCGGTTGCGAAACCAAGCTTCAGCGGACTCTGGGCACACTACTATCCGTTCAGAATCTCAAAACTAGTTGAATGCTCTCGCGAGCAGAGTTCGACCTCAATCTCAGTGTCCAGTCGCTCACCGAATTGCTTAAGCACCTGGAAAGGGCTACCGAATTTAAGTACGAAAGGATCACAGATCAAGGATCCCGCGCGGATATCATTGTTCCCGAAGCGTCGGAGTTTATCAAGCATGCATGGCCTCGTGGTGCTACTGAGATGACTGTCATTGATCTCTCCGGGGACGACGATGGCCCTGTCCGCTCAATTGCAGGGCAGCTCGGTATTGCCGCGCAGAACATCCGCTCCCGCTGCACCCCAGCCGACAAGCAAGCCTCCCTCCAAGCCCTGGCTGCCCCAACACATCTATCACCGCGCAAGCGAAATCAACCACCGACAGCCATATTCATCGGCGCGGCACAAACGACGCCGTGGCCCTGGCCACGGCCACAATTGGCGTCCACATGAATCAGGAAACCGGCAGCGAGGTCGCCAAATCCGCGGCGGACGTCGTGCTCATGCGTCCCAGCCTCCTCAGCGTGCTCCATGATCCGTATGAGTGGGAAGGCCGTGCGTCGGATCCAATTCAATTTCGGGTGGAGTTTCGTGTATAACCTGTTCGCCGTTCTGCTGGGTGCAGGGGCATTTGTCAATGCGCGGATCCCGCCGGAGTTTGCGGGGCTAGAAGAGCTGGTCAGCGTCTTGCCGGTTCTTGGTGTTGCTATGCTGTTGAGATGGGCTAGGGTTTAGATAGTTCTAGTATACAGGAAGGACTCTGTCCCACGAAATATCCGATGTTGAGACACAATCTTGCCGGTTAGGCAATCTTGGCGAGCCTAGTTTTTCGTTTCTATGAGTAACTACGTCTACGTACGTCTGACTCAGCACTTCCGAAGTCCCAGCCCAAAGAGCCCCAAAATCCACTAGACCATCTGACCGATAAGGTCACGAAGTCAGAGTGCAGATCCTTTCTTACGTCAGATTCTCATGCATACTTCGCGGTCTGACATGCATGATCCAATGTGTGTATAAAAGAAGCGGCTGGGGTAATCCGGCGATCAGATCCCGCAATCCTCCCGCATTAGCCGTGATTTTTCCGTGCGAAAGCCCAGCAAAACGCAGTTGATTCATTATGTACTGTGATGCGGCCACGATATATCACCCCACGGGCTCAACCAGAAAAGCAACAGGGGGAAACAAAAAAGCGATCCGTCCGAGAGTTCCCTTGGGAGCCACGCAAACGACCAAAAAGAAAAGTACGGAGGTGGACCTAGTTCCGCTCTACAGACCAGGAATTCCAGATAGTCATAGTCACCCCATTGCTTGTGATGGCGATTTCTGCTTGGTGGGGGTGGCTGCTACCGGGGTCGCGGAGATGGACGGAATACTAGGTACTTAGGAGGTGCTCGGTCTGAGATAGACGGGATCCCAATCGGGAGCCCTATCCCGATGAGGCAAGCAAGGCCGTATAGTGCCCGAGTGAGTGTGCCGGAAGCTGAGCCTCAGAAACTCGAGATCATCAGCTTAGCAAGCGAGCGAGCCGCATGGAACCCCCCCAGTCAATCACTGCGTTACACGTCACGCACCACACCCAGCTGCATGTCTGTGCTTAACCCTCAACCTATTACTGATTCTCATGCTATTCGCTGGAATAGATGTTTGCTATATTTGGTGGGGTGGTGTTTGAGGTGGTAGTACGAGTAATCCGAGTAGATCTAATATCCAGCTAATGACCTTAGACCTTAGATCTTATATCATAACCACTCCGTCGTCATGATATTCATCGGTTATGGTACAGTACCCGAGTCCAGGAAGTTGATTGCATTTGAATATGTTTAGGGAACAGTCCCCGCCAAATCTCTTCAAGAGTCCTCATCATAAGGAGGCAGATACCCCTCATTCTCGAACAGTTCCACCAGGTGATACCGTTTATGGGCAGTACACAGCATGATCCAGCCGTTGACGTAGTCCCGCACGGGCCTCACCAGTTTCTCCTTCCCCTCGAAAATCGCGTAGACATCCCCGATCACCTACACAAGACCATGAATATACAGCTTGTTAGTAGTGCTCCCTTCCACAAGAGCGCCATCCTAGCGAGTAAAAAAAAAGGGGGGGGGAAAGAAAACTCACCCGCGGAGCATACTCCACCAACCGCCTCAAAACCTCCAAATGCGACAGATCCTGCGCCTCGGCAAAATTCGCCACGAAATTCCCCTTCTCCTGGTGAACGACAAACTCCTTATAGTAAGAGAGGATGTCGTTCGTGAAGTCGGTGAACAGCACCAACCCCGGCACCGCGGGGACGTACTGGATCCGGTAGGTGTCCTCCGGGTAGAGGGCTTGGGGCCAGAGAAGCGAGACCAGAATCTCGGCGGCCCCGACCTTGGTGCGCAGGAACAGGGGCATCAGGCGGGTGGCGGACGAGAACCGGAAGTCCGACTGCGCCATGTCGTGCTCGAGGAGGCGGCCGTTGATGTAATCGAAGAGGGATTTGATGATGGTGGAGTGGCAGTAGGGCCCGTAGTAGCGAGCGAGGTAGCGGAGGTGCGCGTCCAAGTGGCGGAGGAGCGGGTGGGCTTGATCGGTGTTAAGGGTGAAGCTTTTGCATCCGGTTTTTGGGTTAGCTATGCTATGATTAGGGAGCAAAGGGGCTGGCTGGGGGACTTACTTCTGGCAGAAGTGCCGCAGCTCGGTCATGAACATGGGCGCCGCGTCGTCGACCAGGAACATGTACACGGCTTGGATTGCGCAGAGAACTTGGTTCTCGAAGGGGAGGGAAATGTAGGCTTGATGCGTGACGATGGTGGCCAGCTGGAGGAGCTGCTGGACGGCGGCGTCCAGCTTCGCCCCCAGATTCAGGCTCTTGAAGTAGGTCCACACCGCCGTCTCCAGTTCCTTGTCCCTGGCAAACGGGGTGTTCCGATCGAACTGTGCGGCTTCGAGAAAGTTCTTGATGAGCCCCTTGACGATATCGACTTCAGCCGGCGGCCGGTTGATGTCCAGACCGTGGTACCCAAGGGTACTCTCTTCTGCGGGACTGGACATGCTGACAATAGACTATGGAATTTTGCAAATGCCTTCGAGCCCGATCCTGATTTCTTTCGTGACCATTTACAAGTTGGATGAGAACGCAGGACACCCGGGCTTTATGGAAAAGCACCCATCATGGGATCTCCCAAATTTGCAATGTGACTCTCTTGGCCCAGAAGAAGTGGTGGAGGGATGGCACCTTTTTTTGCCTCGTCCGATAGCGGATACATGGCACTTAGTGCTTACGAGGGGATGCTATAAATGGCGTCGGATAAGCAATCAGTACGGGTGTCTCTTCTGAGATACGAATCCGCAGGAATTGATACCATGACTCGCCTTACCTCAGATCTCAGGACAGATGTTATGGTGGATCCAAATTGAGTGCAGTTCGAGCGCGAATGCTACTGCTAGAAAGACCTCTATCTCATCTGCTGGTTTTCTGTATTTGAACATGTTAATACCTTAGTCTGGGCTATTGCAAAGTCTGGCGTTGCTTGCCTTTGGTATCTAGCAAGCGGGGTTACTGTCTATATAGATACAAAATAGGTATTTCATGTAAAAATGGCCACATTCATTTTTCAATTCCTTTGTTGTTAGCTATGCACTCGTATTACAAATTTAGTCCACTAGCCTAGTAGTCTGTGCCGAAAATAGAAGCCGACGAAGTGGAAACCGAACTCGGCGAAGTGGTCTTCCAATACAAGCTTTGGGGAAACCACAAGGCTCAGCCACTGTCTTACAGTGCATGATGCCCTCGCGCCAGGGCATGACAGCGTGACACGGGATCTGCGTGCCCTAATGCTTATTGATTGCGAAGCGCGTAAGCGCTAAGCTATACGAGGAGATATCTGCTGATTGGTCAGGGTTTGAGGAAAAGGAGCAAGACAGAAGAAAAGCTGACGTTCCGTGAAGAGTTTTGCTCGGCTTGCCCCCCTCGCCAGCAGAAGGATGGGCGGGGGGAGCAAAAGACCGCCGTATATCTGCGCCAAGAAAGACTTCAATTGATTCAGTGTTTGCTGGTTACGCGGGAAGATTTCGGTCAGCGGCACAGTTTTGGAGTATACAAATACAAACCTCACAACATCGCTTCTTGCTAAAAGCAAGCCCGATAAAATACGTGAGCTAGTGCTTGACGCAAAGGGACGGATTGAAAGGCTGACCGGCCGGGATTTGGAGTAGTGCTACTGCCTAATGAGCGACCAAAGATTCTTGTTTGTAAACAGTGAGAAACGTTAAGTTGAATACTCGGACTTTCGAATTCGTCTGTTCTTCCAGCACACTTCCAGGGAAGTCTTCAGCAACCATAGGATCTGGTCCTCAAAGGCCTCCATGTGCAAAGGATCTCACGATATTTCATCGCTCTCCATGGCCCTTTGGAAAAGCATGGTGACGACCCCACCAAAGCTTTCACCACGTTCTAAGAAACTCCTAGATGTAGGAGGCCACTCACTCGCGTCATGCAACACCATTTCCACGTTTGGCTTTTCCGGAATCATATGTCTGCGGAGACAGTTAGCGATATGGTCGCAGAGGTTCATGACCCCATACCTCATAGACTTATTACTCTTTAGATCATTCTGCACACGGTGCGGCAGGAAGCCGGGAAAGGTGCTATTGTTTTCTCTACCCTCAATGTCTTCACGAAGGAAATTTGACCATATGTCAGCCTGACATTCCAAGGCGAAACACATCCGCGGACTCAGGAACCCTGAGATGCATTGCCCACAGGTACATCCGTATTTGAAGCGCTGCCAAACGACGTCGGTCACTTCCGTGCCGCCATTGAGAAACTTTAGGCAGTCAACCGCAGCGTCGTTGAACACAGCGAACTGGTCTGAAATATCTTCGGTCAATGCATTAAAGCGACGTGTTGTCCTACTTTCCTCGAGGCTTGTCAGCAGAGCATCCAATGGAGTCTCGCCGTGGGCGTTGCGCTGATGAAGGAGCACTTTAGCTCTTCTCAAAATCCACTAGACACTATTAGGTTTGACGTTGGTTGCAGCAAGGTGCAAAACAGTATTTCCATTTGTATCCGTTGATGTCCATCGCGGGTCATCCCCCGCAGCATCGGCCCAGATGTGGCTAAGAAAGTGCACGAAGTCGTTGTCACTGCTGCACTCCAGGGCAGGTTTAATCTTGTGCTCCAGCTCGGTGTCTAGGATGCTTGAAGACAGTGCTGGAATCTCATAGTCGCTTTCAGCAGCTAGATGATGACATGGGTGTTCTGGGTCCGAGGCGAGCCCAAACCACGAAGAAGAGCCGATTCGTCGAAACCCCAAAGATCGCCAGAAAGGATTTCGATATATCCATAGCAGCCAATTCTGACGATTCCTTGTTGTGCACCTCTTCCCCGCGAGGCTCGCAGAGCACTTCGCTGCGCAGCATACCAGGGTGCACGATAGTAACAAAACCTAAAGTTTTGTCCGTGACTTTTTCCAGCATGACTCTCACAAGCATGCTTTCCTTTCCGAGGCGGCGATATTGCCCATCGATTCTCAGGGACTCGATTAAAAATATGTCTCCGTCGTCTAGCTCAGCGTTCCAAATACCAGAGCCCTTCTTGACCGGATGGCTCTTGGACTCGGGCTTCAAACGGCCGTATCTGTCCGCAAAGATCAAACGAGAGAGAGCAAGTTGCTCCGGTTGGCTGTTTCATGGCGAACCAAAACTTGTCGCGGATCTTTTCACGTTTGATCAGTTTGCCATCACAATAGCCAACCGGTGTCTTGTTTGAGTCGCTATCATCTTGGTTGAATATGAGCCCATCAATCTGCTCTAGCCACTCAGATTCGGCAAATATATCATCCGCGGAGGAGTGGCTGGCGAAAGACATGTCATCTGGGCTACCGTCGGCCATTTTGTCGGTACGGAACAAGATACTTCTCAAGTCTAGCGAGGGGCCCATATTGACTCCCACTCTGGCTTCTGGAAGAATGTGCGGGGCCATGATAGCTACAATTGCATATTTCTCTCTACACTTGATATGCTAAAATCTTCACAGATAACTCCCAATCAGCTCGTCGGTCTTGTTCCAAATAGTATCAGAAGCATCATTCCTCTCCAGATCTCCCAAAAGCTCACCAAGCTGCAAAGTTTCCATCTTGTTGCCAACACAGAAGAGAGACCCGTTCGTCATTCCGTCGACGGTGAGCCCTTGCTCCTGCCCTTCTGTCAGGGGCACACCTTTTCCACCATACTGAGAGCTCGTCATCACATACAAAGACCGTGCTCCAGCCTCCTCGGGAGTGGATCGAGTGATATCCGAGGTGACCTTGGGACCTCCTGCTGCTTTATCTTCAGTCCATTGATCACCCCAGCTTTTCTTGAAAATCTCAGTCGAGACTAGACCTGGATGATGGTGAATGAAGGTAATGTTGCTGTTCTCTGGTCGCTCTGCCAGTCGTTTGAGGCTCACAGAGGTCATGGTGGCACTGTGGTTGGCATAGCTCTGGACGCTGAAATGGTCTGGTTGCTTTAGCTCCAGATCGTCAATGTGCAAGTCGGCGGTCTCAACGCCCGTGCCGAGAATGTTAACGATTCTGGGAGAGTACTGATCGGCGCCAGGCTTGAGCGCTGCTCGCAGAAGAGGGAGTAGGCGCCGAATGAAGATCTGACGACTATAATATCCCACGGCCATTGCAAGTCCCAATCCTTCCAACGTTTCTGAAAGCGGGAGTTGTTAGTACTGGAGTGGACTGTATCCTTTCGACTGCGATATGCGACATACCTTGTCGCCCAGTGAATGGCAAAAAGCCAGCAGAAAGGAACAGCATATCGACATGTTTCTCACGACGAAGGATCACATCCGTGAGCCGCCTCGTCTCGGCCAAGAGAGAGATCTGACCCTCCAGGAAGATCAACTCTGCGGCCTTATTGGAAGCACGCAGCTCGCTCAGCACTGGCTTGAATTCTTCTTCATTTCGGCCGACAATATAGGCCTTGAGAGGGAAACCCTTGTTGACATACTGCGTCAAAGTTGCGCGACCAATGCCCGCAGTCGCACCAACAAACACAGCAACCTGGGGAAGAGTGGCTCCGCTAAGTTGAGCATTGGAGGCCCTCAGCGTAGCAAGCGAAGTCATGGCGAGTTGGGGGTGGTAAGTTGGAGTAATTTAGTATATTTGAAATGATGAGGTCCAAGGAGTAAGTATCATGAACCTCGCAGACGGTCCGAATTATATACCAGTCGTGTACAGAGTGTTGAGAGTAAGTACAAATGTGTATTACAAACCATATATCAGGTTCTTCACGCCATGACAAATTCATGATCAAATTAGCTACAGTCTAAGTGATCGGAAAGCCGTGACAACTTGAATTGCCAGCACCGTTCACTACTCGAGATTTAGATAATTAGTAATGCGTATCTTAAGACTCCTGCGTCCGAAGGTATGGTTGGTCACTCGGACCGGACGGACGGACGGACGGACGGACGGAAACCAGCGACTCCCGTAGTGCGCCACCATTCATGCTCAGTCCTTTTCACTCTCCGACCAGCATTCCGATCCGACGAGAAGCAGCAGCATCTTTACATCCGGATTCATAACGTCTAATACTATGGCGCCTAATGCTATGCTAGCTGAGCGCCCAGCGGTACGTGTGTTAATACAGGGTCCGCACTTGAGCCAATGTGGGGACGCAAACTAATGTACAGATATAGTGCGACTTTTGTCATTCAAGAAAGGTTCGTTAAGGACAATATGCGACGGTCTAAAAGGCCGTGGTCTCGCAAGGGGTTTTTTTTTAAGCTGCCCGCTCCTGTGTGTGTTGAGTGTTGACACAGAACTTTCCCAGATCAAATGTGATCGCCAGTTATCCTGTGCCAATTGCATCGAGGCCCAGGTAGACTGTCGCAGGGATCGGCCCAGGAAAAGTAGACGCTCGAAAGGAGCTCGGTACGATGTACAAATATCCTTGGTAGTCGAACTACGCTCACGTCGTGAAGTGTAATCTCCTTGTCTGAAAGGCTTGCTGCACTCGAGTCCACAGTCGCCGGTCTTCCGCCTCAAGACAGGCCGACTCGTCACGCGGTACCACATGATTTACCAGAGCAGGAGACTCTCACGAACGACACTGGTAGCGTTTCTAACTCTGGGCATCAGAATAATGAATGCCTTGAGAGGCGATCGCCAATTTCACTGGAACCCAACGTCAGAGATGGCTTAACTCAGCAAGCCTCAGAGGGTACTCGATTCCTGCAATGCGAGCTGGAGTCATATCCCTTTCTTGGAACAAGCAAATCGATCGTGATGAAAGAGGCGATTGACTTTGTCAGTCGGCTCTCTAGTACCTCAAACACACACTTTGCGACCGATGGTTTTGGCTCATCTGCAGTCAGTGTGGATCTAGAGTCAAAGGGGTTCCCGCCAGAGCTGTTATATATGATGACCATGAGTGAGTCTGTGGATACGAGATAGTGGTTGATGTCGCTGATCGATCTCTTCAGACGGTGAGTCGAATACTTTGAGACAGTCATTTTGGCCTGATCACGTTTCTTCTCAGACCTTAGAAAGAATGTGTCTGTCCCTCGTCGAAGGGAAAGAGGACCAGCACAAGCTTACTTGCTACCGTGTCTGCGTCTACATGAAAGCCTCCGCGCTGCTTTGCCGACTACCCAAGAACGACCGGAGTGTACCACTTCGAAGGCATCTTAAACAGAGCAAACAGCAATATGAACACGAAGTACACAAAGCTCTGTCTGAGATAGACTATCTTGCGCCACCCAGTTTAGTTCTCTTACAAGCATTCCTGTCGGGTGTATGTTGAACCTGATGTTCACCCGTTTGACTAAAGCGACGTTCATACTGATTTGGTCACTACCAGGCACTGTTCATGCAGAACCAAGGTGATATGTCCCGAAGCTGGACATTGGCAGCTTTCGCATCTCGCACTTTGGTGTCTCTCAATTATCACCTGATTGACTCTATCACGCTCAATAATGAAACACAGCGGGACATATATGGGTCGTTGTATACGTGTTACTATCTCGACAAAATGCTCAGTGTGCTCCTCCTCAGACCACCGTCACTTCCAAAACTGAAGATCAAGCCGACAGACTTGGTTTATTTGGATAGCCAGCTTCCACTCAGCGCCATTGTCAAGACCATGGTTGAGTTTGCGCAGATCCAGGAAGGTGTCCTCGATATACTCAACCACACCAGTAAGAACGATCAAGTCGCAGCTATTGATCAGCTGCTACGGGGCATGCGTGAAATCAATGCATTGATCAACAAGGTGAGCGATCCTTTTATTCAGTCAATCGAGACGAAGCAACAGATATTGATGTCGCGTTCTGTCAGCATCGAGTTCTGCCACCCTTCCGAGAAACGACTTATGAATGGGCTGCCCTAGAGTTTGGGTATTATGCACTACTGGCTAGTGTGTTGCATTTGAAACAACGCGTTGTCCAAGATCGATCAATGCGGGAAGATTGCCTGCGGGCTTCCCGACAAGCACTGATACACCTGGTAAAAATCCAGGACGAACTTTACATGAATGCAAACTTCCTCGACGAGTATCCATACTCCCTCACGTGGTCAGTTCGGGCTTGTAATATGATGGAAGGATTTATTTCTAACTTTCTTCAGGACACTACTGTTCTACCCACTCAATGCATTCTTTGTCGTTTTCTGCAATGTTGTATCTTCCGCGAACCCGGACGACTATGCATTGATGGAAGCAGTCACCAAAGGGATCGTGCGCTTTGTCGAGATCCACCCTGCCATTGCTGAGATACATAAGCTTTTCTCGGCTTTCCTGGGGATGGTCGGGCCTCTGATCCATAGTCAGCCTCGTACCCCACGTTCTCAACCCATCCCGGATGCTGCTGCAATATTAGGAAATGAACCTGCAATTCCAACCGGCATGGCAACTCAATATAACCCAGGCCCCATCGGCTCAAATATTCTCCAAGAAAGTCGCATTGGTTTACCGGACCAAGGTATTGTCACTCAAGATGGACTGGTTGCTCCGGACGAAGAACTCTTGTGGGAATTAATAGATTCGCAACCATGGTTGGGCTGGATGAGATCGGATGGCTTGACAGTTGACAGGGAATCCCACTACTAATTGGAATGGATGTTATATTCATTTTTCATATATCATAATTTGAAAAAGCTTGTCTCAGTCGTCATTGAAGGCAAAAGAGACAAAGAGACGGACGGACGGACGGAGGCGTCATTGTTCCGGACTCGGGAGCAGTAAAGTTCAGGGTCCGTTCCGTAATCAACTCCACCACTTGGAGTTGGACACTTGCTCGGTCTTGACAGAGCGCGAGCACGAATTGAGACAATGTCCTCATTATTAATCAAAGCAATATATAATCGATAGGAGGTACGCTCTAATCTCATAGCAAATAGAAAACACTCAGCTGATCACCCCACTGATCTCAAAATTGACACAACATGCTTGTCTTGATCGCTGGTATCACCGGCTTCGTCGGTCTGCCGTGTGCCAGGTCCGCATTTGCGCGTGGCTTCAAAGTCCGCGGCCTAGCCCGCAATATCAATAACCTCCCGGAAGATGTTCGCAGCCGGCTTGAAGGCTTCGAGACATTGTCGAGCCCCTATGACGTCGCTGCAATGGACCGGGCCACCAAAGGCGTTGATGCCATCATTTGCTCCTTTGCTGGCGTTCCGGAAATGTTTATGGAATCGCAACTACTTCTCATTAGGGCAGCGGAGCGGGCGGGCGTGAAGGTAGGTAAAGAGCAAGCCTCTTTCTGGACACACATGGCTAAGTGATTTGTCTGAAGATCTTCCATGCCACCTCATGGAACTACGACTGGACGCTTTCCCCCGGTTCGCACGAAATATACGATGATATGCGGGGCTTCGCTCACCATGTGGCACTCAGTTCGGCCATCAAGCCGATCTATATGTTCACCGGTGCGATCGCGGATTACTACTTCAAGCGTAGCCGATATGACTGGGATCCGGATACCAAGTCATTCAACTTCCACGGGCCTTCGACATTCCCCACTCGATACACGACCGCAGAGGACATCGGAAACTATGTGCTCGAGGCTATCACCGCCCCTAATGCTGCCGATGGAGGTTTTGTTCGAGTCCAGAGCTTCGAAGCCTCCCCCGAAGACATTGTCAAAGCATACAATACAGCGAGAGAAGGCCGCGCCACTGCTAAGCTTAATTGTTTGGGCTCAGTGAAGGATGCAGAGGACAAGCTAAACGAGGGGAGAGCTAAGCATGGGAAGAGTGGTTGGTACAACTTCATTCGATATGTGTACCAGTATCATATCCCGGCTCGTTCTTGGGATTATGAGCCGGTGGATGTTTCACGCTTTCCAAACGTCACGCAGACTAGCCTGGAGGAATTTTTCCGCCGCAATCCGGACGTGTAGTTAAAACACATTAAGATGACTCGTCCTTTTTGAGTCTCGACAGATCAATCGTCTTGAATAAATCTTTGTGCTTCGGCCGCATCTTCCACTATTTTACCGAACAATCGGAAAGCTCACAAGAATAACTTACAGTCTAGTTTTTGAATATATATGCTCTCTTCACATTCAATAGAGACTCCTCGGTGTGCAGTGGCTGCGCTGGAGGATTTTCGCTCATCTTAGTGCTGGGTAATATAGTTGTGAATTTGGCAACATGGCTACACCAAAGCGCACAGGAAGCAAAGAAGCATCGTGATGTTCCATGATCTTACCAAATGAGGATGTAAGAGACCGATGTGGAATCAAATAAAGAGGCCTGGAAGACCACGAGGCTTTGTTCTAGGAGGTCCCTATCTACAGAGCTACAAAGACAGGTACCTTGTGACTAAGGCCCAGGTGCACAGTTTGAGCATGTACCGTGAGGAAAATCCCTTTTTCCGATATGCTATTGAAATCTATGTTAATCGTGGGTTTTCTGAAGAGGTGCGGCGGTAGATTGCAGAAGCTATATTGGAGTGCCCGTCGTTGTTGGCGACCTCAAGGTTGGGGAAATGTCTTACCAAACTCCCAATCGGACATACCCCTAGAAAGTTTGATCAGAATATTCCGCGTCCTTCCGCAGTATACTGGTGATGGCGATACTGCCCAGAGTCCTGGTCGCGGATCGATTGAAAGAAGCGTGCGTATCCCGCTAGAATGGAGATGTACCTTAAGATAGGTAACAGCCGACATCATGCTAGAGTCTTCAAAATAGCAGCAGGCGCTGCTACGGCTTCAGCGGTCTCTGGAGATAATAGCATAATCCTCAATCCTTTTCTGATTTGGAATCTACCAGATCGCTGTGCAAAGCACGTCTGGGAGTGAGAGCACTATGTACCTCAAAGACCTCAAGATAAAGTACAATACACCGACCATAGCGCATGGGGAAGGAGCTTCTCGTCCGCTCAGCCGTACTTGAGCCATAACTGGCCAGAATGGCCAGTTAGTGACCACTTGCGAATCCTAGCTGAGTTATTTTTTTTTTGTTTTAAAGATAGTGGCCACCTTGATGTTATCCATCTAGCCGGTTCGCTTCAATCAGGCATGATCGTAATATTGTAGATTTTTCGGAATCGTATCTGAAGCCTGCGGACCCTGACGGCCTATATGATTATTCTTACTGTAGAAAAGAGCATATGGTTGTATAGAGAAAGTAGCTGGTCTGAGTACACGCTGACCTAGTTTGAGCCCAAGTAGATTAGAAGCAGAGTTTACTCTTTAGTACTATACCATTGCTAACAATACATCATCTTAAACAATTTACGAGCTAAATGGGCCAACCGACACTGAGGAGTTATGTCATCAGTGCTTATGTTAGTTACCTTCCAACGAAGTGGGAGTTGACGGACGGACGGACGGACGGACGGACGGAAAGCGGAGCGTCTGCATGTGTTTGGAGGGAGAGTCGATGATGACTATCGACCTAACCTCAGAAAATATTCACGGACTCTCGGGTCACTAGTTGTTGTCAACTAAGTTCCAGTGTTCGTGCTGAGCGAAGGCTTAATAATGGTAAAGCTTTCAGTAATCGAAGACTTAGAACCATCACGAGCTTTAAAAGGCAGATAGTACGACGGTTGGCACCTCATCTCTACTTCTCTCATCATCCCGGTATCATTTTGAGATCTACCTCTTTTTACGCCCAACATCAGAAAGATCGTCAGAACTATCTCACTCCAGCCTCAACATGTCCACGTCATCTCTGGTCCACTACACCACCGTCACCCGCGATGTCGACGCACCCATCGGCCAAGTCTGGGGCCTCGTGGCGGGCTTCGGCGCCGAGAAGGCATGGTACCCAGGCGCCAAATCGGTATCTCTTGAAGGATTTGGAATAGGCAGCGTCCGCACCTTTAACTACGTCTACCCTGCCGGCAAGAACAAGGGCCAGGAATATACCTTCTCCGAGGAGCTTACGGAATATGACGCTTCCAAGCACTCGATGACTTTCCAAGTTCGAAGACCCGATTACCCAAACATGATCGCCTTTGGAACCACCGTCTTAGACTCGCTCGGGCCTAACAAGACCCGTTTCCGTTGGATCGCGGAGGGTTCGCCCTTGCCTGATGAATTTGTCGCGGTTTTGCGCGAGGACCTCAATGAACGGTTTGATGGGCTTATCATTGCCATCGCCAACCAGCTGGTCTAGAAGTGGAGAGATTGATTCTCGAGAAAGGAGGGAGGCATAGTGTGATTGGAACCACTCTAGGGGAGACCATGCCATTGTACGCATTGATTTGTATCCAGTCTAAAGAGAAATCAAGTAAAAAACATGCCATCGGCCTGGTTGTTTGGATGCATGGATGTATGCTCGTTATCGTTGAAATTGCAACTTGGCGATTGTACTGGCCCTAAGAGAGTGCGAGACTGCAGGTGAAGAAGGTTCACATGTATACTGCTAGTCTGAAGGATAGTAATATTGAGGTTATGCCGGTTTGTGATGGATGGGTTGTATGTTACTGCTCTTACAGTTTCTACAGGAGGCGACAATCCGGTTAGAATCAATGATCTATTTCTCTTTCCTGGTATCAGTATTCGTCTTTCGTTTTTTTCTCTTTTGTCTTGCGATAGACTTGCTATGATGATTATGACCTTGGTTTCTGCCTCAAAATTGGCTTGAGGTTAGACGTTTCGGCGAGTGAACTAGCCTACCATTGCTTTGGAGAGTTTTACAATAGAAGGATGCAAGTGGATACACATGGTTTCCATTGATCTGTTATCTTTGCCCGAAAATCGTTGACTTGGAGTGAAGACTGACCTGCATTGCCACGTGGCGGTCGCGAGGCAAGTTCGGGATATGTATGAAGCAATTCCCATTCATGACTTACATTGAGAGTGGGAGAGAGAGAAGCTAAGCACAAGAATCTCTTCCCTTTGGTCGTAACGTGAGAATCCTGGCAATACACTCTGGTGGCGATGGCAGAGATGATCTGTTGTGAATTCATGGATGTTTCTCTGGGCGTGCTTGTTGTTGCATTTGCAGTGAGGGTTGCAGTGAGACGTCATCTCTTTTGGTGGATCGGAGCGCCTTGCTCGGTCGTGAGTAGAAGTTCACACCCATCTGGGTTGGGAGCGTCATTCAAATTCACATGGCTGGGGGATTGGCTAAGGGATTGGGTCAGAAGTTGAGAGAAAGGCAGGGGCCGGGCACTGGAGTTTTGCTCTGGGAGTATTCTAGTGAATTGTTCCATGTTTAGCCCGTTGAGTATAAACAGGCAGAAACCATCTTTTGCGGATATTTGAGAGTATCAGGAAGAATTGGATGCTATCATCAGAGAGCAATTGGCAGACAGACAAGCCCACTTCTGCCTACTAAGAAATCAATGCTGAGGAAACAGTTGGATCAACTAGGGCACTGCCAGCAGCGAAATTTACTTTACGATCCCCATCACCTGTCCACAACAGAACCGGGTTCAGAAACGGACAGTGATGGCTAGGAGTCGCGCGCATCACACCTTTTCTAGTCAGAGCAATGGCATTTCATCACTGCTCTCAAGAGCGCTGCAAGATCCCAAGGTTGAGGTTGGAGCATGTATACAGTCCAGTAAGTTATATCCCGGTCGTTCATTCTAAAGGCAGTCGGCTACGGTGGATCGCTTCTTGTGGCGGACATTCTTGTCAAGATGATTGATTAGATCACCCGACCTTATGATGTTCAGCCCTTGTTGATTGAAGTTCCAGCGATTCACGGATCGATGATCGATCGTCATCGATCGTACTCGATATCATGACACACAAAATATCCTTCCTAGTCACACAGTTTCAGAAAGAGAAGTCCTTTGACGAACTACATTGCACTGTATGATATTACACATTGGAAATAGCAAGGCTACCTGAAAATTGCATCTTCGGGCGCAGCCAACATCAAAATACAGATTCTATGGATCGGGCCTTCGGGAGTCCCCGCGGGTGGTCTGCGGACCGCCGCAGACTCATCCATGGGTCGGCCTTACACAGTAAACTACTCAAGTAGTACTATATGGGGATCTATTGCGGAACACCATTCTATATCCAGCATCGAGGAGCTCAATTGCATCAAGACCGACCACAAGTCAAAAACCAGTCAAAGTTCCCCTTTGGTCTAAATGTACACCAGTCTGCCGTCCTCATTCGAAATCCGCTCACCGAGGTCGATACCTTGTCTTTCATTGAAGCTTCCATCTCTCGCCGGGAGGTCGGCCGTCAGAAGAGATCCTTCCAGCGTGATATTCTGGGCTGAATGCGAGAAATTTTGACCGTCCCAAAAGATTGTGCCTAAACGCGGTTGTCAGTCATCGACTTCAGTTCCAGTGTTCAGTTTCAGAAAAACATCATACCGTCTTCATTTCCGATAAGTACGTCGAGGTCCAGTCTGGCTTCTACCAAGTTTCCATTTCGGTCGGGTGCAGAACACGCAAGAATGTGCCCGTCCTCCAACCGGATGTTCTGACAGGAATGGGCGAATGACATGTTGCAGGTTTTGACTCTGGGAGTGAAAGAGTTTTGCGTTCTTGGGGACGATGTATGTGATAAGAGATAAAATGAGGGAGTGATGAAGCGGTAGGTATCTTTTGCTAGAGGATCGTAACCAGGGGCACATGTTTCTCGCTTTAAATAACCCTTGATCTACGTGTAGAGGCCGCTTAGCTGGACTCTGGATATGTTATGGTGATGTCACTAACTAGCTTCAGCGGGGAGGCCATGTGGGGTCCCCGGGATCGGAGCGATCCACCACATCGACAATCTTTTTCAGCCAGCAACACCTTCACGAGATTACTGTTTTTTTCTTCAATACCGAAAAAAAAAAAAAAAACTAAGCTACGATGCAGCGAGCTAAATTCGACAGATGCAATACCTACAGTCCAGATTAGATACTACGTCGTCGCAAGAGCGTAACAGCTACCTCTGCATTGCTTGAATCTATTCAGCAATAGCAGTAACCGCACACAGCTTCCAGCAGCTGCAAGACCCGCGGCTCCACTACGCGCCATCTGCTCCGTAAAAGGGGATTGTTCGAGTAGCGCTCGCTGACTCGTAGAAGAGAACCACCACCCAAATCAGGTATATGAACTGATCTGCAAATCTTCTCGGTCCCACACGCATGGCCCATCCACGTGTTGGTCTTACCTTACTTGAGAGAAAAATTGGTGGAAGGCAACCGGGGGCTTCCCGGAGTACGAGTCAGTGACCGAAGTTACGGGAATGATTGACTCGATGATAAACCCGGCGATCTCTTCATCCAAGCTCGTTGTGGGTTACCCACGCTCATCAGTCTCGCAGTCGTCACATAAGCTCTAGTTGATGTGTCATCCAGATTCTTCAGATTCACGGGGTTGCTAAGTCATGACTCCTCCGCCATGGAGTTCAAGATTCTTCTCCCCATGCCCTCCCAGCAGACCATTTGCTCGAATTGTCTCCTACCACCAAGAATACCAATGACCTTCGCAAAGAAATACTCTCCATCACGCTGCAGAAAGAGACCCAGCGAAGGCGATATTCAAGGTAAATGTGCACGTACCGTGCAAGAAGAAAGCAGCTCGATGATAGACAGAAACCGAGTTTCGTGGCATGGGTGCCACGGACCATCAGTACTCGGCATGCTCTAGTCGACATTTTGACTGCAATTTACGCAGTAGCGACCCACCTAGCGGTGAGAAACTCAGGCAGCTTTTTGTCTTTCAGATTAGGCCATTTATAGTCATGGCCAAGATTTAGAGTAGGCTTGCTGGAATATATCGACTATGCTGATGTATCGGTCTTATTATAATACTATACTGTGCTAGCTGGCAAAGTTTGAACTGCTTTTCTTAGGCTTTTTTCTATTTCTTTCTATGATAATGGGCTGCAAATTAATGTACAGCCTAGGTTTCAACACACTGATTTTGTAATGGTACTTACTACTGTCCTAACTTTTTAGAAAGTCCCAGATGCAGATAAAACAATATATATATCTATCTATCCCTTAGCTAGACCGTATTTTCCGGTCGGTCCTTACGTGGCTATGGAACCACAAGACGAACTGTGCAGGAGAATTTTTCTAAAACCCGCTTCTATTTAGATAGTTTCTGAGAATCTGTCAGCGCAGCTGAGTAATCCGGCCACGTGATGCAACGCGTTGCTAAGTTGCTTCCCATGTTGATACGTTAGTTCCAACCACAAAGAGAATTAAGAACACGTTCTATACACCTCACCCCTGAGACTTCAAATTGCCGATAGAATCAATATATGCTGTAAGTCCGTGTCTATAACGGTACCAGAAAGAAGTTCTTCTTAGAACATATAATCTAAAATTCCTTGTATATGCCATAAGACTCTATATAAAAATTCTCTTATCATTTGATCCGCCGTAAGATGCTTTTTTTAATACAATCCAGATTATAAGTTTTTAGGTGCTATAAATACAACTATATACCTTTTATTTAGTTTTTTAGACTTCTGCTTTTTCTTGCAAATGCTATATATCTATTAATATATAATTGATTTTTGTTTAAGTCAGTACTAAATAAATGCTGCGCGCAATAAAAGTGTATATAACTTATAATTTGAATTTAAATTTTCTACCCCCGACCCCGAAGCCCGTCTCGATGATGGACCAATTCCGGCCCTTGCTAGAACCTCCTTTCCTCATGCTCAGCGCCGGCTGCGCCTTGTTCTACCTGGGCATGTACCTTCCCTTCAACTACATCATCGTGCAGGCGGAATACGAAGGCATGTCCGCCGGGCTGGCCGGGTATCTCATCCCGATCCTCAACGGCGCTACTCTCTTCGGCCGCATCCTCCCTGGCAAAGCGGCCGACAATATCGGCCGGTTGAACACCATGATCGCCATGTGTGCCTTTGCCGGGGTGATCGTGTTGGCGCTATGGCTTCCGGGGACCGGGAATGCGCCCATCATGGTGTTCTTCGCCCTGTACGGGTTCGCCTCGGGGGCCTTTATCTCTGACGGCGCAGATCAGTGGCTTTCGGGAGATTGGGGTGCGGTCTGGCACCCTCTGGTTGATTGTGGCGATTGCGGCGCTGGTGGCCAGTCCGATTGGCGGCGCGCTGGAGGGGCGGGATGGAGGTGCGTTTGTCGGATTACAGGTCTTTGCTGGTCTGGCTATGCTGATTGGGACGGGCCTTTTTGTTGTGGGGAGGTGGGCCCTTGCTGGATGGGATCCTTTTGCGAAAGTGTAAGTGTATAAGTGTGATTCAGCCTGCTGAAGAGGTTGAAGTGATACTTAGGGCTTTGGATGTCTGCATCGAGACAGAGTATCGACGGGTCCTTCCTGCAATTTCGGGGGACTTTCCCAGTCCATAACAAACGAAAATGGATCGGAGGAACCGTAGCAATGATTTAAAAAGATAGTATCTTTGTAAATGAATGTGCCCAGTGCTTTACCATCATTTGCTTGCCGAATCACCGCACGAATTTGTCCTCAATAGCTTATACTGGTCGATCTCGGTGGTGATCGATCGGATGGCCTTTGCACAGTGGCAGAATTGCCTGAAGCCCAAGGTCCACGGCGCATCGAACCTCGACCTGGCCACCTGTACGAGTGGGTACCAGCTCGACTATCTCGTCTGCTTCTCCTGGGTGTCGTCCATCTTTGGGGGGCAGGGCCTCGCCAACTACGCGGCCGTCGATTGTGATCCGGACGGACTGATGCGCTACCGGCGACAGTCCGGTCTGGCGGGCTCCGCGATTGACGTCGGCATGGTTGTGGGCAGTAGACTGGTCACGCAGGATGCGGCCCTGCAACAGACCATGGAGCGGCTGGGGTTCGATCCCGTCACCAAGCAGGAATGCCTCGATTAGATCGAGGAGGCGATCGTTCAGGGGAAGTCCCTGTCCTTGCTGCCAACGGGATCTTCTGCTTCCGGGATCGACCAGACGAGCACCATCAGCGGTCTCAGGATGTTCCCGGATGTCTTCTGGTCTCATCGCCCGCCTTTCCCGCAATCTCTACCGGAACTACGATTCCGTGACCGCAGTACTAGAAGTGATGGCTGATGGCCGCCAAATTATCACGCACCTGGCGGCATATCTCCGCTTCTATCCGGGACGCAGACAAGAGGCGCGTCATTCTGACGAGATGCCTTTGTGAACAAAGTCTCCGCCGTGCTCGCAATTGGGGCCGACTCCAGCACGACCAGCAATCCCTCTCCGCGTACGGCTTGGATTCCATCGTGGCCGTGGACTTCTGCCAGTGGTTGGCCAAGATCGCCGAGGTGGAGGTGTCGCTATTTACAACCAACGAAGTTTTGGAGGTGGTGGCTGCGGGCAGCGCCATTTGCAGCTGACTGTTAGAGTCGTGTCCAACTCCGGCGGAAAATTGTGTTTTGAGAGTGCTTTTCCGTATCCTTCTGTGGCTTCCATAAGTGCAAGAGATTTGATGGTCAGACACCTTTTTGGGGCCCATGAATCGCTCGATCGCTCGCATAGCTTCATTTCGCCTCAACATCGGGCAGGGTTATGATAACACGTGATCTCGATCTAGTCCCCGGGGGGGGGGGGGGGCGAGAATGGTCTGCGTGCATCTCGCAAATACCTTGAGTCCTGTACGGAGCTGGTACTCGTTCAGATGGCCTGACTGAAATTTCTTGTTGGCTGGATGTATGCCCGATGCCCGAACCCCTGATCGAGGAGAGCCTTGTGGAAGGATCCACTAGGGCATCCGGGGGTGGTCCGTAGAAAGTAAGCACTTGGCCAAGTGAGGCTTGGTATAGGGCTGCTATCATGGATATGACATGGATGTCAACGCACATGGTCATTCTTATTAGCCAGCAGCAGGAGATAACTCATCTAAAGCCCCCACTAACCCCTCCTCCAGTTTCTTTGTCCCTCTATTTACCACTTTACCTGATCTTAGTATCACTTTTGCCCTTGTCTTCCTATCCAGGCCATCCGCAGATAGGTACAGTACTTAAGACGACAACCCTGCCAGCAAAATAAACCCCTTTTGTTCTTTCAACTTCATCTCGACCACCTCCCTTCTGAGCACCTTCCAAACAATCCCCCACCAAAATGCCCGCCTCTTCCCACATCGAGAACTACGACCAGTCCACCTACTGGATCGCGCACGCCCACAACTTCCGTTCCTCAGCGCGCCTCCACCTCCAGCACTTCCTGTACCAAAACACCCTCGACTATCTCCTGGAGCCAGAGATCGCGAAAGCCGTGATTGCCGCGCAGCAGCCGCTGAAGATCGCCGATCTTGCCTGTGGCAATGGCGTCTGGCTCACCGAGCTTCACACCCAATTGACCAAGGACTCCGATCTCTCTGTTCAGCTTGATGGCTTCGACATCAACCCCGTCAACTTCCCCGCCGCGGCCTACCTACCCAGCGGCGTGTCGCTGCAGCAGCTCGACATCCTTACCAAACCTCTTCCGGCCGCGCTGCTGGGTGCCTACGATGTGGTACATATCCGCGCCTTCGCGAGTCTGATCGGGCCGGACTCCGACCTCACCCCGATCCTCACGGTGGCCTCTGCCCTGCTCAAGCCCGGCGGCTACCTCCAGTGGGAAGAGAACCGCGGGGATCTGTTTCTGGTCGAGGCCCCCACCCCGGAAGTCTCCAAGGCCGCCTGCAGCCAAGCGTCGCAGGTGCTGCAGGGCGGGCTGCGCGCCAAGGGCATCAGTAACGCCTGGGTGAATACACTTGACACCCAGCTCACGCAGTTCGGCTTCCAGGAGGCCCGTCTGCTGGCCCACAACAAGCGGCCCCAGGACTACAAGGGCTGGACGGAGAATTATCTGATTGTGTGGGAGGAACTCGCTGCGTTGTTCCCCCCAAAGGCCGAGGCGCCGAATGCTCCCCTCTCCCGCGAGGCCTGGGTCGCCCTGTTCACCGCGGCCGTCAAGGAGACGGAGCAGGGCGTCGTCGTGCATCAGGGTCGCGTTGTCACGGCGGTCGGACGGAAGCCGCTGGCTTGAATTTGTTGTCAACCGTTGTATCGAGACCTGATCCGGTTGGATATGACGTAAATCAATATATAACTTGATATAGCTAGCTCTGGGGACGAAGCTTAGAATAAAATTGGCTACCGGTATGCTCTTCCAGCACATCCTTGCTCTTTTCTCGCTAGGGCAAACCCATACCAGGTCCTAAAGGATCTGATTAGGTGTAACAGCGTTACCCCCCCAATCCCTTTCCGCCCCTCCCCCTGATCTCTTGATTACTGCTTACTGACCAATGCATTTAATCACTACCGGGCTTGCTCTTGCTCCTCGCCTAAGCGAGTCAGTCTAAAGATTAGATAGAACCAATGGCATAAGAAGTGGAGGTGCCCGCGGCGACACTGATCATCACCGGAACCGGGCAAGTGCGTGTGCGATGACCAACGCAACCTGCATGTCAGATGTAAGTCACACAGACTTTAGGTACTGTACCGAGAAGGACCATCAAGCGTGCAAACCCCGAGACCCGAAAGCGGCTTCGCGTTACGGGGGAATACCAGCCTAGTGGAGAAGTCAAGCACCGTCTTGAGACAACGCATCTAGAGCAGCGAGGAAGCGAACGAGACCGTGAGCAGTGAGACCTTAACAAATACCGTTTTCATGCATGCAAACGGGCGAGCGGGGCAGCGATGAGTGAACCTCCAACAGAACAATATAGAGATAATCATTTAAATTGGCTATGCTTGATACTTTTGGATCTAGGGTATGATTGGTAGAATATAACGGGGACGGAGGTCCGGACTTCCTTAAATGTTAGTGCATGCATTTCATCTCTCGTCAAACGAGTATTGTATGTACTGTCTGTTGTTGCGCAAGGCCGACGCAGTTGCAATCATTCTATCAACTAATTCAAGTTTCATTGAGACCGATCTCCAAGCCCCCTCTCTCATTTGACTAGCCTGCTCTATATACCTATCTCCACACTAACGCACGCTCATTGTTTGCCCACCAACAAGAACCTCCCCCTATCCCGGGTGCATCTGTCATCCTCCCCGCTTGATTGATGGGATCGCGGTAACCTGGTACTGCACTTGCATGCATTAGCCTCGCCCACGAAGAGCACAGCCCTCACCTTCTTGGGATATCCAGTCGTCTACCCCCTCACTCCATAGCATTACCTCGGTTTGTGGTCTACATAAGTAGTAGCGGTGCATAGAGGAAGCTGCTGGTGGCTGCAGACATGCTTTTCACTGCAGTGCCACCAAGCATCCACCAAGCATCCACCAAGCATCCACCATGTTATCACTACTGCTTTTCAGCACAGCAATGGTAGCTTCGGTCTCGGTCAGGCTCTGCCGCCGGATCTGGTACGAACTGTTCCTCCGATACAGTCAATTCCCCAACTGCCCTTATCTCTGCTCTGGGGTCACCTGAAGATCTATCATGAGATCGCTCAGCGGGGGTTCCTGGACTGTGATCACGGTAAATCTGCACCTCTGCACCGACGCGTTTTCATTGAAAGTGTGTGTGTTCGATGAACTAAACTACTGGAAAAAATGGTGTGGGAGGCAAAACAGACGACATCTTCGCGCAGATCCATGAAACCCTGGGCCAGCCCCCGGTGGTGCTGTTCGATTACCGACCGATCTACCGGCCGGTGCTGGTGATCGCCAGCCACGAGGTGGCCGAGCAGATCTCACGGCCCAGCAAGCAGTTCCGCTTCAGCGTGCCGAAGCTGGAGCTGGGCTTTCTCGAGCCCGTCATCGGCCACACCTCCATTCTCGCCGCCGAGGGCGAGGCGTGGAAGGCGCTGCGCAAGACCTTCAACCCCTGGTTCTCCCCGCAGAACCTGCAGGCCCCGGTGCCCACCATCGTGGAGCAGACGCGGGGGTTCATCACGCAGCTCGACGCCCTCGCCGGCTCCGGGGCGCCCGCCCCCCTGGTCACCCTCACCACGAACCTGATGTACGAGATCATCGGCGCCGCCCTCCTCGACGAGGACCTCGGCGCCCAGCACCTGGACCCGCGCCACCGGAGCCCGCTGGTGCGCGCCTTCAACCATCTCATCCACGCCTGCTGGGACGACCAGATCCACCTCCCCTGGTTCTTCCACCCGGTCAACGCCCTGCGGCGCCTGCGTCCAGCGCCTCCTGCAATCCCACGTCCGGCGCAAGCACGCCGAGCTGTAGACGCAGCAGACACAGCAGGCGGGGCTGGCCGTGCGCCTGCCCGCCTCCTCCACAAACCCAACCCCAAACCCAGCCCACCCAAACCCGGAACCGGAACCGGAACCCCTCTGCCTCGACGACCTGATCCTCTACAACTGCACCGCCATCATCCACCGCGACCCCGCGGTCTTCGGGCTCGACGCCCCACGTCTTCCAGCCGGAGCGGTGGGTGGGCGTCGACGATGACCACGCCCTCGACCAGGACCAGGACCAGGACCAGAGTCAGGACCACGGAAACAACAAAGCGATCCCTCCGAGCGCATGGCGGCCGTACGAGCGCGGGCCCCGCGCCTCCATCGGGCAGGAGTTCGCCCGCCTCGTGATGCGCGTCATCCTGGCTGTCGTGGGGCGGCGGTATGTGTTCACCAACGTCGGGCTGGGGGCGGTGGTGCGCGCGAGGCGGCGACGGGCCGGCCCGTCTTGCGGCCGGATGGGCAGGCGGAGGTGGAGGGGGTGGTTTATACGGTGAGTTTTCTTTTCTTTTTTCTTTTTTTTTACTTTTGCATGTAGGCTGGACGTAAGCTATGGAGTTTCGCGCTAACGGCCTGCCCTGCGGATTGTGGGCTGGTAGACACGGCAGATCACGGCGAGGCCGGTGGATGGGTTGATGATGACGGTTCGGAGACGCCCGGGTGCTGAGATTTGAGAGGAAAGGGGGCTTTGTGGTTTCTGAGGCGTGGGGGTCTGAGATTCCGGGGGTTAGGCGGTGCTGGGCAGACATGGTTTGTTGGCGTTCCTCAACCTAATGCACATCATCTACGGTTCAATAATCACCTGCTATAAGCCTATTCACACTACCACATTACCTACCACTACCAGACCATCCATACGTCAAGGTTCAACAACCTAACTCTGAATAGCACGACCTACACCACTCCTCCCCTCCGCCAATTATGTGAACCTATGATCTTGTTATACGATAGCAACTGGCTACTCGTCTACTGCAAACAACCATTCACACTAAATAGCCTCATCAATCAAGCTGCATTCCAACATCAGTTATCCTAATTCATAAGCATCTGGACGTAAATCCTCTTTTGTTTCTTATCTGGTATTCATTAAACACATGCAAAGGCACGCTGGTAAACATCATAATCAAATCACTGACAGCACAGCCTCAAGGCTGCACCGCTAAACCCACAGCACAAACCATTACTCCCGCTTCGGAGGAGGCGAGAACGCCTTCTTCCACCGGAAGCTCAGCAGATCGCCGACAACCTCCTTGGTCTGAGCAAGGTTCTCCTTGACGATCTCCGACGTCGGTCGCGAGAAGAGCTCGTCGATCTCCTCGAGGGACTTGTTCTTCGTCTCGGGCATGAAGATAATCTGGTAGATCCAGCCGATGAAGGCGATACCCCCGTAGAAGCCGAGGGTCAGACCAGTCCGAGTCATCGCCTTCATCATGCGCGTGAAGTTGTAGGTCACGATGAAAGAGCACAGGAAGAGGTTGGCGTCCGCCACGGTCATTCCGTAATGACGGAGGTAGGTGGGGAAGACCTCCGAGGGGATGACCCAGGTGAGACAGGCATAGGATCCGAAGAAGCCCATGTACAGGATGATGCCGGTGAGATAGACACCTTCAGCGGCAGCCGGGTGGGTGTTGTAGTTGAATTGGTAGCCCACACCGACGAGGACTAGACCGATGAAGAAACCGGGGAGCATGACGTTGGCCCAATAACGCCGGCCAAACCGTTCCATGTAGATCACAGCGGGAATAGTGCCCAAGAGAAGTGAGCCACCGCCAACCAGGGACATGAATACACTATTCTTCGTGTTGAACCCAATATTGGTCATCAAGGTGCTCATGTAATACATGACGGCGTTCACACCCGTCAACTGGCCGAGAACAATCATGATATTGGCATAGACAAGCGCACGACGAGCACGGGGCTTGGTGAAAAAGTCCAACCAGGCGTATTTCTTGGTGTTCTGCTGCTCCTCAGCCTCAGCGAGGACGGCCTGGCGCATACCCAGGAACTCGTCCTTAGCTTCGTAGGTGTCAAAGCCGCGGATGCGTTTCCACACTCCGTAGGCTTCCACGGCCCGACCCTTGTGCATCAGGTAACGGGGACTCTCGGGCAGGAAGAACATGCCCACCAGGAGGATGGTGGAGAAGACCAAGGAGGAACCGAGGATGTAGCGCCAGTTGCCGGTAACGTCGAGGAACATGGCAGCCACGGCGTAACCCAACACCTCACCCAAGGCAATGTTCAGTTGGTACAAGGAGACAAGATTGCCACGAATACGACTGGGGACTGGAAGGGGTTAGCGTGCTGGCCCTACAGTAGAAGCAGATAGAAAGGAACATGAACATACCACTCTCAGCAACGTAGACGGGGACCGTACCACCCTCCAGACCGACACCGGCTCCGAGGATAAAACGACCGGCAAAGATCATACCAAAGTTCACGGCACCAGCCTCCAGGGCGGCACCAACGGTGTAGAGGATACAAGAGACAATGATAGACATACGACGACCCAGGTACTCATTGGACGGGGACAGAAGGATAGCACCGGCCACGGCACCCAGGGGCATACCGGAGTCGACCAGACTGCTTTGGTTGTCACTGAGGTGCAGCGCATCGCCCAAGAAGAGATTGGCACCACTGATGAGGGACTGGTCCAGACCGGACAACAGACCTCCCATGGAGGCGAAGGCGACCAGCATGTAGGTGTAGATAGCCGGGCTGGAGAAGGCGACCTCGAAGCGGGACTTGGGCATCTCCCTCAATTGCTGCTCCAGCTCCTGCAACTCTGCATCCATGGCAGCCTCGGTGAGCTCCTCCATGGCCTTGGGGTCCTTGTGGATGTCGTCCATCTCGACGGCGGTGCCATCCTTGTGGTCATCGTGGGCGGTGTCCAAATCGTGCATGGTACCCATGATTGGTTAATGGGGCGGCTGTGCCAGCTGCAGGTTAGGGGAATTTTTATGTGTACTGTATAACAATGGACGGTTTATCCCGATTGCATGTACCGGACGTCTGCGCGACCACAGTTGACCACAGCCTCAAGATTAGAACGAGGACTGAGGTGGAAAGGGGAGGGATGACCACCACGAGGGGGGGGGGGAGAGGAATGAGAAGCGGGGAAGCGTGCAGATCGAGTGCAACCATTCCGGGGGGGAAGAGGGGAATGCACGAGGCTTTTAAAGGCAAGGCGCATCAGGCCAGAAACGCCCAAAGACCCCAGAAAATCGAGTGTCACCATGATTGATTGACTGACCGACTGACCATCATCGTCATTGTTGATTGAAAATTTTCCCACAAGAGCCAAGCAAGACTGGGGTCGGCAGGCACCACCGCGTCATCGGGCCGTCTGGCCAGACTGGGAAGCCGAAACGACCAGGGATTGCCAGCCAGAAAGACAGGCGGGATAGAGAATGACCGAATGGAAAGGCAGAGAAAACAGAGAAAGACCGGGGAGTGGGGCCACCATGGTCAGAGAGAGTCAGCCAGAGAGCCTAAACTGGGACTAAGTCGACTAGATGAATCCAGTTTCAACCCAGTAGAGGCAGTAGACGCAGTAAAACCCAGTGAACACGAGAAAAGTTCGGGATGGAGAGAAATCCACCAGGGTAAGTGGAGTGGAGACCACATGCGGATTGCGGAGAAATCCAGCGAAAAAGTTCCCCGTGGGCAGCCAAAGCGGCCTTAGCGTTAGGTAAGCCGAGCCGAATTTCTCTTCTTCTTCTCCTTCTTCTCCAATGCCGGCACCGGGACAATTTCGGAGACTCTCCGGCACCATTCCACCTTGGTGAATGGGCCCCGCGTGACTGTCTGGCTGCCCGCTTCAATGTTCTTCTCTCCAGTTCCCGATTCTTCCCCATAATATCTTGGTTTGGAGTTGTACTAGGAAGCATAGTTGCGCCATTTTCCACCCCCACGAATTCAAACGATGCCCAACATGGGCACAATCCAACAACTCATTCAGCGTTAATACTTTATCCACGATGCCTGCCGTCCAGCTGAAGCCTTCACCTCCCTTTTCCCTTTCGTTCTCTCAGGGATTCCGACTTCCCCATTCGCTCCCCTGGCTGAGAATCCAAACAAAAAAAAAGCTTCCCGGCCGTTCAACCACGGCTGAGGGTCAACCCTCGTCCAAACCACTTGTAAGACTAAAACCCGCCCAGGAGTTGCACCCCCACACATTCTGCATCATTCGGCCATGGGGGAAGGTTTGCCCTGCTCTCTGGGGGTGGAAGTGGATTCGTGGGTTGACAGAAAATAACCACACAAAATAAAACAATATTATCACGTAGTTGGGAAAGCAAGGAAAGAAGTCAGCTGGGTTGCATTATTATGGCTCTGAAATTATTCGAGACAGACAAACATAGTCGCAACAATAGATCAAAACCATCGCATCGCTAATCAAATACACAACACAGCACAGCACAGCAAGAGAATCTTCTCTTCAAACAACCCGCTGGGAGGAAAAGAAAGTAATTATGTAAACCGCAGCGCATCCCCGATATGGCCCTTGGGGTAACTCAACTCACTAATTTCTCACTTTCCTCACTCTCCTTCCTACTGAGTACTCACCCCGCCCTTCTCCATCGGCACCACCCGACTGTGTGAAAAGACGAAAGACTAAAACCAGCAAGTCCGCATCTTTTCCCTGCAGGTCGAGAGTTGGTGCCCCCCTCCCCTTTCTTCCCTTCTCGTCTTAGTTTTTTTTTTCTCTCTCTCTTTGACTCCGGGCTATTCCTTTACTCCCTCCCACACCGCCAGGATTTAGCTCCCAAGCTCAGTCAATCATCATTGGTTCCTTGACATTATCGTCGACCCGGCATCCCTACCGGTTTTCGTGCGCTAGGATCCGCTCCCCCGGCCACGTAGGGTGAACCCGGCCGACTGCTCGGATTCTGGCCGGGGCTGGGCGACCGGCCCCCATGCAGGCGTGCCCGGAGTCGTTCCTGGGCCGACGCTGCGCGCTCCAGCGGTTGTTGCGTCACGCCGCCGCCGGTCACGGGGCCCGAGATCGTCTGGTAGGATCCGGCGCGCTGACTGGGCAGGGGACGGCCGCCCCCGGATGGATGGTGAGGGTGCTGCTGCATTGCCGACGGGCTCGGGGACAGGCTGTTGTGGGCGATTGGGCCCCCCGGAGCACTAGCCGTCGCCGACAGCGGTGCCCCCATGCTGTTGTTGCTGTTGTTATTTCCCCCGGCGGTCATGCGACCCCGGCGCAAACTGGATGTCTGGGAGGTCGGAGCCGTGGCGGAGCCCGCATCTCCCCATAGGTCGCCCAGTCCACCACCACCACCACCGCTGCCGCTACCGCTGCCGCCACGTCCGTATACTGATGACGCTGGGGCGCCACCAGCAGCGCCGGGTGGGATCTGGGAGGTCGCGATGACCCGCGCCGGTGCCGGCGCGGGGGCTTTTGGGTCCGGGGGCAGCCACGAGGGATACGGTCGCCCCTTTTCGGTGTAGTAGGCGCGCAGCACGTTCGAGATGTGCGAGCAGTCCTCGTTGTCCGGGTCGTCGCGCTCGTCGCCCGACGTGATGGCCCGTTTCAAAGAGTTGAGCCGGGTGCCCAGGTTCGAGATGGCCGACGAGGACGTCAGCGACGAGAAGTATGAAGTCATTCTGGTGTAGTTGCTGCCCGTCCCTGGCCGTGCGATTGATTGTTTTTGCGAGGTGGAGGAGGGGGGGAGCCAGAGAAAAGGGTTGAAGGATCAGCCAATGGTGGGGTATCAAGCGGTTGAGACGAGGGGTGAAGGACAATGCGGAGGAAGGCGGAAGAGAGGTGGCAGCAGGGCGCCCTGCAAGGTGAGAGCAACCAGGGTCGTAAATTAGCCGTCAAAGGCGAATCGCAAGAAAGCTTGGGACACGGTATGCCGAAGATGCCAGACACGACGTGTAGCAGGAACAGGAGTTGAGCAAGCACCCTCGTAAGGGGAGTTTGGCATTAATTGGGGATTGACTCTGACCATGTTGGCGATCCACTCTCCGTGTTTCACTCCGCCCGCTGGCCGCAGCACGTGAGCCGCCGGCCTGCCACACCGCCAACTGGTAACTTAGCCGCCGTTGTTCCATGCAAGGAACAACGGCAGGCAACTAGAAGCTTCGCTACATCTTCGAGATCTACAACCAGCACCAGCACCAGCGCCATCATCAGAACAATCATTCAACAAGCTATATGCAATGGCTGGGTATGATATGCCCGATCGCAGCATGAGAAACAACGAAAGAAAAAAAAAAAAGGTAAAGTCAGTAGATACATCAACGAAACTCGAACCGAAACAACGCCATACGAAAACATGACCACAACCGAGCTTTTTGTAGTAAAACCCCCATCCTCTCCAAAAATCCGGCAATGGGGTTTAAGCCAGAACCTTTCCAGGCCCCTCAGTCTCATACTCGATCTCGATGCGAGGACCCTTCTTGCGGGGCTTCGCCTGGGGAGCAGGACGCTTGCGCTTGAAGCCGGGAGCGGGCTTCTTCTTGGCGGCGCCCTCATCCTCACTGTGCTGCGAGTCATCCTCCTCATCGCTGTCCTCCTCATCCTCACTATCATCCTCGTCCTCCTCACTGAAATCCTCACTATCGTCCGCGGACTCCCCACCGATCCAGTCCTCCAAATCCTCAAGATCACTCTCCTCAACATCACTAACATACTCGACCTGCCCGACGCCCTCCTCACCCTCCTCCTCCAACTCCTCCTCATCGTCGATGCGCTCCCCATCATCAAGATCCTCATCGCGCTCGCCCTCGCCCGTGCGCTCCAACCCGCGCAGCACCTTCTTCCAGATCCCCTCTTCGACGTTGAGCGGCCGGTCGCCGTACGCCCCGCTGCGCAGCCGCTCGATCAGCTCGCGCTCGATGGCGCGCTCGATCTTGGCGGCGGACTCCGCCTTGCGCTCGCGGGTGGCCTCACGGCGCCGCACCTTGGGCGCCAGGCGGGGCACGACGGTCTCGCCCAGGCGCTCCTCCTCCTTCGCGAGGCGCCGCATGCGCAGCGACACCTGCGTCAGCCGCGTCAGCCGCTGCTTGCACTTGTGCACCAGGAACTTGGGCCAGTAGATCAGCCGCTCGTCCAGCTGCTCCAGCGCCTTGGCGTAGTTGCTCGACAGGCGGATCCGCTCCCACCACTTGGACGGCATGTGCGCCCGCTCCACCGTCTTCATGTACAGGTACATCACCCCGGTCTCCGGGTCCGACCGCACCGTCGCGTACCGCGAGTTGGCCAGCGGGCACGATTGCCGGTTGCACAGGCCCGAGACGTTGTATTCATTGCGGCAGAAGTTTTGGCCCTTGGTGGTTCTTTATTTCTTTTTATTAGCATTGTGCCGTTTGGGGATATGGTCCAGAAGTGATTGTAGAATTGGTTGGATTCTCTCCTCCTTTGGCGATGCGGGAAAAAAATGACGCCGGAAAAAAAAAAAAAAAAAAACTCACTTCAGTTTGTAGGAACAAAACTGCTGGTTGATCACCTGCCAGACAATCTCGTCGGACGACATCTTGACGTTTTGGAATCTTTACTTGCTTGATGCGCAAGTTTCGAGCTTGATCACAGATTACAAGCCGGGTTTGTCGGTGATGGTTTGGGTCCGGGGGGCCACCAAAACTTCGCGATGCGGCGGTGGAGAGGAGACGAGGAAGGTGAAAAAAAGTTGCCGCAGTGATCGAGTCACGTGAGGGGTGGTTTTCCAAACCTTTTTTTCTTATCGATAAGGCTAGGCCATCCTTCCCTCATCCAAACACAATCCTCGGAATTGAATTGGACTGATGATTGTTGATTAGTCGCGGTTTCATCCCAGTACCATGCACTACCTGATCTGCTGCTGGGTGAGGCAGGATATGCTACCCAGCTAATACAATTCAACTCTATCTATCCTGTAATGTACGTATTACCACCCACTTTCCATGTGCAGGGGAGCCCCATCCCATTCAGTCCCGTTCACCATCGGTCCACCGCCCGCTGCTGCTGCCGCCGCCGCCGCCGCAGCAGCGGCCAACTCGGCTTCCTCGCTACTGCCCGGGAACCCCTCATCCCCAGCTATACCCCATCCCATCGCCTCGAGCTCTCTGGTGAAAAAGTCCCGCTCTTCCTCCATAAGAGACGCGCCCTCCTCGCCGCCCATCACGTCCTTGTACCGTCGGAGGTGCCACCAGTGGGTGAGTCCACGCAGCGCCTGCTCGAGCGGCAACGCCTCCTCGACCTCCGCGTCGATGTCCGCGCCCGAGAGCCAGTCATCCCGTAGCTCCGGCCGACAGTAGAGGTAGATGGCAGTGATTACACGCATGTTGCTCTGGCGCCACTTGCGGCCGCAGAACGGGACCTGCGACTTGAAGAGCTTGAGCGTGTAGAAGCGCAGGTGCGGGTCGGGGATTTTGAGTCCCTTGCGGAGGATGGTGCTGGACTTGTATTGCACCAGCAAGAGGCACCGGTGCGCCTTGTCGCGCGTGATCTTCTGCATGATGTGCAGGTAGTTAATCGCGGAGAAGAAGTTGCGGAAGGAGAACTCGGTGATCGGCTCCTTGGGCGGCGGCGCGATCGGGTACCCGAGCTCGTCCACCTCGGGACGATGGGGCCCCTCGCTGAACTCCGGAAGCAGGGATTCGGGCGACGGCCCTCGTACGGAGGAGTGGCCGGTCGTGTCCTGGCGTTGGCGGGTGATGGGCGGAGGGATCGCTTCGTCCTCGCTGGGCAAGGATTCGTCGTCCAGGTCGGGGGGCGGATGGTCGGACTTGAGATGACAAAATCGGAAGAAGCTGCTCGGAGTGCCGGTTAACACCCCACCCTCAGAATAAGATGAGAACAAAACACATACCCCAGCTCGTCGCGATCATTCTTCTGCGCAACCGCTTGATCAAGGTCTTGATGAGCAAACATCTTGAGAATCAGAGGTAGATAGTTGGAATCAAGAAGCAACTGCGTCATGTACTCAAACTTGAGTATATCTAGGCCTCGTTAGCCTGGTTCGTAGACGCTCAGTCAAAACTACCTACGAGATCGCTTGAACCACTTGAGCAGGAGCAGGAAAGATCCTGATATCGCCTTGGACGTGATCTCTCGGAGCCGCACATTGTCCAGCTCGTCAATGGCTGCTTCAATGCTCCGCTCTCCAGGGCCATGGTGTAAGGCGGATGGGTATCCATTGGCCGGGCCATAGTTGTCACTTGAAAGGCATGGTTATCAGCCTTGATTTATCAAAACGGAAGGAATTCGCGAAACCACTTACCTCATCCCTTGTCCATTCTGTCCGTTAGCCTGATTGACCATAGCACTGACGTTCGTCAAGATTATCTTGAGGAAGACGATCGTGATGGACTGTAAATGCACTAGAGCTTGTCTCTGCAGCGGCAGTTAGCTCCTGACTAATTCTCCAAGCCCGTAGAGCACTCACGTAGAATGACTCAACAGCATCTAAGCGTTGTTGAATGTCTTCATTTTCTGTTTCTTTGTCGGAGGGCTGATCAACACTCGATCTTTCTTTGAAATTAAATCCCAGGTTGCGCATCTCATCTGCTAGTTCTTCTGTCTCAAACTCGGTCGACGGAAACGTCTCATTCGGGCACCAGCCGCGGTCATACTTCATGAAACGCTCTCTCTCCTCCCACAGTTGCTGCATCGCCCGGGTCATCTTAACGTGGGTCGAGAATAGTTTCCCCGCCTCGATAATCGAAGCGGGAACATCACTACCCTCCCATCTCTTACCTACCAGAACGTCTTGCAGCTCGGTTGTCCCTTTTCCGCCGAGATCGTTGCTCGAATTATCCAGGGGTGGGTACATGAAGGGGAAGTTCTGGTTGGTCTGGTAATTTTGCTTCTTTCCCGCCTTACCGCCGGGTCCGATTGGGGAGGGCGGCGGAGAAGGGGCCGGCGTTGCGATGTGGACGGATTGGTGGATGATCGAGCCACTTCCGCCCGCTACGGAGGGCCCCACGCCGGAAAATGGACCGTTGGAAGTGTTGATCCGACTGGGGTGCTGAGGAAGCGGTGGCAGGATCGAATTGTTCTCCAATTCCAGGGGCACCACTGGGGGTGGTGGGTTATAGGCAGGATACTTTGACGTGATCTCCTGTCTGAAGTTGTGGTAATCCAGGGGCGAGGCAGTAAGAAAAGGAGTCCTGCGCGGTGAAGCATTCTCTCGTGCCTCAAAGGCGGGCTCCAGTGTCTTCTTGGCCTCCTTCAACTTGCTACTACCTCCAAAGAAGAGGAGTATGGTCTTCCAAAACAGAAGAATGATACGGGTGAGAGGAATATTGGCCGAGTCATCCCAGCGCAACCTAGCAATGATCTCGACTAAGAATACCAGCAGATTTGGCTCCAGATGCATGAGAGTTTCCCGCAGCGATGCATTCTTCGGCTCGAGGATTTCCTGCCTTCGAGCAACTTCAACGACGAAATATAGAGGCGTCAGTAGCAGGTTTGCCTCGCGTTCCATGTATGCTGAATTGGCGGAATCGGGGCCGGCCCCCTCCGGTCCTTGGGAGGACGAGCTTCGGTGCCTCTCGAAGACCCGGCATAAGCAATCCAACAAGGCCTGAATACCATCACATTCGTGGAGGAGGTGAACACTATGCTCGATCCATTTGACTTGTAATGATTTCTTCTCCGGAATTTCAGCGCCCGGGGGAGAGACATCTCCAGGATAGTCAGGCGCAACCTCTCCAGCGGTGACACCCCACACACCTGTCACGGCATAACAAAGTGCTTCCGAAGCCTCGAACCGCACTATGCCCGTACTTTCGCCTAGCCCGTCGACGATATGGCTCATGAATGCCTTCTGCAGGTCTCGCGGGGCGGCAAGCCAGTTCTGCTGCGAGGGGTCTACCGAGCGATCCTCACAGAAGGTGTGCCATTTGTGCTCAAAGGACCACTTCATGCCGACCAGCATGGCCCGATCGTACTCATTGTACTGGAACCACTCTTCAATCTCCTCTACAAACGGTTGGGCGTCAGCATATTCGAAGGCGTATGCCGGTTGTTCCACCTTGGGCATCTCCTGGACCAGTTGTCTTAGTTGCGCCAGACTCAGCGAGTCGGGTGGCGCGTCCTGGTTCTGGTTATGCTGGACAGGCGCGGGCGGCGGAGGCTGAAGAGGGGGCGGCGGGGCGGAAGAGTCCCGGCGCAGCTCTGGGCGTCGCGGCGGCAACTTCTCCGCCCCCCTGGGAGCTTGCTCCAGCGTACTAGTCGTTGGTGCATGGTCGGAAAACGCCTGCTGCTCCTGTCGCAGCTCCTCGGCAACCTCTTCCAGCATTTGGTCATCCGAGACAGTGCTGATATCCGTGCCTGTCTGGTCGACTTCGTCCGCCTTCACAATATGCTGCTCCTCCAGGCCAGCATCGGAGGGAATTGGAGGATCATCCATTGCGCGGGGAAGAAAATATTCCAACTAGTATTTCCACTTCCCTGCCTCTTCAAATGAAGAAAAAGAGCAAAGAGCTGAGCTGCTTCGGTTATTCAAAATACTCAACAGGGATTAATGCTGAGGGGAACCGAGGCTTTGTCAGGGGGGCGAGTGGAACAAGAGACTAGTCGTTTAGCCTAACTAGTGACTAGTAGTAATGCAAAATGAACAATAGAGAGTACCATTCCACATGACGTGTAGTCAAACTAGAGACATACTTTGTCCGGCAGAGCTGGACGTCCAAATAAGAAAGCGGCGCTCGGCAGCATTCTTAATGAATGGAGTGGGAGCCGTCGTTCCGCGGAAGTCACCGGTCACGTGCAAGGAACGGCCCAGCCAGGCGGAGGCTTGGTTCCGGCTATGGGGGCATTAATCTACTCAGTGTCTGGATTTGCTTCAGGCTTCAGCTTTTTTGAAATTAGTTTCTTCTAGTAGATTTGTACAAAGTAGAACCCAAGATTGAAGTGCTAAGGTCCTCTCAGCACTGAACATCGTGAAGTTGAATTCTCTCGATGCGTGGTGACACTATATATTCTAACACCTCTCCGCTCTGGGTCTTCCAGGTTTTGAGTTAAGGGCATCCTGCGTTTCATTCCAGAAGAGGCAAGAAAACCAAGATGAGATGACGATCAAGCTCTGCACCTGCCAAGGCTAAAGTTATTGTTCTATAGACTCAGGTAAAAGGTACTGTTCCCGGATCCTCCACTGAAGTTTCACATAGTGTGGCCGGCCCGAGTGCCGAAGGCTCAGAGACTACCGAGCCATGCACGTCAACCACAGGCTTCTAGTTGTAAAGGCAGGCGTGTGGCGGGAACGACATATTTACCAGACAGAGGGACCGTTGGGTAGCCCTACTCCCTGATTAGCACCCCAAGGCGCATGCACATTTCATTCGGTTTTCTTTGAACGACGCTCACTGTTTCCTTTCCGCTTCGAAGCCCGCTTCGCTTCCGAGTGTTGCCATCCGGCCTCTACAAGGTCCTCGTTTACCACTAAGTCGCGAAGCCGGAAAAACTTCGAGACTTTCAAGTCTAGTACCCAGTCGACCCAGCCGAGGACGCGGATCTGCCGCGTAACGAAAAACCACGCGAGGGCACACGAGGCACCCGCACTACAGCCCGCCAGGACCTGCTTGGGAGTGTGATAGTTCAGGTAAACGCGACTGACAGCCACTGCAGCAGCAGCGACGCACAGCACAAGAGAGAGGAGGGCTCGGACCCCAAAATGAACCGTGGCTGCTGGGCGGGTTAAGGCAGGGGAATGTCGGAGAACCAAGAAGAGTCCAGCGTATACGGCAAAAAAAGCCATAAACTGGGCATGCGACGATGGCATGCCATAACCCTTGCCGAACATTTCTGCGGCAGGCGTTAGTTTGGACCAGATATTTCACATTTTTCTTTTTCCTTTTTATCTTGCCGTGGGTAAATCAACTTACGTTTTGGCCTTTCTTCCTTGATGATGCGCTTTAGGACAAAGTTCAGCGCCTCACAGCCCATCTGACCAGCAAACATCAAGACGACTTCGACTTCTCTGGACGCCCAGGCAAGGGTGACATAGGAGATGACCAGGGCCTGGGGCACTAAAGCAAGATAAGCGGATACATAGGAGAGCAGATCCTCAGGATTCTGCCTTCGTTAGCATGGAGTAATGCATAAACAGCCCTTCGAGCGCTCGTCACCCCGGGCGCCAAAGGTGGGAACGTACATAATGGACATGGGTCAGTGATAAGGATGCTAGGGGGCCGTCCGCCATTGTGTTGTAGTTGTCGGCCTGTTGTGTGGCCAGGAACTGATATTTGGGAGATCTTCTTTTCAATCGGCCCTCAATTTAGACTCGGCCAAGGTATGTTTCTTAAAGATGAATGGGATGATAGCAATGGACTAGCAGCGACTGTCCGGCGGAGTGTTAACCAAGCGATGACCACCTAATCACACAGCATCATATCGTGCAGGTGTCAGAATCAATGTTCTTAGGGAGAAGACTGCTGGTGGATGTTTAAACAAATAGTTTGAAGCTTCCCTCCAAGCCGATGTCCATAGGGAGTAAACATTCAATAATCAATCATCAAGAATTCAAGATGTCCAGTCGATGTCCAGTCAAGGAAAAGAGAACGGGAGGCGGAGTGGGTCCGCAAGGGGAAAGCCAAGTCACGGGGGGTTTTGTTAAAGCGGCGGGGGAAAAGGAGGGGCAGGCAGGGGAAATCCTTTTGGCCTTGTCGCCTCAGGCCGGATCGGCCAGTGAGCGAATCTGCTAACTTATCTCTGAGTCAGGTTTTGTTTTCAGTAACTTCCAACTAACAACCTGAACTATTAATGCAAGACTGGGCAGCAAAACCCAGCTAGCTCAGTTCTCTATGCCTGACTCCCTTTATAACTATTCTGGTTCCCACTCCTGTTTCCTCTGAGTGTTCTAGCTCGCCTGCCTTACCTCTACTTACTCTATTGCTGTACCACTGCTCTTTCTAATCCACTGTCTGTGACTGTATTATCCTATCCTCTCTTATCTCGGGCCAAACCATGACGCACTTCTCCTCACGTCCTCACTCCGATTCTTCTTTCTACATACTCTCTAGACTGCGAATAATACAAAACTCTCTTCGTTTCATTCATCCTCTGTTCGCTTCTAACTCTTTTGATTCCCCGACGGTTCCACCGCCCCCATAATACTAATTGTCTAGACCGCACACACGCCTGCAGTATCTGAGAGGTCCGACTTCCGCCGCCACCCTCGATAATCGCATTGTCTGATTGACTAATCCGTGGTTTAGCAGCAGAACTCTTCCCTCTCCTGTCGCCTCATCGCTCACCACCTACCATTTAAATGTCTATGTAGGGAATGCATGTTATCGACGGTGGGCGCTATCAGACATAGGGACATCGAATCGGACATTGCGCACTTCCATCACGTTGACGGGCCTCAATTGCCACCCGTCATCTCGCCATCCCAGATACAAAACAACCTGCGAACGATAGCCCTCCACGGAAGACGTGCGTTGCCTTTGGGCTAGTTCTGCGGAAAGAACGCCCGGAGCCATTATGACAGAGTCGGAGTCGGTTATGGAAGATGACCGCTCGGTCGAGCTGTCGTCTATCGCTGCTATCTTCCCGGAAATAACGATCGACCCCGCCTCGCCGTACCAAGCCTCGCTAGACATACCCGTCAAACCATCCAGACCCATACGCGTGCGCTTTCAGCAGCAACAGCAGCAACAGCAGCTACCCGAGAACGTCTTTCCTGCTATCTTGACCCCTCCCACGTCCGTCGACGCCGGCGAAAACGGTTTCCCGTTCAAGGCGGAGGAGCAAATCGTTCCAGCCGAACCCGACAATGATGTCCATTTCATATCGCACTTCCCTCCTCTTTGCCTCGAGATCGAGCTACCCGAAGGCTATCCAGCCGAGCAAGCGCCTTTGTTCAATCTCGAAACGAACCCTGCCTGGTTACCTCCCTCGACATTGTCTGAACTCGTAGATGATGGCAAGCGTCTTTGGGAGGAGTGCGGCAGGGACTTGGTGGTTTACACATACATTGACCACCTTCAGCAGTTATGTGACACGGGCTTTGGCTCTAGTGGAAGCCCCGACGGCGAGATGCAGCTTTCTCGAGATTTGAAAATCGCGTTGTTGGATTTCAACAGTAAGACTGAACAGGAAATGTTCGAACAGGAGACTTTTGAATGTGGTGTCTGCCTGGAACCAAAGAAAGGCATAAATTGTCACCGTCTTCTGCGGTGCTCGCACGTTTTCTGCGTTGCCTGTCTGCAGGACTTCTACAACGCCTGCATCACTGAAGGCGATATTGAGAGTGTGAAGTGTCTAGCTCCTAACTGTGGCAAAGAAACAGCTCTTACAGCCTCCACAGGCGACGTGCCAAAGAAGCGAAAGAAAATTGACCGAACGCTCAGCCCCAGCGAGTTGCTACAGATTCCTCTGGAGCAGGAGACCGTGCAGCGCTTCGTATCTCTCAAGCGCAAGAAAAGGCTTGAAGCGGACAAGTCGACAGTATACTGTCCTCGTGAATGGTGCCAAGGTGCCGCTCGCTCAAAAAAGCACCCCAAACCCATGGACCCGATGTCTGACGACCTCGACGTGTCTGACGATGACGAGGAGGCGACCCGTGTCTTTGATCCCCTCGGTGACGAAGCTCAGTTGCCCCCCATGGCTGAACGGGTGGCGATCTGCGAGGATTGCAACTACGCATTCTGTTGTGTTTGCAAGAAAGGCTGGCATGGGGAACTGGTCCGTTGCTTCCCTCGGCGTGCAGCCGAGCTGACCGCCGAAGAAAAGGCGACCGAAGAATATCTGCGGCAATATACATCCGCTTGTCCGACGTGCAATGCTCCCTGCCAGAAGAAGATGGGATGCAACCATATGATATGCTTCAAATGCGACACACACTTCTGCTACCTCTGCTCTTGTTGGCTGTTTGAGGAAAACCCTTACCGGCATTTCAACGATCCGGAGAGTCAGTGCTACCAAAGGCTTTGGGATCTGGAAGGCGGTGACGGCATCGACCCTGACGGGGCTGAAGCCTTGCATCAAGTTCCCGCGCAACTCATAGAGATTGACGACGATAGTGACGACGAAGACCTGGTTGCCATGGAACTGGGTCAACATCCGCCTCCCCCGGCTCCGGTGCCCCCAAGAGTCAACCCTGGTCATGGCGCCGGGGCTCATGGCGAACGCGGCAATGAAGATGCTGCAGCTCGGGCTGCAGCGGCCGAGAGACAAGCACAGGCACGAGCCATGGCTGAAGTCCGGCGTCGTCCGGAGGCTGAAGCGGCCAGAGAAGGTCAACCGCAACGACATGCGCGGCCTGGCCTGCAACGATTTCTAGAACTGGTTCAGAATGACCGGGAAGACGAATGGGACAGTGATGAACTCGATGATGATTTCTAGGTACTTTTTATTCTCTTTATCTTGCCCCTTTCCCATCATACGTCACGTCATGCTATACACGTACGTGTTATGGGCTCATAGGACATCTCATGCCTCTCCTTGTTTCTGCACCGTGTTGTTCATTACTAGAGAACAGGCGCACGGTGTCTTTCCATGGTTCTGATGACTTGCATCCATATCGTGCTTGCACAGCGATTTTCAAATTTAATTAATCAGTCAACTTATGTATTCAACGTGTCTTCCATCCAGATAGTACAGACCGCTGGGAGTCCTGTTCTTCATGTTCGTGCACACGGCCAAGTGCAATAGGCCTTTTACTCGGCACCAGGGGGGCAGTGCAATTCTTTACTCGGGGTAGTCTTGCCTCACCCCTAATGGATTGGACAATAATAATAGTAAGGACAAATGGCTTCTGGCGCCAATGTAGTCAGAACCGGCGGCGGTACCTATCGTTGCCGCCACTTTCAAAGTGAATTAGGGGTCGGACTCAGACTGTGACACAACAGAGAGGATTGGGTTTCAATATATTAGACTACCTACTCTCTCTCTCTCTCTCCCATCAGCTTAAGAACTTTTGTTGCTTGTTGAGCTGCCATTTCCTCAACCATCGTTCTGCAACCATGTCACCTCCATCTGACACAAGGGTTTCCCAGCCCCGCCCCGTGGCAGATGGCACGGAGTTGATGGCATACTTACCCCCCTCGAACTTGTTTGCAGGGGTTCTGCCTCGGGCGTCGCCAGGAGACATGGATACGGTGTGGCAAAGGCTTGTTGAGAATCAGGTTAACGCAATGGCGCCTCCTGCTGGCTCAAGAATCCCCCATCTTCGTCCGATTGAGAATGGCAAGCAGCTGGTGGTCCATGGCCGACCATTTCTGGTCTTGCCTGGAATGCTTCAGCTATCTTCATCCTTCACCTCGCCGGAGTACACATACACGGTGTGGCAAAAGCTCGTCGACGCTCATGTCAACACGGTGCTAGGACGTGTGGCCTGGGAGGAAACCGAGCCATTTGAGGGCCATTTCCTTTTGGACAAACTTGACGAGGTCATCTTGGGGGCTCGCAAGCATGGTTTACATCTTGTACTGCTCTGGTGTGGCTCATTCCACGAGCTCATTGGCGCAGGCGCGGCGGTGTTCTGGACGTATCGGAAACGCTGTCGCTCTTTCAAGATGAGACACGTGCTTGCAATAGCGAGCCTTTGCTCGTCTCATGCGCCACTTGAAGGAAATTGACAGCGATCATTCCACCACCTTGATGGTTCAGGTAGAGAACGCCACCGCCTCCGCTGCAGCTGGATTGCTTGCTGGGGATTCCCGCGACACCTTTCCCGCCGCCGAGGAACGCTTCGCGCAACCCGTTTCATCAGAGTTGGTGTCGTTTCTGACCAATGACTGGGACCATCTTCAAGCTGGGTTGCAGCGCACACTCGGTCATTTCAAGTCTCAGTCCCGACCATCATTCTTCCCTATGCCTCGAGAATCGTGGGCGGAAGTTTTTGGCCGAGGCCCGCACACGGACGAGCTGTTCATGGCCTACCACTCCGCTCTGTACGTCCACTAGATTGCCACCGCAGGAAAGGGGGAGTACCCTCTTCCATTGTACACCCAGCTCTGGGAGAAAGCCGAAGTTGGAAAGGATGAGAAGGACGACATCCCCACCACTGTAACCGGGGAAGGAGGGACCTCACCTGTGGACTACCACTACCGGTTTTCTGGCGACCTCCTCGATATCTGGCAATGGTTTGCACCTTCCTTGGACTTCGTGGCTCCCAGCCGCTGTCTTCTGGGGAAGCCCTATGCGCGCGTCTGGGCCCAGCATCGACACCACGCCCAGCCATTGTTCCTCTCCGAGCCCCGTCACGACGAGAACAGTGCCGGCCGAATATGGACGGCCTGTGTATCCTACCAAGCCCTAGGAGTCTCTCCGTTGGGGATCGATACGCTGGAGCCGGCCATCAGCCCCTTCACCAAGCATTACCGTCTCCTGTCCTCCATCTCACAGACGGTCCTCCTAGCCCAACAGCTGCCCAGTTCATCTGTCAAGTTTCACTTCGACGACGACAACGACGACGACCCGATGACCGGTGAAAGGAAGAAGAACGATCCTGTCAATCAGCCAATTGTGCGAGAGTATGGAGACTACGAGATCCAGATTGAGCGCTGCCCATCTACTGCTGACACTGCTGCTGAGAAGGGCCGCCCCCTCCTCCCAAGCTCGGGCATGGTCATCCACCGCGGTGGCGGCAACTTCCTTCTCATTGGCTGGGGATTCCGAGTCCATGCGAAGGCCACGGGGGGCTCGAAGTCCAAAGCTCCCCCCAAAGCGGCGCATTGCAGCATCGAATGGGTCTGGGAGAAGGCGGTTGCCAACCGGACCTCGGGGCGATTAAGGCTCTTGCGCAGGATCGACCACAGCGTCTCTATGATGAATGGCTTCTTACATTCGACGTGCCCGGGGAAATGCTCGGCCTGCTTTGATATGCCTGCGGAGGTGAATATTGCCGAGGTTGAATTCCGATCATTCTAATGCGCACCCGTAGGATATTGGGGATATTTGGAACAAAACGGAATAGAATAGGTTACCGTCTTATGCTTTGTCAGGTGTGAAGGAAGTGGATGTGTATGCTATTCATATATGTGTATAAAATACCTAGAACTGTTGCGGGAACAGGGTGCGTCTCCCAGTAATCCATGCCAGATTCCAATATACCCAGCTTTTTTCGGATATTTGACGGAATGTTGCTTGCAAGTTGCGCACCCTCTTCCACAGCCTTGGATAATCACCGTCAGCCGTTCTCACCGGGTCATGTTCTATCCCCGAGCTTGTTCGGCTGGTGTGAAAGCCTTGGTGTAAGAAAGCCAAGAGTACTCTCCATTCGAGTCTTCGTATGTGGTAAGCTGGTTTTGAGTATCTCAGAGCTGATCCAGATAATTCGCATCATGCAGGGTGAACTCCAAGGCTTCTTGAAACGCCGCCTCACCGCGGCTGGTGATGCAGATTTTGACTTTCCCTGGCCTGACCCGCACCCACTCTTTCAGCGCGTTCAACATCTGCCCGTGTTCTCCTTCATCGAATCGGTTTATTCCGTCGAGCAGAAGAGAGATCGTGCGGTCTGCGTATACCTTGTCGGATGCGATTAGGAGGTTCCACGCTGCAAACAACTCACTATCTTCCAGCGAGGAGTACGATCTCAATCTGTGGCTGGAATGTGAGCTGTTCGGCAAGCCGCGGGCTCATCCGCTGCTGCTCAGCAATGAGAATGCTACTCGCTGGACCTCAGACCATAATCCTCGCAGACCGATCCGTCTGATGTTTCCTTTCCTGTTCCCAGTCCTTACCGCGTGCATTGGGATCCCCTGGCGCGGAAGCGATCTTCTTCCTCTTCTACCAGCCGGAGAAGACTACGCGAGCTGGCTGACCCGAATCGTGCCTTTCAGCGCGCTCACCCTTAACGCCATCGGGTCGGCCCAAAGGCAGCTCCACCGCGCGGCCGCTGGGTTCATCGAGCTCTTAGAGCTTTACTAGCGACACGGTCTGTCGCTGGACCAGCAAAGCGGCGATGAAGCGATTGCGGGGGATGCCCGGGACCAGTCGCACTGGGAGTTCTTCCTCGTCGAAGCTCTCGGCATGGGCTCCGCGTGGCATGAGAAGCAGCGGCTGCTGCCGCTCTTCGTCCTCTTCTTGCGGCATGGCGGGGACCCCCCAGGTAGAGTTGGAGGTCCAACTCGACGACCAGGCCCACAAGCGGGCCAGTGCGCTGAAGGCCGCGCAGTCTGGTTTCGGCCTCATCACGGACACGGTTGGCTGTCACGACCCTCTTGCTCTTGTTCCTGTTGATGATGGCCTCCCCGGTCGTCTTCTTGATGATTGCCTCGGTGGGCCCCAAATCGTCCCTCCGATGGTTCGTTTGGTGGTTTTCCTGATGGTGCCCCTGATGGTCCCTCCGATAGTCTGTTTGGAGGATATCCCTGGGAAGGCGGCAATGTCTTCTTAAGTTCCCTGACATTGACAGTGGGAAGGGGCAAGAAGAAGGTCGAACTGGTGTACGATCTGGATGATCTTCCCGGGGCCCGCACAATGAAGCCGCTCCGAGATCGGATGGGAAATGTGTTTTCCCTCCGTGAGCTCATCACAGCTCTGTTCCCGGCCAAGGCGGCGGCCACCCTTCACAAGCTGGTCGATTCGCCTCTCGCCGCTATTCGCCCGCAGAGCGAGCGTTAAGGATGCGTGAGTTGGAAGCAGAGGTCCGAGCCTTGTTGTGTCTCGAGGCCATCGAGGATGCGTTTGGCAATTGAGGAGAGTTCGTTTGTTTAGGATTTAGGACAAATGGCGGGAGGGTGCCATGGGTTTAGGGCCTTGTTCCGGGCGAGGGAGTTTCATCTTCCTTTTTTTTTTCATCTTTTTTTCTTTCTTTTTTCTCATATCTCTCCTTTCTACCCTTCTTTCCTCCTTTCTTGTTTTCCTTCGGCTTCTTTTTTTTTCGGCGTCTTATCTTCATCTTTGCTCACATGCTCTCACCAGTTCCAATTACTAGCATTCACAAATCCTCTCTGGATATACTTGTACTATACGGCCCGTGAGGCATTATCTCAGCCCCAAGCTCTAATGCAACCACGGTGGAACCGGGCATTTACTTTATCTTCCACAGCCTTGTAAAATACTAGGTTGTATTATTCTCTGCATGTCTTTCTTCCTAAGTAGCGACACAGATGCCAAGCCAACTGACTCTGGGAAAGAAAAAGCGACCGGCTTCGCGAATGATCTGTTCTCGGGAGGAATGCATTGACGGGTAAATAGAGCTCGTTTTCTTCCCCTGGCCGAAAGTGATGCAAGATCCCAACTAGTACTGAGTTTGCCTTTGTCTGGGCAGCAATTAAGGTTAGGTAGGGGGCCCTGGTTACCGCGGGCCTTTCTCGCATGCCTTGCCCATGGCAGCAACCGGAAGAGCTGAACGCTGCGAGGATCAGGATCCACAAGATCTCGGTCCGAGATTTTATTGTCTGATGCAGAGAAGCAGAGAAGCAGAAAGGTAGGGGTGGCAGGGAGTGTATGGGTCATATTAATCTATATACAGGGAGAGGAGAAACAGTTCGAACAGGGAAGTGCAAGTCAACAAACGAATTCGAAATCAGCCATAATAAGCGCAAGCGGTCTAGCGGTACTGCCGTACTTACGTACCGCTGTTCGTGATGACTACCCTCCGGCGGACGATATGTCAACGCGGTCCATGGTGCCAGAGAGCCCTCGGACCTAGCCACAGCAAGTCAGCAGTTCACAGGACGTAGTCCCACACTTGACCTGGCACAGCTGGGACCCATCGCCCCGATAGCCAGCCGTTCCCATTGACGCGGCAGGCACGGAGTCCGTCGACCCCAGCTCGGGCTGCACGGTCACCGAGTGGACTCCATAGCTGTGGAAGCAATCGCTCATGGTCTTGGCGATCTGCACGAACTCGGACACGGTCTCTTTCGCGATCGCAACATGGACCGATGCCAAGGCCTTCTCTTGGTTCAGTCGCCAAACGTGCAGTTCGTGGACAGAGAGAACGCCCGGGATCTATGATCTCGCATTCGAACGATTAGCCGTCGAGTGATGATGATGCGAAAGAAGTTGTCCTGAACGGTACGCACCGTCTCGAGATCATGTCTGATGTCGTCAAGGTTGATCCCGCTGGGAACACTTTCAAGAAGGATTTTGCCCGAGCTTCGCACTAAGCAGGTTACAGCAGTTGGTGAGTTGAATTGAAACATCGGGTTTCTAAGGGGTTATGAGGAATATGAACCTAATGGTACGGATGTTGTGAGGATGACGATGGCGATAGCCATGCTAACAGCTGGGTCTGCGTAGTAGCGAGCCGGGCCCGTGGTAAGCCAGATTACCAAAGCCGAGATGATAACTCCGACATTGTTGGCGGCGTCACCCAGCACATGGACCAGGACCCCGAGCATGCCAAGGTCGTAGCCCTTTTTGGATAGTTGGAGATTGTTGTGACGATGGTTGTCGTGTAGGGCGAAAACCTGGGGGGTAGAAACCTAAGTAATGTGTCCACAGAATTATTGGAATGGGCTGTATTCTGACCTGCTCTGTGCCGCTTTCTGCATTCGTTCGGAGTTCCGTTCCTCCGAGGACTTCGCCGTGTGAATGATCGTGTTCTGGGAGACGGCAAGAAAGGACATGAGTTGAGGAGCGAGCAACACAAGTAGAAGGGCCAACACCAACCGTGAAGGAAGGAGGCACTAATGAGATTGAGACCGAGACCCACGCAGCCGATGATAAGCACCAGCTTGGGCTGTTCCACGACTGCAGTCTGGGTCAATGGATTGTGGAATGTCAGCATAGGGATATGTGCACTCACCTTGAATGGAGACAAAGCGCTCGATGGACTGGAGGAAGATACTGATCCCGAGTGCGAGAAGGAAGACGCCGTTGAAGAACGCACCGAGGAGCCGAGACCGCTGCCAGCCAAAGGATAGGTCCTGGGGTGAATCTGTCTTCGCTGAGATCTGGTTTTTGAGAGTACCGTTAGAGACGAAGTACTTCGAGTTTTGTGGGCAATGCCTGTCACCTTCAGAGCAGTGAATGCGACAATGAATCCGATCATATCATTCAACTAGAAGGTATATTAGCCTCCGAGCGTACCGTGAGGGCGAAAGAGGGGGCAAGGGCTGGCACATAATGGAAGGCGTCTGCAACGACGGCAAGAGAACGTGTGTAGAATCCAACTAAATGATCAATAGTCAGAATATGGTCGCCAGTTGGGGGGTTGTGTTGCATTTGCTACCAGAGATTTCTGCAATGAAGAAAGACAGGGAAATCAGTATCACCAGCTGCAAACGCCGGGACTGAGTCAAGTGTAACGCCATGGCTGAGTTCAAGTTTGGCCTATACTGGTCAGGTAGAGAGGGAGTGTGCTTTAGAAGATTAGAAGTCAGGCCGCACAATCCAATATCTTTCTAGCTTGACTAGCGTAAACTTGCTCCTCGTATTTGGGAGCTTCTGAGTGGCGAGGAGCATAAATCCGGGGCTGTTGTGACTGCTGCTCAGTAATTGGCGGATTCGGGTGGAAACCTTCGCAAGTAGCGGGCGCTGGCCCCTCTTCTACATCATCTACTTAGACATCACGGCCACACAATTTACCTAATCTGGTTGTAAAATCCCATGAGTTTGAGGGGAACTCGTCGCTCTTCTTCGTGTCATGAGAGGTAGCAGGAAACAATTAGTTTTTCACTCAGACCTGCCCCGGATATCTTCTTGCTCGCGTAAGTTATTGTTTCGGTTTCTCATGTCTTCATCATCTGTGTTCGGAATAGACTTGTAGCAAAGAAGGCCAGATTATGCTTCAACTGAAGTCTTTGATATGGAAAGAATGAAGGTAGGAATGCAGTGTGGAGTGTTTTGTTCCTAGCACTTGAGTTTGTAGTATTACAAGCAATAATGCTCCTCACCGAACTACTGGAGGCCTACTTTATCCAAACAACAGAAACTACACAGATGATTGAAACCAGCTAGGTCGCATGTCAACAGTCTACAAGTGATGTGAAGGCGAGTGTTGGCAATCACCATTCCAGGATAAGTAACTTCCTTCTCCCAAACGCCGTGATGAGTGCGGCTTATATAAGCCTATTATCTTGTTAGGGAAATATGGAAGAGGGGCAAACAATTCTCCGGGACGTTGGGCCAAGGCTTGACTTTTTGGCAGCAGAACAGGTGTGATACTATGTAGTACCACCATTTGCACGTCGTGAGGGTACACAATGTCTATACAAACAGAGATAGAGGTTCAGATAGAGTTAAATAAGCATCCTCCACGACACTTTAAGCCTCGTAGGGCTGCGGAGCCAATAAACGTACGTCCATTGGTCGAAGTTTGAGCAGGTTTGCCCACAAGGTCCTCGCCGACGGGGTCTCACCCCCAAGGTCCTCAAAGATCGCAAAGTCACCGCCTTCGCTGCCATTGCTTTTGGATATGCGCGATCATACATGCGATCATACAATCTGGACCTCTACCTAGAGCTATAACTTACATAAAGTGATTTCAATTTATTGCACTTCAAACTTTCCTAACACCATATCGAAGGACAGTCTTTCCTGGGAGACCCACGGTCTTTGCTATCAGGTTCTGGCTATTTAGGCATGCAGGGCATAACCCCGTTATACAGTAGAAGTTACATCATCTGCCTACTGAATAAGTGCTTGAATTGAGGAAATTCCCTGTTACTTAAAATTGGTTGTGATAATTTCCTAAGTCACCAAGGCACGCAATTAGGGCGAATTGTTTAAGCTACACTACCAGGACAGGTAGCCCTTAGAGCATCCAGCACTCCACACAGCTGTTCACTCGTTCCCCGGTACCCAGAACTTTTAACAATAGGGCACAGTACTTACTTACGTCGCAATCATGACATGTCCAGTACTTCTGGAATAACTAATTCAGATAACTAACTCAACAGACTAGTTACCAGGGATCTTCAAGTACGTGCTGTATGAAGTTTATCGGGTTGCCTACATTAGCATGGGGTGCGAAATAAGTTTCGGAAGCTTTCTGACATTGTCTTCAACGTGCAGTTCTATCATCAACAGAAAGATCTTTCAAACAAAATAACTTGAAAACACATAATCAATGACCGTATATGAAAAGCCCGCAAACTGGAGACGAGCGTGCACAATAGGAGTTCTGATACTTTCAGCTGCGTTCTGGATTATCAGATAGAAAGATGATCTTATGTGTCAGTCAACAAAGCTTCAATCTCACAGTATGCATTACCCAAGTAACATCTAAAGAGTTATGACGGGAGACCTTTCTCGAAGGATGGCGACGTACCCTCCACTATCTAGCATGATTCTGGGCCTCTCGAGGATATCATTCACTAGAAGATTTGCAGGCCACCCACTCTTTTTCTTAAGATGAGATCACATCTTGTGCAAATCTCTTCCCCTAACGATGTCCACCTCCATCTCTTCTTTTACCATCTTCACACACCCTTCTTCCCTCCTTCCTTCATCTTGTCAGGCATCAGCCCGCCCGTCATCCTCGATTCCACCTGCTATCCCCTCAGCTATCCTCTCAACGGGGACTTGTCAAGTAAGCCAGGGCCTAGCAATATCATCACCATAAGAAACAACCGCCTGACGAGGTTAAGCCCCCACCATATCTATAGCCAAGCAACAAGGCCTGACAACCCCATCTCCTCCAACTCACAGAACCGACCCTCCAACCGTCCCCCACGCAACAATCCTTCCATCCGAAGGCAGCCAGCTCAACATTTAGTTCCAGCCCTTCCCCTTCCAAGCCCCCATAACCAACACATACCCATCCCACCACCGCAAAAATGCAGCGGCAGCGCACAAACATCCGCGCCCTCCAGCGCACCCTCATGCAGCAGACCCAACGCATCCAAGCCCTCGAACAAGCCCTCCACCACCAAACCCAAGCCACCCACCAAGCCCTCACAATCCTCACCCAGCACACCAACCACCTCCAGACCCTAGACGACCCGCTTCAGCCACTCCTAACACGAATCCAAGTCCTGGACGGTCTGGCCGACGACGCCGGAGGCCGTGACGCAGCGGAAGCAGGAGGCTACGGAGGCAGCATCGAGCTCGACCTGTGGCTCATCGCCACCCGACAGATCGAGGACCCGCACCGCGCCCGCCGCTGGGGTCGCAGGTTCCACCACCTCTACGGCTACCGGTATCAGAATGTGTGTAGGCGGATGCCGCTGGACGCGCGCGTGGCGGAGGTCTTTGATGTCCATGCGGACTTGATGGTTCTGCCTGGGCTGCCGGTGCGGGGGAGGATGGCGTTGCTGGATCGGTGTAGGGCGTTTTTGGGGGAGTGGGTGGGTCGGAGAGGATGGAAGCGTATGAGGGGACTGTTGGGCGGTTTGGGGAGCTCCGGGAGACTGCAGTGGCTGACTGACGGGGGTTCTTGGGGACTTAGTTGGTTCGTGGGAGCTTGGTTGTCTTTGACTGCTGGTGTGTACAGCTCAGTGCTGTGGAGATGCACCTGCTGGGGAGGGGGCTTGTGGTTTTTCCTTATCTGTGGCGGGCGTCCTGTTTTCAGTTCACTGCAGTATGTTAGTTAGGTCATATTGGTTAACAGAGAGAGTAATCTTCACTGAGATCATACTAGTTGCTTCATGATGTCTGTGCTATGCTCCCCTTTCTGACCTCCAAATGGGCTTCCAGCTCCCTCTCTACACGATCTATTTCCAACCCCGCTTTCCACAGGTCACCTCGTGAGATTCGGTGGAAGAACCCCCTTACTCAAGGCCTCGCCTGGTTGAGTCGGTGTTCAAAGCTTAAAGGAGTCCCGGTGTGAAATCATTTCCTTCATTTTCCTCATTCTTCAGATATTCAGACAAGTTGGAATAATGTACTGCAGAAAACTAAACCCTACACAAACAACACCTCGTCCACTTCATCCTCCCCTGTCCCACTATTTTCTCCCGCCGTGCTCCAGCTGTACCAGAACTCGTAGCTCATCAGCGTGTGGTCGGCGTACATGAGCATTAACCGGTACCGTCGAGAGGGGTTCCATCCTCGCCAGCTTTCTTCGGGGTAGTAAGCGCGAGTAGCAAGGGCGTGGCATTCGGGAAGGGTGAAGGGGGTGCTGGACGATGATCTGGGTGGTCGTTGAGTAGTCGTGGAGGAGGTAGGTGAGACTGAGGCCTGGGGTATTGTGGAAGTAGAGGTTGACGTGGGATCTTCATACGCAGTGGGGGCGGACGCGGTAGAATGATGTGAATCGTGCCCGTGAACAGCAGACCATTTTCTCCTCAGTTGGCGATGGTGAGAAGGTCTCGGGCGGAGTGTGGAATTGCGTTTGGGAGGCTGTGATGTGCTACTCGATCGTCTCTCCGTGACCAAAGCAGGATCCGGCTGCTCATGAGGGCTCATGCTGAGGTTTGAATGCTTATATCGAAACGTGAGGTCGTTGTTCCTCACGTCACGTGGAATATAAGGCACGTCCGGAGGCATCTCGAATCCCTGCACCGGACCAACGGTCATGCCCAAGAGAGGAATCAGAGGACGGTCGCCATACTTCTCCTGATGCTCAAAGGGGACAATCCAATCGACGCGGAAGGATTGTCCTGTCGCCTCGGACTCGGTGAGAGCTATGATGGCCGCACGCCCCTTTTGAGACGCCGCGACGACGATTCCGTGCTCGGGAATATACTTGACCATGTTAAAGCGATCGCAGGACCGGATGGAGACAATGGGGTGTGTGAAGGGTTGCCGTAGAGGTTCGCCGCACACGACCTTCGCGTGAGTGGCGAAGGGGTGGGGGATTAGGCGAATGTCGGTTTGGGAAAAATGGAGGATTGGGAAATTGGAGCTCATGGGCGCTGCGCAAGTGTTAGCGACTGCATCTTGGTTGGGGACTAGAGCAGGGTCAGATGTACGGTCAAAGACTTGGTATCGGGCTGCCATCGCAGACGCTTCGTCTGACTGGGCATCATCCAGACCAGTGTAATACCGCTCGCCGTGCCAGTCATCTTCGGATTCGGAGTAGTCTTCCATGTCATCGTCACTATATTCGGCTCCGGGAGCATCACCGCCAAGTGCTTCGAGAAGCGCGAATTGGAGAAATTCCGGCGTTGTCAACGGGGCCTGACCGGGAGGGAAAGGCGTGCCGTCATTCTGTTGATCTTGGGTGTCAGGGGGTCCCGTACTCATCTCCATGTCAGATAAGCTGTCCTGGCTCAGATTGTCCTCAAAGACAGAGCCGTCTACAGCGCGGTAGCTGGACGCATCAGCCGAGTCTAAAGTTCGAATAGCTGCAGACGGAACATTCAGTCGTCGGAGCTCTGCAATCGAGTCTTCGCTTTGATTCCAACGTGGGGTCCCTTGTGAGCTATCTGTGATGAGATTCTGGTAGGCATCATGAGATCTGTTGATACGACAGTCTGGTCCGAAGATATCGGGCAGCAGCGGTTGTTCCGGTTCAATTTTGGGCGCCGGCGGAAAATAATTATATATCTGAGAAGCCTTTGGGATTTTGCTATTCATTCGTGTCAAGTCGTATACTGCTTGGCCATTTTTGACGCGCCGTTGAGGGGGGCCGCCGCATGCTTCTTCCGGTGACTTCAGCAAATGAAAGCTTCGAGGGTCCAAAGCGAGTACCGCCCAGCCACGCTCTCTGTGTCATCCATTTAGTCAGAGAGAGCCCTAATGAAGCATGTAGATCATTTACCTACTCTAAATGCAATGATTCCGGAAATGACTTGAACGAGACGTCGTTGAAGTGGTAGACGTTGAAGGGACCGAGACTTTCCCAGATTTTCCACACGAGAAGCTTGTTGTCGATATCCGTGCTGACCATCCACATCCCATTGGGGTCGAGATCACAGTTCAAGAAGCCAACCGAAGGGATATTGGCAAAATGGCCGGCGTAAGTCAACCGGATATTCCGCGTTCGATGTTTGTGCGGCATCAAGTGCCGTAGCTGGGCCAACTGCTCCCCGCTTCTGATTTGCAGCCAGGTTTGACCGTAGTCGGCAAGATCCTCCTCTTCCTCCGGATCGCACTCAGACTCGCTACTCTTGTCCGAGGTAGAATCTACCAGAGCGAAGGCGAAAACCGTGACCTGGCCTGTGTTCGCGGTCACGGCGATGAGACGGGCGAACTTATGAATGGCCAAGCCCCAGGCGCTGGCTTCAACAAATTCGGCGAAGAACGGGTCGACCTGCGAACCATCGAGGGGCCGACTCTCGTTGCCCTCTTCTGCTCGCTTCAGCGCCGAGTACACAGCCTCAACCCGATAGCCGCAGACGTTGCCCGAGTCAGTGACAAGTAGCAACACCTCCTCACGGCCCAAGTCGTCGACGAGGATGTTGTTGATGGCATGAGGAGATGACGGTAGGATATAGCCCTCAGCATTGGGCTCTCGCATGACTGGGGTGATAATCATCTCAGGCTTGTTACCGAGCGTCTGATAAGACCCTGCGGGTTGCCAGACGTAGATTTGATGGTTGTAGGCGACAAAGAGCAGATTGCGACGCTGCGACAGCGCAATCTTTCCACGGGTGTTAGTGATCCAATAGACTTTGAAATAAGATTGATCATTTACCAGATTGTTTCTCCATGTCGCTGTTTGTGGGGGATAGATATCATTCGCACTTCAAACCAGTTCAGTCTCAGCTCAGTCATACCATGATGGTGGGATCTGGAAGTCAGATACGTACGAAGAATACTGGAAAGTGGGTCAGCAGTCAGATCGACAACAACTGAACGAAAAAAATAAGAAAAAACCAGCGACACTAGGTAGGAGACTAGGAATAACCACATACTCTATCTGTTCCTTTCTCAACATTCAGGGGTCTAAGCTGCAGACCTTCGCGTGAACGGGCTTTGAGGGGTTTGTTGCCAACATCGCTACTGAACGCCATTCTGGTGAGAAAACTCACAGATTGTGGTGACACTTGAGACCGCTGAAAGCAGACACTAAGTAAGCGTCAAAGCGAGTCTCCGGGTGTGCCACCATTCGCGTGGCAGGTCAGGTCGAGAGCGGCTGAAGGGATCGGGGCAAGCTGATTGTGATAAGTGCGGGCAGAGACTGTCAATAGCAAAAGAAGCCGAGGGGTATTTTGGATGAGTCCCCAGTGACATCACACGGAGGAGAGATGCTTTGCACTCTTGCGACTCCGTGTAATGAGGTTTGAGCATACTCGGAGGGAGAGGGGGATCTGCAAGACACAAAAGGCAAAGGAAGTAGAAGAACTGGGCCTCTCTTTTTGAGCCGACTAGATGGATACATGCATCGCTTGAGCTAAAGTGGTTTTCGCATTTTGGCAATTCTCATGTTACCAGTCCAATCCATTATATGAGGTCAGCCAACCCGATCCGATGATTCGCCGCCTCGGGCTGAGCGCGTGCACGGGCCACCCAGCGATCTCCCGCCGCTTTTCCCTGCCCGCAACTCATTCCCTCATACGTACTGGACAGCTAACCACCTCTCTCATCAGGAGGCAAGAGTTCTCTACTGCAACCAATATACCGCCAGAATGGATCTGGTCGCAGGTGTTCGCAAGGAAGGCAGCCGGTGAGTTCTCTTACACTACCCTTAGCACTCTCTGCACCCGACCCTCGTGTCCGAACATGACCGCAGAACATAGCACTGACAGCTCCATCCTCCTAGCGGCGGCCGCGGCGACTTCAAATGGTCCGATGTTAAGGACTCCTCGCATCGCGAAAACTACCTGGGACACTCTCTCATGGCCCCAGTCGGTCGCTGGCAACAGGGCAAGGATTTGACATGGTATGCTAAAGGCGACGCGGACGATGAGGATCAAGCAAGGAAGGACCGCGAGGAGAAACAACGGGTCAAAGAGGCTGAGGAAGAGGCGATGGCGCGAGCTTTGGGACTGCCTATCCCCGCCAAGGCGTCGGAGAATGCCAACTTGACCCCACTCGGTGGCCCGTCCGAAGCTGCGGATAAGGAAGGGGGTGACGAGGCTGGCAAGGGACTCGGTTACGGTTCATCTCGAGGGGATGCTGAACCGCGCTCCAGTCGGAGACGGAGAGGCGGACATAGCCGGAGTCCTGACAGAGAGCGGAGGCGGGATCGAGCATCGGATAGGGAGAGGAATACGGACAGAGACCGGGAGCGTAGGCACCGCAGACATCGTGACGAGGATGACCGTCATCCTCGCAGTCACCGACACAGGTCGCGATCCAGGTCGCGGGATCGCGATCATAGAAGAAGAAGACGATCGCGCTCGCGCTCGCGCTCGCGAAGTAAAGAGAGGACTCGCGACGATTACAGGAAACGTCGAGACGATCGTCATCGCGCAGACCCAAGAGACAGGGATTTCTCTGACCGTCGCCGCCATTGAGCATGCAGTCTACTCGCATACCAGGAGTCAGGAGTTTTGGAATAAGTAAAACTGTACAGTTGTTTGGAAAGCTTGCTATCTTATTGTATATCACATCAAGATATCCTCATCGGTCTACGTCTACAATTCATCGTGGCCTGTTGCTCCATTGGCGGGCAGATCGGGCATGGACATGATCTTCACAACCATGCTTGTCCAGCCGGTGAAGTGCTGTGTCCGCTGCCCTTGTCCGGTCTCAGGGTTGTACTGCTCCCAAGCAAAGCCAGTTGCCTTCCACTGTCTGAACACATTCTCAACCAAATTCTTCCGCAGATTGGAATACAACTCGCGGGCTTGCTCGCTGTGGGGACCGGGTTTGATTGCAACATCCTACGCGAGAACGATTAGCTTCGTGTGTCAGTCCAATCGGGCGATATTGACTTACGTAAAGGTTCTTGACCACAAGGTAATTGATGTTGACCCAGATGGGACTTCTCCAATAATTCTCGTCGGTGCCATAGAACTCATCCTTCTTGCTCAAACTACGGATGCCATAATCGCTCCAGAGTTCTTCCGGGTTCCCAATCAGATCCAAAACGGCCTTCAGGTGAGGGCTGTCAGTGCCCAGCATTCCGGTCAAGAAGGGGAAGATCGAGATATAGCCCTTGTGGCACACATGAACGCTCTCCTCGTATTCATCAATGGTGGCATCGCAGTACGTCTGCGCGTCATCGTCCCAGTGCAGATCGTCAATGTTCCGCGAGATAGCGATCTCGTAGTTCTTGAACTGTTCGGCATCCTCTTCATTTCCAAGTGCCTCGGCGATACGACGAATGGCACGGGTCATCATACCCATCCAGCTGATCAAATCGACATGCAGCTCGCCGGGGTGAGGAGGCTGAGGTCGAGGGTAGTCATCCAAACCCGAGGTCAAAATGTGCTGAACAGACCTTCCTCGCCAGCGGTATGCTTCCTTGGTTGAGAATGCTTCTCGGTCATAGGACTTAATGTCTCCAAATTGAGTCTTCCTGTACCAGAAGTAGTGCTTCTTGAGCAGGGGGTAGATCGAGCGCATATAAGCGTCGCCCAGCTCTGGAGTCTCAACGAAAGCCGAGTTGAGGCCCTCGGTGATTTCATAGTCAGACGGCCGGTTGACAGAAGCATTCTTCTTAGCATCGAGCTTATCGACGAAAGCCTCCAGAATGACGAAGAGAGTCGGAGGGTTGGCATAATGAGGATACTGGATGGTGAACTCGGGTGGGACTTTGCTGCGAGCTTCCGAGCCGAGAATCTGCTCCCGAGCAATCCAGCCATCCTCATCCATGAGGTTGAACCAACTTTTGACGATTTCGAGTCTACACGACGTTAGCGATAATGGTCTGGAATCTCGAGCCGAGGCAATCGAGATTTGTGAAAACCTACGCTAGATCCATGTCCCAATCAACAACAGGGATCAAGTGGAAACCCTCGTCCCAAAGGAAACCTCTAGGGAAGAAAGGGCGGGAAGGAACGCAAGTAAAGAGGGTCTTGGGTCCTTCGAGAACAGGACGAGCCCGACTTCTGGCTTCTGCAGTCTCTTCCCAGAATCCCTCATTCTCCTCATCATACTCAGGCGCCTCCGATCGATCAACAATATCTGTACCATGGAAGTAACCAATGCCACCGACAAGGTTAGACAACATTGACTTGGAGAACTGTAGATATTCCGCCGTGTCAAACGGAGCTTGCGGAGGATGGATCTTCTCGAATCTATCAGAGAAGGCGAGGGATGCTGTGTTAATCTGCTCAGTCAAGATGTCCGCTAGTGTGAGCCATTAGTTGATAGTCATTAGAGCTTCTGGGTTTGTTTTTTTCTCACATGTCAACGGTAGCGGTGACGATCCGGACGAGAAGAGAATATCGAACTGGCTTAATTTAGCCACTAAGTACCATAAGAATTATTCTGTAGTGTACCTACCTCAAAAGCACCCTTGAAGACCTTCTGCACGAGATGAATATTTCCATCGCCGGGTTCGTTCTTGATCGTGAAGATTTGAGAAGCAGGGGGGGGGTTCTCCTGGCCGTGCTTCTCAATAGCAGCATCAACCTCTTCCTTCATCTTGGAGAACAAAACCACTACCACAATGTCAGTACCCGTTCTCTAAAGCGCGAAAGCTTTTCCACCAATGGAGAATGTCTACCTTTCGTCTGCCACAATTGTTCCGGGTTCAAAGCCAAGCTAGACACCAGTGTACGGTCCAGGGGCTTCTCATCATAAGATGGGTGGTCATTTTCAGGGTGACCATTGCTTGCGGGACCAGCAGTGACATCAACCGAGAAAGCACCAAGGTCCGAGGTATATCCCGTAAGCTTCACGTCGCCTTCGAAGCCGCGGGAGTCCTCGGATTCAGTGGTCACGCCCAGGTCTCCGAGTCCCTCCAGCCCAGTGTAGAAAACAACGGTCGTCGACTGATCGGGGGAGCCATTCTCGCGGGGAACACCCTTCACACGAGCAGCCCAGCTGCCTCCATGCTGTCCACCGGGGACCTTGATGAAGTCGATCGTCATGTCGAGAGCATTGCCTTCGTCGTGGATTGTCTGGCGGCCACCCTTTCGAATGTCATACTCGTCCCAGCCGTATCCGGCCATCCCCTCGTTCTGTTCGCATGTGTGCCTAAAGTCTTTGGATAAGTCAGTATATGTGCACCCCAATCGCCCTTCTCACTGCGAAACTTACTCTGCTGTGCCGTGGCATAGTTGTCCACATTGGCCCACATCAACCCGGCGAAGAAGCTGTTGGGAATTCGAGGGCGGACCCCGAAGTACAGGTTCGGCTTGTAGGGACCCCATAGTAGAGATTGGTTGTTGGCCCTTGCAACCTCGTTGGTCAGGACGGATAGATCATCTGCTGGAGCTTGGTCGGAGAGCACCGTAGCGGCATTGAGTAACGGCGCTAGCAGCAATGGAAGTTTAGAGAGATGCATTTTCCAGAGAAAGCATCAAATGAGAAATTGCAAGTCTCGCGGATAGAGATTGGTCATGGGAAGAAGCCTAATTCGATAAAGCTTCCCCCTTAAAGAGTGAGTAGTGGTGGTGGTACGCAACGTGAAATAACTATCTGTCAACTAATCCGCAGGAGCATCGGCCGCTCTTCCGCTCCGCAACTTACGTGGCCCAAGCTCCGCAGTGCCGCGGCCGCTGGGCCACGGTACTGTACCTCTGCAGCCTGGGCAACAGACATACATATAGAAGAAGGCAAATAAGGCCGTATTTACTCTATTTGGCTTCTATGTATCGATACTCCCTTCAAAAGTATTCTCTTGGGTCAAGCGCTCTAATGCGTGCGCTTTTAGCCTGCCCATCGAAGACGAACTCGCTGATGAGTTGACCGGTGCCAGGCGCATTCTGGATACCCCAGCAGGTGTGACCAGCGGCTAGATACAATCCCTTCGTGCCCGTATGGCCGATCATGGGGCCCCCACGAGCAGCAGCCACATTTGGTAAGTAGCAAGCCTGTCGCGCGCAGATCTCTCCATTGCGAAGGCGATCAGATATACTACCGACCTGGTTGATGATCTCTTGGCATCGCACCTCGTCAACCTCGACCTCGGCGGACGTCGGAGGCAGGGGAACAGTTTGATCACCCTCACCACAGGCGTAGACAGTGGCGTCCGGACGAGCGTAGATCTCCGGACTTGCCACATCTGGACGAGAGGGCTTGGTTGGATCGAAGTTGGCCGGGAGCGCAATGTTGGTGAACAGGGTGTATGCGCTGACCGGTTGTTGGGGACGGATCACAACACTGTGGGCACGAGTCGCCGTGATGGGTGCTTCCGGCAGAACGGTCCTCGTCCAAGGACCAGCAGCAACAATAACATCAGTTGCAGAGATAGTCTGCGATTCCCCGGTCTTCTTATCAGTATAGGTCACCGACTGGACAGCGTCCTCGGAGTAGTTGATGCCAGTAACCGATCCCAGGGTAATCTTTGCGCCACTTTCCTCGGCTAATTTGGCAATTGAAGTGGTAAAAAGGTAAGGATGGACTTGAGCTGTCTCCCCAGGATCGCTCATGCTCTCATAGCCTCTCACAAGCTCAGGCTCAATCCAATCCAAGTCTTTCGGCACTCGAGCAGACTTCAGCTTCTCCAAGGCAGCGGCGCTTCGTTTCTGCAGCGACACGGACTCTTCTGATTTACCCCCGCTTTGCTCTTTCTTCTCAGGCAGTCGTCGACCGTCAATGATCAGCTGCCCACAGTTGACTTCACGATACCCCCATCGGTCCTTGCCATTATGCTCCTTGGCCAATTCGGCGTGCAACTTGTAACTCAGCGGCACGATGCTGCTCGGATATGCCCATAAAGCCAGAAGACCACCAGCTTTTCCCGACGCTCCTCCTGCGATCTCGGTTGCTTCAATGAGAGTCACTGAGTGGCGAGATGGGTCAAAGGACGGATGGCGTGTCAAGTAGTAAGCTGAGCAGCATCCGATGATACCACCGCCTGAAAAGAAGCTGTTAGCATAAAGTCGTATCAGTCGTGCGGGGTAGATCTACTGAACCATGAACATACCCACAATGACAATCTCACGGCGCTCGCTGCTGGTGGACATTCTGCGATACGGCGCAAATCTAGAGCCTATAATCCTTAGTGAAGCCACGATTGGCGATTTTGTCGCAGGAATATGTCCGTGGTTTAGGGGAAAGAACCAGAAGAGGGGGTGGAGAGGGCTTCTTAGCAGCACCTACGTCACTCCGGTCATGTGTTCCCGAGCGCTTACTGGGCGCCGATAAGAGGCTTGAATTACTTGATTATCAATTAAACCTGTCTATAAAGTGCAGGCAGATTTGAGTCAGTTGATATTCATTCGCCTGTTTTTTGAGTTCGAAAAAAGCAAAGGCCACCCGTAATCTTACTCCAGCAATGCATGTTGCGACAAATCCCTGGGGAACAAAAACAATGATATCACCCAATAATAAAAACAATGACAAGAAGATAGAAAAAGATGTGAGTGAGAAGATGGCTTGTAGGTAACATCAGGTAAAAAAATATTTGTGAGGGAAGGAAATCTGCGATGGAATCACTGCCTCGACGGACTAAGCGGTCTGTTGAATCCTCCTATGCGGTTCATGTACTGTCTGTACTCCGTCTTCTTCTCCTTCCGAATGCCATACACATTGTTTCCGGGAACCTTGGTGTTTTTCGTGCTCCGGAATCTTGTAAAGCCCATGTTCCGGCGCATCATCTCTTCAAAATCGTCATCGTCGGCGGCATCGTCGATATCCATTTCGGTGTCGTCCCGAGGCCGGCCATGTCGCGATTTTGTATCCGCGACACCGTTCGGCTGTGCTCGAGGGTCTCTGCGATCAGGATTACGGTCGGCTCTGGGGCCTCTCGGGGGTGGCGTCCTGGATCTGTCTCTGTTGCCATTCCGGGCAGGGGATCGGGACCGATATCTGTCTCCTTTGGATGGATAGCCTGTAGCACCAGATTAGACACGTTACCGGCTGAGTAGGGTTCAGCGAGCCACATACCTCGTCTATCATGATATCTGTCCCTGCTGATACTTCTCTCCCTCGTACCTCGCCCGTCACGGTCTCGGTCCCTTCGATCACGATCCCGACGATCGCCTGACCTACTCCTATCGCGCCGCCTGTCTCTCCGGTCTCTCGAGCGAGAGCGGTATCTTCGATCATCTCTGGGTCCATCGCGCCTGCCTTGTTCCTTTCCATGCTCCCGCCGCGGGCTTCGGGTGTAGTCTAACTCTGGCTCGGGCGAGCGTGTTCTCCTGTCATCTTGATCCCACATTGTAGAGCTATCGGGTCTCCGTGCACGTTTCGCTGAAGACTCCGCCATTTTCCCAGTCTGTAAGTTTTGGTCTCGTAGTATGTATGCGCTGAAAGGCGGGTAGGCTATGTTGTGAAGTCGATGCGTGAGGTTTTGTTCCCGCGGCGAATGATAACGGGTAGGGGGGGGGGAGACTGAGGAAAATGTGTCTATGGCAAAACTTGGAAGCAGGTCAAATCATGGCAGCCGTCATTCTAGTGGGATTATTCAATTGCACGAAGGTGAGCTGACTGGCAGCATGTAGGAGAGTGTCCGAGAAATTGTGTCCAGTGACTGACTCCAAGACCAAAGCTGAAAGCGTGAAGTTGTTACGGTCGCCGGTTGGCACCATTCACGCGGCTAGCTCAATACCGCGGAAGCTTGGAGGCAACTTCGACTTTCGAAATCATTGTCAACTAATATCTACTAGCCTTTGACACGTTGATCATCTCTTGCGATCTTGCTTATCTGTAGCCTCATGCTGTAGTAAGACGGTCTAGACTGCATAGCATACTATTCAAACGAAGCAAAGAAAAAAATGAAACAATGTACCCGTGCGCCGTCCCATAGCTGATATCAAATGAACAAGCCAGTGAACTCGTCGAAGATTCATTCGCAGCAACTCTTGATGCATGTTATTTATTCTATAGGATACTTGCCAGATGAGTTGGTGTTCAGGTTTTGATTTTTGGTGTATACTGCTTTCCAATTCAGCAGCAGGAGCAATGTCATATATATAGTAGAATCATGGGTAACAAATATATATATGTCAAGCCGTTGAGCTGAATTGCACCGAACGGCCTGGAAAGCCCACAGAGTGTCGACCAATGTAAGACTTTCTTGAGATGGAGATTTCCTGCACATAAGTAAAGCTGTTTCTTGCATTCTGGTGAGATGAGCAGACAAATCCAGCCCTCTGGTCAGAAGTTGTCTGTGGTGGTAGGAGAGTAAGAAAATGAGAATATGCGAGATGAAGAGAACGATAAACTGCGATTGTAAGGTCTTCAAGGTTTGTGCTAGCTCTCAGCTGCCTTAGACCATGACACAACATATGAAGAAGGTGAAGGCCAGGCTACCACCTCTTTTGCTGGGTGGGACTGTTTTCTAGTTCAGATGGGGGTGACGGGTGCTGTAGGAAGCTGATACCGATCATGCTGGCGAGAAGTTCGATTCAAGGAGACCGATGCAATTGCTCGATGCATGACTGATATGATTCGATCATAAGGGTATCAATTCCATGTCGACATGTATAGATCTTGAAAAGGAAAAGAAGCCCGGTGGATCCGACTACATCGGAAGCAGGCGCTGAGCTTAAAGCCGGCAAGCTTGCTGATTGGAACTTTTTGGGGAGGCCGAACCCCTCCAGAGGTTAAGCTCCCCGCCGGCGTTCATTATTGCATGCAAAAACCGACCCCGCAATCTTCGCATTTTCTTCGATGTCTGTTGCTCCCCAAGGCCGAATCCAGCAGAATGGCTCCCACCAACACCTCCCACAGACAAACTCATAACCTACTCTTGATATCGAAACTTCTCAGTCTCAGAGATACAACATCGCCACTTGCGCTAGTATTGGACTCTCTAGAGCAGCCCGCAACACCATTGATCAAGGAATATATCCGACGCGCAAAGGTGATTTGAACCCTTTCTACATAGATTCGGCGAGACATGACTCTCCCTGGCGAGCTTTGCGCCTCTTTTCACACCCAACTGTTCACTCTGTCTTGCATCCCGCCGTGTGAGAAGGCGACTAACGCTCTTCAAAGTTATCCAAAGTTCATATCACGTTTGTCGCATTCGAGACGCTGAAACCGCTCGAGGGTGTCGATGCCTTCGTTGCCGCTCGAAAGAAGAGCCCCCTAGAGATCATCAAGGCTGTCAATGCAGCCTACCCAAATGTTTCGACCAGCGGTCCCTCTCGCAGTACGTATATGCGACCTCCATCCTGGCAACACGGTTCAATCGCAACACGACTAACACCAAAGCTAGGGCGCCTGATTCTGATCGATGCCATTAACCCGCTCCTGCATGCAAGGAGAGCCGACGCACATTTCAACGTATCGTCGTTCCTGAGCTCATTCCTCATGCCACAGGCGCCCCCCACGGCCTCTAAAGTCGAAGCCTCGCTCGTGGTCACCTTTCACCAAGACGTCCCCAGCCCGCCGCTCCCGTCGCCTTACACCCCGTCGCCCCTGTCCATGTTGACCTACCTCGCCACCACGATCATCCGCCTGCACTCATTCTCTCACATTCTGGCTCAGAAGGCGGCTCGCGATAGGAGTCTGGTGCCGCCGGTTTTCGGTCTGGATGAAGAGCTGGATGGCGTGCTTCTGGGCAGATTGGATAAGCCGATCGGCAACGAATCCGCCCAGGGCGTTGTGCTGGAGTTGGAGCACCGGAGAAAGAGTGGCCGCGGTGTTCTGGAATGGTACATCCTGCCGCCGGCTTCGCGCTATCCCCCGCAGTATGCGAAGGAGATCGTGACGCTGCTGGATGACCACCCATTGTATCGCCCGCCAGAGGAGCCGAATTTTGGCGCGGGAGAAGAGGAACCCGAATCGACTTTTGAGCTCCGTCTAACAGATCGACAGAGGAGGGACCGGGAGGGTGTCGTGCTGCCGTACTTTGATGCGCAGCAAGGCGATGGCCCAGGCGAAGGGGGTCGGATCTTGTACGACATGGGAGAGGAAGACGACTTTGACGAAGAGGAGGATGAGATTTGAGATAGACACACCGGCCATAAAGTCTGTTTCACGGAGCTGATAAGCTGTTTAGATGCTGGGTCGAATGATCCCACGCTTTCTCTGGCCCGCAGAATATGACTACCTTAACGACTTATGATTATATAGAGGGACTCGAAATTCCATCACACATGCGTCACACGTGCCTCACACATACACACACCCGCTGCGGACAATAAAATCAGGAATTGTATCAATTCAGAAATTCTCTCGAGTTCTGAGCCAAGGACGATGGTGTCCTGCATCCACCGAAGACATTAACTATGCATACATTCATATTAGTGGGTATACAAATTTGTGGCTACCAAGCGCAGATATTAGAAGAAGCGCCACCAGATCATGAAAAGGAGAATGAAGCCGACGCCTGCGAATGGGCCGTACTATGGGAAACGGTTAGCGGCACTCTCTATGTATGTGTCATGGGACCACGGTTGTACTCACCTGCTTGACAAGCAGCTCCCAGTTGATGCGGACAGCCGCTTTCCTGTACTTCTTGCTGTCTTCCCGAAGACGGCCGGACAACTCTCCCATGCGTTCCAAGCTATCACCACGGTAGAGTAGATCCTCGATGTTCTTGGTCATCACTTTTGTCACATCCCGGAGTTCGTCATTCAACCGGTCTAGGTTCGCCGACGCACGACTGTCCTGGTAAAGCTTCTTGGTCCGCTGAATGAAGGTATCAAACTCCACAAAGGCGTACGGCCGCAGGGTGGGGGACTGGTACTGTGTCGGCGAGTAAGTGGTGGTGAATTCGGTCGCAAGGTCGGCGAGATAGGTGAAGGCAAGCTTGCGGGGGTAGGAGCGATCGCATATGCAGAGGAAGCAAATATCGTCTTGGATGATATAGCTAGATAACGAGCGGGGGTGAGCATAAGTCGGGTCTCAAATCGTTCACTATATCCTTACTGTAGACTAAACTGGCCTGATTCAATGCTCGCCTGCGGCTCTGAATTGCGGTTCAAGCGACGGAAGATCATCTTGGCCTGAGACTTGATCTCTGACAATTCCACCTCTGACTGTGCAAGAAAAGAAAGCGCTCTGTGTTAGTGACGATCTCATTGTGTTTCACATTCACTTGCAATTCACTTGCAAGCGCTCCGCCGACTGACTGACCTGTTCATCATCCACCGACGCTGCCAACATCAAGCCTGTCTCCAAATATTAGCGCAAGCTGCGGACACACCCCCTCTCCCCGTAACAGCAGGACTAGCAATCCAAGCATACCATCGATTCTGGCGATTTGAGTTGACCTGACCATCTTGACCGTGAGATAATCAAAGTTGGTTTCTTCAGGAAAACAAGCTAAAGTGCTGCGTCGGTGACAGTATTGTTCAACACCAGCTACCGCCGTTGTTCTACTCCGACTTATCTGGCCCGGCCAGGCCGCGGAACAATGGCCCCCAAGCGCAAGGCGGTCGACGCCGGCAATTCGGAGTGTCAGCGAGTGACGAGGTACGACCGACCACCAGTCCGTCCGTCCGCTAGGTTGATTATCTGTCATGCGCGCGCGCGCCTGAAGGTTGCAATTCGGTCAATCGACTGATTCTGTGGGAAGGGGAAAGGTCACTATTTTTATTGGCAATTCTGAATTAGAAGTGATGTTCCAGGAGCCGAACAAATCGATCTTCGAAGGCGGAGGAACAGCGCAATCCGGGCGAACCTAATAATAGCAGCAGCTGTGCGATGTCATCGACAAACGCCAGACCGAAGCGGAATCCGAGGCGGGCAGCCGCGAACAAACAATGGAGTGAGGAGCACCTGATGACTAGCCCGAAGTCGCGGCTGGTTGGCCTGGATTTGGTGGTATGTGTCTCAGGTTGACAGTCCCCCTCGAGGAGGTTACTTGGTAGTTTGATTGGTGGATGGGGAGACTAATGATTGCGATCTATGTTCTAGAAACTGCTTCGCCATCCTGAAGCCTGGACATGTCTGGAAGAGAGTGAAAAGGAGGAGATTCTCAAACTCCTTCCCGACAGCGCGCACCCGAACCCTTACCCTCAAGCTGGCGACCCAGACGCAAAGATCCCCCCACCACCGGAGTCCTTTCTCCGCTACTCGAATAACTGGCGCGACGGCATCCGCCAATTTCAGCTAGATCTCCAGCACGGTCGCTACCATCCGGAATGGCAGCGCCAGGCGGAGAAAGCCGTCGAAGAGAGGGCGGCTGGGAAGTTTGATCGGTTCAAGGAGGAGGAGTTCGAGGAGTTCTGGGGCCAGAAACAGAAAGTGGACTGGCGGCTAGTGGCCGGACAGAGCTCCCAGGTCAAACTGAAGATGCTCACAGATCACTCCGTGATCTGTGAAGGCGATATCTTGAAGTATTCCCGGGTTTTCTCCACAGGCAAACAGAAGGTCCTTGTGGAGAAGGAAGCTAGGGTATGTGAAGCCTCCCGGTGCCTCTCCTTGGTCGCATAGAGGGAGTCCGGGTTGCTAACCCCTCGCCAGATAGTGAAGATTGAGGGCGCAGACTTGACCGTCGCCGTCCCGCCGGGGCGGCGTGTCTTCCTTTCCTCTGCGCCGGGTTCTGCGATAGGTTCGACGAGCTCAACAAATGCAGAGAACTCAAAGGTTGACACAGAAACCACCGAAGCAAATGGACGACAGGGGGCCGGTGAGACCAACACAGAATCGGAGCCGAAAGCAGAAAGGACTGAGGCTATCTCTCATCATAAACGCACGTCAGATTCTGAGCTCCCTGACAGCAAGAGGCAGCGCTTGGAGTCTCCGAACAACAATGCAACTGACAACCTGGATTTGAGAAACATGGAAGATCAAACACCTACGGAAAGTTCACTTTCTGAGGGCAAACCTCAGTGTTCGGAGTCTCAAACCAGCACTGTAAATGGTAATCTAGACCCGACAGACATGGGAATCCAGGCATCTACAGATCAGCCGCTTTCCAAACCAGATTCCTACCAGAATAGCCCAAATCCAACCGCGGCACTGCCTACAGACCACGCCCAAGACGCCAAGGAGATAATAGTCTCCAACATCCAGGGACTCAGTGCATTGGCCTCGAAAATCATAGAAATAGATGGGCGGATCAAGAAGGTGCCAAATGGTAATGCTTGGAAGGAGTTCCGAGCTCACAGAAACAACCAGGACATAGGGAGCTTGTGGGAAGTCAGACAAGCCTGGTTTGTGCGCGAGAACAAGAAGGGAACATCAACATAATTGATGTAGGTACCGTTTCGACCGAGCCTGGGTGAATTCGATCTAAACACAGCCTGTTATTGGACTAGTCTAGGATAGAAGAAATCGAATGAGATTGGCTGGCTGACAACATGTCGCCATGCTTTATTAATTGATTCATGAACTTGCTTCAGGTTGCTTCCTGACCAGTGCCCATGCCGTCATCCTTGGGTATCCGGCTAGTATCGTCGGCCGCATAGTCAACAGCAAAGCTAGATTGGATGAAGTCCTCGAGTTCTTCGCTGACCGTCTTCAACTTCTCCTTTACACTAGCAACACCCTCCTGGCCCACAATATGTCGCGAGGGTGGATTTTCATGGCCCCCAATTGCCGTTATAGCATACACGGTCTCGGTGACCAGGACTTCCATGTGCGCAGAGCTGAGCGGAGGGTACGTGGAGATGACATCTGGCGCAGAAAACGGACCGTCTTCGACAGGATTACTTCGGTGGGAGCTGACCGAGCCATTTGCTAGACCCGTGTTACGAGCATCGTGGTTAGGCAGGCGAGAGACGAGACGATTCATTATCCCGCGGAACAACGGCGCATGGTTGACTGAGGAAGAGTAGACGGGGGTGATTGGAGGTACACTTGTAACCAGATTGGTCAGGATTCCGATTTCAATGCTGCACTGAAAAATGGTAAGTTTGACATTGAAGGGGGCTATCTCGTATGCGAGACTCTAGAAAGTGGGGACAACATTAGCGACGATTATCTATTCCGTATCCAGAGAAACACTCTTACATCGCAGAAGCCCTCAAGAGCCCAGCCTGCAGCGCAGTACATTCCTAAGCCCGGTGTGCCGATGTGAGCAGCTGCTTGCTGTTAGTGTGGATGCTCAGTTTCGCGAGTTGTGCAAGCTCTTACTTATGCCAGAAAGAATCATGATATGCCCTGACTTTTGTCTACGCATATGGGGAAGTGTCGCCTTGATGATGTTCAAGGGGCCGAAATAGTTGATCTCAAACTGGTCCCGAACCAAGTTCAAGGTCTGCTGGGAAGTTGCGAGCTCTTCCACTGTACCAATGAGGGCTATGTAGTTGGTTAGCGGGAGATGCACTGGGCGTGAGATCGGGCGTGTTGGCTGAGGTACCTTGACTTGTGCAGCAAAGGAGAATGTCTACTCTCCCGAATGTCGCAACGGCTTGCGCGACCACTGCTTGGCATTCACCGACCATTCTGCGAGATGGATGTAAGCATGCGCCATACCGAATAGTGAACGAAGCGATTGAGATTGATCGCGCACCTTATATCGAGGGGAACAGCCATAAAGCGCTGCCCCCATCCCTCGTCGCTGTGGCTTTCAATCTCGGCCAGAAATGCGTCGAAGCCATCGCGACGACATTCGTCTCGATCTGACTCTGAGTACGCCCGTCCTACCAGGGCGCAGTCACCATGCTTGAGGATTTGGCGAATAACTGATATCCCGATAGGCGAGTCGCCAGCCGTAATCACCCATACCCGTGGCTCATGATGGGCAGGAAACTGAGGGCGGGAGTAATCGGGAGGAGGATGATTGTCCGTCATTGGAGTTTAGGCCGACATTCGAAAGCCCAGCATGTCGAATTGCGCGACGAGACGCCCTACAATACCACGTAGACCCCAGTCGTAAACAGGGTTCACTTGATTTTTCGTAACGTGGGGCAGAATCTCTTTGCGCGGGGGTGCGTGCGATCTCCGGTGATAGTACGGAGTAATGGAGATTGTAGCTGGTCGGTCGGCAAGACCCGATTTATGTCATGCTCGTAGCCCGCCCGGCGATAAGACGGACCCGCAAAAACACCCGGCCATTCTGGGCCATCGCTTGCCTCCGCCGCCGTCCTTCGCGCGTGGCCTTTTCTTACCTTCTCCCCTTCTCACCTTTCCACCTCGTTCTTGTTCTGCTGACCAGGTGCGAGCACAGCCGGTCAAAAATGCCTGAACAAAGACAACGTAGGGAGGAGGAGGGGCTAGGCGTGAGTACATGCCGTCTTTCTGCATTGATTGAACTCCTAGTGGCTGACACCTTAGTTTCTGCTTTCTAGTCCGGCCTCAGAGGCGTCCTTCAGGGCCTGGCTGTCTTTATGTTCGCCAAGTTCATCATGGGCCAGTTCATGGGCGGCAATCAGGAAACCACTGTCTCTGGCGCAAAGTCAAATGACGTGCCCAGTTTTGCTGCTCGTCCGCCTCGCAGCCAGATCCCCAACTACAGCCACATCCCTGACCTCGTCTCGCCAATCTGGCCTACCGATAGTTCTCTCGATATGAATATCTATGTCTCTCCTTCCATCGCTGTGCCAAACCTCAAGACTCTCCCGTCTGGCTCACTTGTCTTGGAAGAGAGGAATTTCACTCTCGGTAATTACAGCGACACCAGGGAAATTGATACCACCATTAAGGTTCCGAAGGAAGTTCAGCGCAACGGTACACTCTGGGCACACTTCTTTGTTGGGCTGAGTGGACATCAACTTGATCCTGCAGCAAAGGACTATAGCACGGATAGCGCAGTTCACTTCTATCGCCCGTTGAACCAGTACCTCCCTAAGAAGAAGGTCAAGAAGCTCAAGAGCCTGCTTGCCTCTAACGACCAAGCTGCAGAGGAAGAGGTCGATGACACCCCAAATGTGTCAATCGCGTCGTTCTATCATCCCAACTTCACAGTTTCTTTCATTCCTGACTCCGGGGCTCAGAAGTATCGTCAAGTTCATCCTGCCATCAGACACCACATGCAGCTGGAATCCAGCGGTGCGAGGGATGCCACCGGACAGAACGGGTGGTACTACCCAATTGTTTTCCTCAACACATTCTGGCAGCTCAAGACCCATATGATGGAGCTTAACTCGACTGTTGACACTGTCCCTTTGCGCATCACCCTCAACAATCTGCAAAATTGGAAATTCAACATGATGGCCAGTCTTGATGCCAACGCTAAGGAGACCGCCCGGCAGGCTGCCTTTGGAAACGCTGCTCCAGGCGGCAGCGATGGCTCCGAGTTCGAAATGATCAAGGAAGTACTATTGGACACGAACATCTGGCTTCTGGGAACCACTGGTGTGGTCACCATTCTCCACATGGTTTTCGAAACTCTCGCGTTTAAGAACGACATTGTAGGTCATGCGTAACCCATGCTTAGGCGGAATCATTCAGTGGAGACATTACTAATGGTTGGATCTGCAGTCTCACTGGCGTAAGAAGAAGGATGTCGTTGGCACTTCCGTCCGCACTATCCTGGCCAATGTGTTCATGCAAGCTGTTATCTTCCTCTATTTGATGGATAACAGCGAGAATACGTCCTGGATGATTCTTGCCAGTCAAGGCTTCGGTATATTGCTTGAGGCGTGGAAAATTACGAAAACTGTAGACGTGCGCCTGCGCCCGCCGCCAGCTGGATCGTTCTTTTCCTTCCTACCTTACGTGGTGGTCTTCGAGGACAAACATAAGCTCAGCGAGACCGAGCAGAAGACGAAGGAATATGACGAAATCGCGTTCCGTTACCTCTACATCATCGCCGTGCCTCTTCTCGCAGCATACGCAGCCTACAGCCTGATTTACAACACTCACAAGTCATGGTATTCCTATGTCATTGAGACCCTCGTCGGAAGCGTCTACGCCTACGGCTTCCTGATGATGGTTCCTAGTCTGTATATCAACTACAGACTGAAGGTCAGTACATAGTCCGGGTGGAACCGACCGTCTCATTGCTAACAAAATGATAGTCTGTCGCTCACATGCCCGGCAAGGCGCTGATGTACAAGTTTCTCAATACTTTCATCGACGACCTTTTCGCATTCACTGTCAAGATGCCATGGCTTCATAGACTCGCCACGCTTAGAGATGATGTGATTTTCTTTGTCTGGCTTTACCAGGGCTGGAAGTACAAGGTCGACTACACCCGTGTCAACGAGTTCGGCCAGGGAGGAGACAGTGAGGATGAAGACGAAGCTGCCCCGGCTGAGAAGCCCAAGGTTGAAGCGTCAGCTACCGCATCTGGCCACCAGAAGTCTAAGGAGGCGGCAAAGAGAAGAAAGTAGGGCGATGCTTGTCATGAGTCTTCGAGTGTTCTAATGAAGGAAACATGCTTGGGAGCATCGTGATTGCACGGCAGAGGAGTCTATCTTAGTCAACATATCCTCATGGATCTTTAAACCATCAATCACCCCATACAATGGCACGTGGCGTCTTCTGAATATAGAAATGTATGAGCCGACGCGGTCCGTAACGTTTCGATTTGCATTGTACCCGGAGAGTGAGCTCGGCGACCTATATAGAAAATGGTATATACTTCTCATGAATCAACATTCTGCATCTCTTTCTGAGTCTGAGGCGGTTCTTGACCTTTAGACGACAAGTGCTGTAGTGTGCGCCGTTGGTGAGAGACATGGAGCTGAACGCTCGCCAGTTGATCGCCAAATCTGGTAAAGTTTGCCCAACTCCAAGTTCCCGCGCCTCTCTTCCAGATCTGCGAGTGTGACCCAATTTATTGGCAATCAAAGCCTGCATACGCAAGAGAAACCATAGACGGGACTCTAGTCGAGAGTAGTGGGTGCTATTATCGCTGGTTGTTCTTTGTGGCAAATCAGTCCAGTATCGTGCAGTTGACGCGACAAGTTCGAATTCGCGCGCGACTTGATGATCTAAAACAACAAGGCGTCGGTGCAGCCTGATATGCGCTAGGAGATTTCGCATTAGAATTATACTGAAGACATTCGCTCGGATCGATAAGAAGAATAAATGACTACGATGTCGTCGGACTCGGACAGAGGTTTGCCATGAACCTGACTTTGATTGACTATCGGTGTTAATAGTCCATTCAGGCTCCGACATCGCGCCAACTAGCCTACAGGATGCGATTGAGCATTTTGAGGCTGGTAAGTCCCCTGGCACCCCATTGCCTTGAAGCTTTGGATCTTTAACTCCGACCAGTTGCTTTTGTTCCCTCGAAGCAGCGATACACGGATGCTGGCCAGCTGGCCAAAACAATAGCTACACGCGCCTACGAGAGCGGGATTTCTCAGCTTGGCCTCGAACGTCTAATTAAAGTCCTCACCAAGAGCAACCATCTTGATCAAGGAACAATTACTAGTCTGATCAAAAACTTATACCCGCAAGAACGGATATCCTCAAAGATCGTCACCCATGTTATATGCTGCCTAGGACCTGCCAAGACAAAGCCCAGTCCGGCGACGCAGGCTCTGCTTCTGCGATGGCTGATTCTTGTATACGATTTCCTGGATGATAGATCCCACCTGTCAAAGCTCTATGCGGTACTCTTTAACCATCTTGACATGATAAGCTTGCGAAAGCCTCTGTGCCACCTGCTCTCGCTTATCACCAGGCGAAAACACGTCAAATCTTTCAGGATCCAGGCACTCATGGAGCTTCTCGGTGCTTCTGGGGGCGATGATAAAGAGCTCCTTACCCTACTCAGGGCTTTCAAGAACTACTGCCCGGATGTTATTGTGGGCGATTTTGGACCTTCAGGGCGAAAGGCATTGTTCTTTAAACACCCTGATCCTGAGTGGACAGCTCACGTGAGACAGGCCCAAGAAACGCATCTGGAGAAGCTTCAGGCTACTCAGCCGTCAAATTTCCAGGTAGTGCATCGCGGACTTGTCAAGAGAGGGAAAATGGAGGTTATTGTGCCTGATGTCCAAACATCGCGTGTTTTATTATACCATACCGCGTTGGAGGAGTTGCGCAGTGTGGACCACTTTGTCGAAAGAATTGATCGAATTGAACTCCCTAACCAGATAATATCCATGATGGGAGACGCTTTGGCTCAGAAATATCTCTTTCTGGCTCAGCCCGAGGCTGCGCACCAACGTCTGAATGATTGGCTGAAAAGCTTCCTTGATGATCAATTAGAGCGCATCCAGAATCGTGATCAAGAAGGGCTAGAGTCACTGGGATACATTCTGGACCTTGCATTGAACTATGCGCAATATACGAAGGTATGGCTTCCAGCCCAGTTTCGTCTATCGTGTATACTTACTCGACCACAGGAGATACCCCACGCCTTGCTCCCATTCCTGCAACAATATGTCCTTCTGTGGAACGGCTATGACAATCAAGAGAAAGTGCTCCACTTACTATCATATTTACCTCTCCAAGGATATGAAACTCTGCGGCAGGAGTTCTTACACCATGTGGAGGCCTCAGTTTTAGACGGCACGCCTCACTCTCAATCGGCTCTTCTAGACTTCTACTCTTTGTTGATACGTCAATGGGGTGTGCGCCTGAGATCTCAACCCTTCAGCGCCCATGAGTATAAGCCACTGGGGCGCCTCATCTCACACGCAGAACTCTTGGCTTTGTCGAGTCTCGAGTCTACGATCCAGCCTACAGCAGACGGCGGAAGTGAAAGCCCAAAGCCTGCTACATTGTCCGTCCTTGATTTCTACTGCACCTTGGCCGAATTGTTTTCGCACGCATCGTCGAATGGGAGCATCCGTCTTACGATTCCTCTCGCTCCAACAGTCTACACCCTTGTCTTCACCCCGATTAGTTCGGTTATATCGATCATGAGCTCAGTCCTTGCAACTTACAAGTCGTCATTCGAAGATTCTCTCACATCTCCAGCATTGCAGGTCCCTCACTCGACCGACTCACTATATCCGACAGACCTTGTGGGTCAATTTAACGGATACATCATGGACATCTGCAATCTGCTCTGGCGCAACCGCGGACTCAACTCGGAAGACCCGAACGCACTAGGTTGCCTGATTCCGGCGCCCACAGTCAACGCCCTCACGCGGTTTATCCGCAATTTGAACGATAACTCACGGGACAAAAAGCGAGAAGCCAGTTTTCTGTTCACCATTTCTTCTGTATTCTCTCTGAGTCACCATGTCGCTCTATGCAATTTGTCGGCAGCATGTTTTGCAGATATTGAGGAGGAGAATGGCATTGACGAGAGTAAACCAAGGCTACAAAGGCCCGTGACTCAGAAAGCACTCAGTGCCCTCGAAAAAGAGGGCGGCGTGAAGCTGACTTGGCAGGAGTACCGTGTTCGGATGCTCGACTGGTTAGATGCGACAGGAAATGTCGGGATTGGGAATTTGATGCGCAGCACCATGAAAGCATTGAGAAAGGAATGATTGCTCTAGATTTCAACGGCATTAGTGCACACTAGATGGTGACTGCCTCTAAGTAAGATTTCTTCTTGATACTATTTATGATACATCTAGTATGGCATTCTAATTCTATAATACAATTCTTTAAGTGCCCGGGGCTGTAGACACCTCAACCAGGGCCCGCAGCATGTCAAAACGCCTGGCGCGTGTTCATGTATATATCGTTAACGCATGGCTCCTCTCGAAGCTTGCCCATGACAGTCTCGATCTGTCTCACGTGCTCCTCGTCTGTGATATCCACCATAGTGTCCTTGTTTGGGTCCCAGAATATCTCTAGTTCTTCGACTGAAAGTCCAATGGCTTTTGACAGCGATTCTCCCACGCTCTTTGTTTCCGTGGGGTCTGTGAAGACAATCAGGCGGCCCTCATCATCCGATGTGATATCGGTTGCGCCCGCTTCAATGGCCTGATCCAAATAATCATCGGGGTCCACGCCATCCTTTTTCTCGAAGACAATTCTACCTTTCTTCTCGAACAGATAAATGGTTGGGGTAGCAGCTCCTCCAGCGTTCTTGATAGTATGTCTAACGTCCTGCAATAGACGGGCTTTTGAGTCGGTCTGACATTCAATCACGACCGCGACGTTATGGGGCAGGATAGCCTCAACGGTGACTTGTTCCAGCGCTTCGCCCGTCAAACTTATGCCCTTTCCCCGCGCCAGAGCCGCTTCAATAACATTCTTAGGGATTCCGGCTCGCTTCGCGTTCGAGAGGGCAAGGTTCAGGCGCGGATTGTACTCCGGATCGGGTCCCCACACTGCGCTGAATTAGCATAGACATTACAGCAATGAAGTTGAGCGGACTGGGGTTCTCACGATGAATTGCCGTGCTGATTTCCTTGTTCATGAGTTGACGCTCCTTGCTCTTCAATTTGTCTTCCTTGGCCTTATCGTGCTTGATCTTGGACCAACGGTTGTGTCCTGCAGACCACGGGGAGCTGCTGGTGAAGCTACGGCAGGCAGAGTACGTGAGCTGGTTGGCGCGAGCAGCGCGCTGCTGCATCAGACTTCTGCTCACTAAGGAGGCCATTGCGATGTGGACCGGGGAATATTATTGATTAGCGGGCAGCCCCATTTCTGCTCCCGGAGCGGCATGGAGCAAATGCGTCTTTTAAGTTGCAGTGCAATGCAATCGGAACCGCATCTTTCAATCTGATAGCGGGGCCGGCCTAACAGTTTCTCCGCCACCGCCCCCGGAAATGAGGCCAAGTGCCCGCTTAAGGGGCCCATCGACTAACTACGTATTGTAAGGTCGGCGACTAGACTACTGCCAGTCGGACTCACCTGGTTGCCAACCATTCACCCCCGCCTTCAACCCTGTCTCCAACATCACCCTTCGATACAATATAGACCCTCATATGGGTGACGCCCTAGGTGGGACGACCGAAACCCAATGTCTGCATCCGAAAATGCTGCGTCCACTTCCGCCGCCGACAATGCGGCTCCCCGTGCGGAGCTCGACATCAGCAAGCTTCATGCGCTCCCTTCCGAACAACAGGACCTCTACCTCCTCACATTCACATCGGACTTAGTCCAGCATATATCAGGACTGGATAAGGCTCAGGTATCGTCGCAGCAGAAATTCTTGAAAAAGGAGCTGTTCAAGATTCTCACACTGCCGTCACCAACAATCACCCGAGTTATTCGCAACAACCTGGGACGCTGCTTCGGTGCTATCTTCAGCAAGGGCGATCGCGGGGTTCTTTTCGAGACAGTGACTGACCTGCTGGGGACTCTGACTGCGAGCAAAAATGAGGCCGAACTCAAAACCAAGTTCGCTGCAGCCCACTGCCTGGGAGAGGTATTCGCAGTCGCCGGAGAGAGTGTCTTTGCGCAATCCGGAGTTGTTGTGTCAAGCTTACTGAAGCTACTCAAAGCCTCGAGCAACCATACGGGATGTCGTGGGTCAGTGTTCTCCGTGCTGCGGAAAGTGGTAGTTGGCTCTGGAGTTCCCGTCGACGAAGCTACAGCCCGAGACATCTGGAAGCAGGCCCGCAATGCCGCAACCGGGGACAAATCGACGTTTGTTCAAGTCCACGCATGTCGCTGCCTTGAACAGCTTGTGAACACGACCCCATACTTCGATAATGCGAACGACTTTGATCAGTTAAAGGCCGTGGTTTGGAAGGCAATTGACAGTCCTGTGGCTCCCGTTCGACACGCCGCTGCAGCC